TATTCTGTTTTTTATTTTTTATTTTTATATTATTGTGCATTGTAAAATTGTTTCTTGAGCCTTCTCTAAGCATTTTGTTTGGTCTTATTACACTAGTCTATCTGTAGACGTTAGGAAATTATTCGACTAATAAAACGGAATGTCCCTCCTGGGGGGAACATATAATCATGTTTGGTATAAAAAGGTTACATTTAGTTCATTGAGACATTTTACTTAAAAGTTAATATTATTATCTTGGATCAAGTAATTATTTGTATAGAAAATGGAAGAACTGAATGGGTTTAACATTCCTTATTGAATATGTTTTGGTGATCATTCATAGCGCTAAAACCAAGACTGGGATTTTCTTTTTCCCTATAGTTGAGTATGATGCAATCTTTATTGAAATAGTAATATAGATTCATGTTAATTAACTTATTCCGCATTTTTGCAATGTCCATTGTGGGAAGCATCAACATTGCTTGCTGTTAGTTATTTTTTTACTTGACCTTTTCTACAAATTGTCATCTTTCAAATATTAGGTTTTAATTTTTCGACAATATATTTAACCATGTCAGCTCTTTATTTTTATCATAGCAACATGTATCTTTATCTCTCTCTATCTCTCATTTCCTGTTTGTGTAATAAGATTAATAGATTAGTGTGTTTGTGATTAATTGTATATGTCTATTCTTAGCATCACTCTATATGGGAACCGCAGGAGTAAAAAATCTTGAAACATTTGTTTAATTGACATAATGTAACAGGCATCATCCCTTTCGCTTACCCTTGAAGGCTAGCAAAAATCATTCGGACTGAGGCACACATTTTCATATCAATGTACCATCCAGTTATCTAAAGAGTGCCTGAGAGATTGGTTATAATTGTTGCTATGGTAACAGCAAGGGGTGATGGTGTTCTGTTAAAAACTTGCCGTTTTCTCACTAAATCTGTCATCATTCATATTAGCCTGCTGCCTCCAGTAAAATGTGCTTTGTGAAGCTATTGTTCTAATCTAAAATCATTTTAGCAGCAAAAAGGAAAGAGTCATTTAAATAGTGTCTGATCATATTCACCTATCTGAGACTCTCTTATAATTTACTGATAGTCATTTTGTGTCGTGGACTATTGTTGGCAGTTTGAAAGGTTGATTGGTGTGGAGGAAGGATTGTAAGGTAATATAAACAACATGCAACAGTAATATTGGAAAGTAAATGTCTTTCTTTATAATGTAACATGTTTTTTTAAAATGTTTGATTTGTTAAATGGTTTGTTATTCATTCTACACTTAATCCGTTATAATAAAAACATTAAATTGTATGTAAATTTGACCAATATTCTGCAGACAGTTGTAACCCATGAAATCACTTTTCTATAATATATTATATATATATATATATATATATATATATATATATACACAAGATATAATGTTATTGTAATATTAGCTATTTTGACGAAGCATACACAAGACACTCCACTCTTCCATTTTATTAACCTATTGCCATCGTGATCTTTGAGTTAGATGTCTGGGATAGCTATATTTTCTATTTGAAATCTATATGAATACCAATGTCCACAAGTCTATACATTCTCATTGGCTACTCTAACATATGTAAGTGCCACGGTGTATATACAAGTTGCCTTCATGGCTCTGGTGTCTTGGCCACCTGTAAAGCCTTAATTTCATCAATTTAAGGTAAAATTAGGTGATGAGTCTACACCTGTGGCAAGCCCTCATAGATCTATATGACTATCTCTTATTTATGAATGCCAAAAAAATGTCGCCGATTTACCTGTCCTTTCTGTGTTCCTTATCACTCACATGGTTTAATCTTCTTCATTCCTTAGCCCTGTGCTAGAGCTCAAATAATGTGAATCACAGACAGGTGATGGCATTCATTTTAAAGTTTATGTATAATTTTGGAGTTGAACTTGTAACTTTAACTGTACTCAATTACAACATACAAATATTATCCAGTGCAGCTATTTTTTTTAGTTTTTTTAGTTTTGGCTTTGGTGTTTAGCTCCACTGAGCTAAACAACCAGGAAGTAAAAGGACCAGTTGTCAGATTGACAGCCAGGTGGGAGTAACCAGGTTAATTTCTAAAAGTGCCAATTTCTATTTAAAACCACACTTTTTGTTAAATGGAAAAAAGAGGACACATTCTTCACACATAGAGCACTTTAGCAAGCTCAAGTGTTTTTGTTATTGGAGTGTTCCTTTGATAACAATCACCAAGGGGTCTCCTAGTTTGGCGGTAATTGGAGTAATGGTACCTTGAAGTTGGCTTGTTGCTTCCCTGAACGATTTTTGAAAGCACTTTAAATTCCCTGAAACTTAAGTCATGATGTATTGTTCTTTTTAATTTGGTAAATAACGTATCTGCTCTATTAATTGTTGTTGGTTACAAGATGTACGTCTGCTACAAAGGGTTCATTGCAGTATAGTAGATTCAATATTGCAGACTAATTGGTAGTGAACATTTAAAAAATGTCCATTTCCAAAATAGACCCACATTCAGTTATTAAATAGTAAATTGAGGTGAAAATTGCAACATTTGCAGCACCTGATTTCTTAGCTTAAATAAACTCCATACATTTTTTGCCCAAAAAACCATATCAGTTTAATTTCAATATTTTTTTTAAGTAAATTACTTACAAAATATTTAATATTTACAGGCTTTAAGAGTTGATCTATATAGAACGTCTTGAATTTCGCTGCATGCATTTAGAACTCAAGTTTGTATTCTTTACAGTTTTGTGTCCTTGTAACTAAAAATAATGCACACTTCCATTTCCTGCCTTTTTTTGTATATATTAATATGATAAGTGCACTGATGATCAGGATGTTAATCTTTAAGTCCCTAAGGCTCCATGGTAGTCATCCAACGAACGTGACACAGATTTTGTCAGTATATGTATTAGTTTTAATGATCTCTTTGTGGAGAACACCATTTTTTTTATTCATGTGTAGGTCGTTTCTACACATATTTAATTCAAGTGTGTATCCATTAGTCATGTATTAATAGGTGTGGGATAGTGTGAATGGAGCTCTTAATGAGCACTGATGCTTCTCATTCCATTCCTCCTGTGGCCTACAGTCTATCTTCTTGCATCCAAGTTCCTTGATTTATGGGGGCAATGCTAGGCTAGTTACATGCAAGTGACTACAATTCTTATAGAAATTCTAAGTCTAAACCAGAGGCATTTGTCTCAGGTTTGGTTAATTATAATTATTATTTTCATTTGTATTTAATCACATTTACAGTATTTTCCTGATCTGCATGTAGTGTTCATAAAGTGGTTAAGAGTTAAGATACTTTATTTTCAGAGAAATCCCTGATGCTGCATTGGTAAGATTCAAGTTCCAAGCTGATGTTTAGTAAATATCCCTTATTGTGTTGTATTTTGTATTATTAGTATAAATAACAGGGGAGTTGACACCACCTCTCTTTCCATCTTTATTAAAATAATAAGGAGATATGTAACATAACAAGTGACAAAGATTGATAACTGGAGCAATGATTTGTGTTATTAACATATCTAGGAACTCTATACATCTATCTATCTGTCTGTCTGTCTGTCTGTCTGCCTTTCCGTCTGTCTGTCTTTCCGTCTGTCTGCCTTTCCATATGTCTGCCTTTCCATATGTCTGCCTGTCTATCTGGCACCTAAAGTATGGACATGTTTGTTTCTGTCTCTGTTTCTCTGTCTGCAATGTGTGTGCCTATACACAGCTTAGTTTGATTTATTTCTGTGTTTTATATATATATATATATATATATATATGTCCCAGGCGCTGGAATACAGATACATTTTATGGTGTTTTTTTATGTCTAAAAATTAACATTAGCGTTACTAAAATATTGTGGTACTGATTATTTTCTCAACTCTTATATGATATGGTTTTTCCTGGATGGATCTCAACAGGAAACAGCTGCAATTATAATTTTATTTCCCTAATATATCAGACAATTTATTTTTACTTTTTTGTATATTTAAGAGGCTTCGATTATATTTTGGTATAATCCCCTTTCCAAATAATTGCTAAATTATCATGTACATTAAGGTTCCAAGCTATTGGTAGCCACAAGAAGAAAAGAAATTACATCCATAAGACCATAAAGGAACACTATTGTTTCAGGAATACAAACATGTATTCCTGACACTATAGTGCTGAAGTGGCTGTTTATTTGTCTGGCCCCCTCTCTGTGCAGTGAAAAGGTGACTTTACTCACCTTTTTTCCGCACCGTGCCAGACATGCCTGGCTCTGCCTTCATGGCTGAGATCATCAGTCTTGATGATCTCAGCCAATCCAATGTTTTCTCATAGGAAATCACTGGAAGGCTATTGTGCATGCACTGCAAAATGTAGCGCAGCTCCAATTAGCATCTCCTCATAGAGATGCATTGAGTCAATGCATCTCTATGGGGAATGGTCAGCGTCTTCAACACCAGTGCTGCACATGGTACAGCCCTGGACTAGGAAGCACCTCTAGTGACTGTCTGAGTGACTGTCACTAGAGGAGTTACTAGCCCTTTTCTCTGAAAAGGCAAAGTTTACAGTGCTAACACTGCCGGAACATGCTATAGACACCAGAAACACTACATTAAACTGTAGTGGTTCTGATGACTATAAAGTCTCTTTAAGAAATAAAATGAAGACTATCTTGTCATAGAATGTAAAATAGATAATTGTCAAAACCCAGGTTAAGACAAGACATAATGATCCACAGTCAATAGTCCAGTAGTTCAAGAAGTCTAAATGCAAATATCTACAGTTTGTGTCAAGCTGAATAGTCACAGAACCTTAAAAACCATGCACAAAATACAGTTCTAGGATGGTTTTAATAGACTATGCAATCAAGACACAAAATGTGTAGTAGCAATACGCACAATTATTATTATCATAACAATAGTAAATAACATATAATATCCAAGGTGCCGAGAAAACATGGCATATGTTGATAGCACAAAAGTATGTAGCCAAGAGTCAGGTCCAACTGATAGAGCCAGACATGAGGGAAAAAGGAATGAAAGTCCATATGGTGGAACTCGGACTGTTAATCAGAATGTAACATTAAGATTCTTGGCTTAACTCCAGTTCCTGGTTAGACAGACATTAGGCAAGATAATATATCAGAATTATGGCATTACATTGCTTATTTTAATAGTGAACTAGTATAATTAGATATCCAGTTACACTTGTGCACAAAATATATGAGTTTCTTTCATTCTTTCTTTCTTTCTTTCTTTCTTCCCTTTCCTTTCAAACTCATAATGTGGACATCTAAAATAAAAAATATATAGATGATACTATTCACTAGTCTGCTTCTTGGAACACATTAGATAAAAGGTTTGAAACTTCTGTTCAGCTTCATCTATATTAATAAAAATTGAGACATTTTTCTTTGTTAACACTGTCCGCCACTGTAGTTTATTGATGTTGGAGAATTAGGATGGTTCTTGTGAAGCAGCTTTGTAAATTTTCCCAAGAGGTAAGTCCTATCCTTGAATGTCATATAACATCCCAATGCCTTAACCTTTCGATTCTATCTTTTAATGTTTCTGGAGTATCTCCCTACCAAATCAATGTCACTGCATCAATTTCTAACCTACAAATAAAGTCAATCTCTTTGTACTTTAATGCATAGAAATATCAAGACAAAGGCTTAGGTCACTCGATATTCCACATGTGGCAGTGCAACTGGAGTAGCATTGTTTGGGACCGGTATTCGGTAAAAGGGTTTTCCAAAATCGATAAACAGAAAGTAGGAAAAAAGCATCTTGCTTGTTCCTTGATTTAAGACACTGATTGGTAAAGGTTTTCTGATCATAATGAGCTAAAACATAACCTTTTACACTAGTCTTGGCTTTTACAATGATCTGCTGACCAATGAATATGCTTTTATTGCATATACAATAGATGGATATTGCAAAGCTGGCGTTCAACAACTTATTTTGTGAAAACCTTTTGCACACAACAATATCTTCGTCCACTAGTCATATAACATGCACATTACCCTCCACAGAGAATATAAGACAAGCAGAGAGAATACAGAAAAGGTGCACAAATTCAAAGAAATGCAGGAAATATAGTCGAAGAAATTTATTTATTACTCACTTGCTTTGTTTTTTTGCAAGAGAAATAAAATATGAAAGGATAAGGTAAATAAAATTGACCTGATAAGTGTATTCCAGTCAAGTACATGCTGGCAATGTTGATTCCTGTAATATTTGTCACAACACTTAAAAAAAGCATAATGAACTTCTATCTGTCCTTTATTATGCACTGACACTCACCAAAAGGAATCTCTCCATCAACTCTCACCAGAAGCAATTGAATAGGGAGCCCATTGAATGAGAAGAGCAGGAGTCAAGTCAATGGAATTATAACAATTCATCAAGATCCTCTCAGCCACTGTCCCTCCTTAAACTTAAAAATATTGTTCCTTCACATTATCAGTGTTCTAAGAATACATTAATAACCATTAAGGATTACCAATACTACCCGGCAGGGTATTACAATATAGACTGAGCCAGGGTAACAAATATATACAAAAATACTCTTTATATTTTATTTTCCACCCTTCAATTCATGGAGCATACCTCCCTACATTGGAAGGGGTTACTTGAATCAATGGAAATGCCGTTAATGGGTGGGTCTGCCCACCGAAGGGGCAAGTCAGCCAGGCATAAGACATGCCAAGCGAACAGACTGCCCCCCAGCAAGCCCCATTCAGATGAAGTGATCTTTCCATGGTCCTAGTGCCCACTCCACACTGCAAGCACTTCTAATGATGTGCTCATGCTATGCTCTCTGGAGACAGTTTCTTCCTGTGCCCGGACATGGGACACCAAGGAACAAAATGTTGGTGACGCAGGCTCTAAAATATGGACTGTCCTATTAAAAGTGGGGCAGTTGGGTCCAGGAAATTGTAACATCTGTTACAGTTCTTATAAAGATGGGCTTGGACATAACGGAAATTGATTATTAGATAATATTCCACGTTATCCATCCAACCATACATGTTGATGATAGGTTGAGAACAAGCCAAGGGCTTGCAACCTATCATTAGCAGCAAAAGAGGTGGGAGTCCAAGGGACAACACCCAAAGACTGTTTGGACTATAACCAATATAATGTTTTGTAGTGGTTATGGTGCTTACTGTGCTCCTTTAAAGTGATAGCATCCCTGTCTTCTTTCTGTAATTTAATCAGCCTCTTTTCTACTCTATGTACGAGTTAAAACAAAGTATATTAGTGTATGAGCACAAACATTAGTCCTGTGATATGTTTGTGTGACCCAGGGTTTAAAAAAATATACGCCTTTTATTATTTACAAGTTCTACTTCATGACATAATGATCGATTTCAGCCGGAAAAATCAATGGGAACACAAGCTTCTGACAAGCAACATTCTGCATCTGTGTCATCACTCACAGGTGGGTATAATGTGGCCTTTAATGCATCTTGCTGTTTAAATCCTCTGCACTTTCAGATGGCCTTCACTGCTGGATCAATTTAACCGCCTCGTTGCCAGAAGGGTGGAGGTGTGATTTCCCATGTTTCAGGAGATCTATTAGACTTTCACACCATATAAAACCCCAAACCTTTTTTGTTTTATTTTCCTTTTTTTTTCACCCCATGCGTACGATATACATATTTTGTCATTAAAATGTTTACTCCGCTTGCATAAATTAATGTCATTTTGATAGATTTTACATCATTTAATTGAAGGAAAGTGCACCTTATGCATTGTGAAAATCAGCAGAGCACATCATATTCTTTTTCTTGAAATAATATTAGTGAAAGTACGTTCATTAAAGACACTGATTATCCATGAAGTTTATCTGATGTTTTCAGGAATTGTAATTTCATCACAGGGAAACAATGCTTTTTTATTGTTTTAACACAATAGGTGGTGGTTAACAGCTAACTGCTCATCATGGAAGCAATTTGATTATTCAATACTTTAAATTCGTTAGCGCTGAGGACTAAGCAAGGAATGTTTTAAGCGTGAATGCTTGATGGCATTTATAGAGAAATAAGTAATGAATTATAGATGAAACTCGTGTTTACATATTAAGCAGTGTTAGAGTTCAGAAATAGCAGCTGTGTGATGGTTTTATGTCTTGCATTTGTTTTGGAATTAAAGAACAATCAGAAAAAAAAGCCCACTGTGAAATATAGCTTAATTGAGAAAGGGTCTAATGGGCATAACATTTTCACCAGTTATTCTGATATTGTTTTTCACTATTCAGTACTGGGATTATAACATGGTAAAGTGATGTATTCTTGCCAGAATGAGTCTAATGGGCGTAAAATTTCCACCAGTTATTGTGATATTGGTTTTCACTATTCAGTACTGTGATTATAACCTGGTAAAGTTATAGTGGTGGTCTACCTATTTAATGATGTATAATGCAAAGTGTAGTCTACATGAGTGATTCACAACCTAGTCCTTAGGGCATACCAACAATCCCGAATTTAAATGGACACATAGATATCCAAGCAACTTTAACTTCATTAAGCCAGTTTGGTGTATAGATCATGGCCCTGCAGTCTCACTGCTCAATTCTCTGCCACTGAGGAGTTAAATCAATTGTTTCTGTTTCTGCAGCCTTAGCCACACCTCAATTGGCCGTGACTCACACAGCCTGCATGAAAAAATGGTTTCGTTTTTAATGAGATGCTAACTTGCTCTAGAAATTCTCATGCTTTGGAAATTAAACTTTATCACACACAGGAGGCTCCAGGAGGCTGTAGCGGAGCTATTAACAGAGCAGGAAATAAGAAATTCTAAATTAAACAGACTATGCTATGAAGGAAGTTTAAACATTAGATTTCTCTTTACAGGAAATGTTAAGGAAGGCTGTATGAGTCACATGCAGGGAGGTGTGGCTAGAGCTGTATAAAGAAAGTGATATAACTCCTACAAAATTGAGCAGTGAGACTGCAGGGGCATGACCTGTACACCAAAAAAGTGCTTCATTAAGCTATAGTTGTTTTGGTGACTGTAGTATCTATTTAACCATTGCCTAGTGTGGATACTTTCAAGACCTGGACTCTTGTGTGTCTTGAAGAGTACGCTGGGAACCACTGGTCTACATTAGTTGTAGCGCCATACCTCAGCTATTATTAATACTATAAAATGGGTGTCCTAGTGCTTTGTCACAAGTCATCTTTTGAATTGTAATGTGAGAACATGGAGTAATCGCTCCAGTATATAGTCATATATAGAGCACTAATCCATTATTCTTAGTCAGTATAAGCAGTGTCTGCTCTCTGTTTTTAGTCCCATGTACTATCACCTATTTAGCCCATTATCTTCTTTTATTCTGTTTCAATAGCAAAGTGTCACTCTTTGTGACCCCGATCCTTTCTCTTGCCTTGGTGTCTTTGTTGAGTTGAATATCAGAATATTTAGTGTGAATTGTAAGTGAATTACAAAGCTGATAGGCTGCATAAATACAATACTTTGTACTGTTCTATGTTTTTTGGCTATTATAAATGGTGGGATGTTTGCAGCAGTTTTATTGCTAGTAATAATTAAGAAAATATTATAAAAATGTTTTTAGAATTGTTAGATTCATTCATAAACAGAACAACAGAGCATAAGCATAATGCTCAACTTCAGAGAACCAAATAATCCAACAATATAGACCTTGATCATTTTTTAATTTGTGGTGGTCTGGCCTTAGTTCATTATGATAGTATTGGTATATATAGGTTCATTATGGAACAAGACAACTACAGGACAAATATAACCCAGTGTTGGACTTCATTGATACATTATCAGATGTTCACCTTCTAGCCTAATAATGATGCTAAACGAGTAGACAAAGCTACATCAGAGTGGTTTAAAACCAAGAACATGGAATGGCTTAGTAGTACAGTGATATCCACAGAGCCCGGATTTATTTATTTAGGAACTGAAAACTAATTTTTGACAACAATCTACATCTAGCCCAGCAGAACTTTTACAATTTTAACAAGGCGGGCCATCTGAAATGTCAATACCTACATGGGCAAATTTGATAATGACTTACACCAAAAAACTCACCTGTGAGATGGTAGTCAAATGTGGTTCTACCAAAACTTACTCAGGGAGTTCAATAAAACAAATGTCTCTTTTTTGTTTCATTGACATTTGTAAGAATAAAACACTTTGCTCCTTCAAAGTGTAAGATTTCCACTTGTTTAGAGTAGAACCTTCTTTTCGTTCAGTTCTGGTTTCTACTTGCAGTTAAATGGATTTTTGACACACAGTTAAATACCGTAGCTTCCATCTGTATAATAAGCTAAATGGATAATTCCGCTCAGTGCTCTGAGATGCTTTAAGGACACAAATATGAAAATAGAACAGCATACAGAAGTTGAACTTCTGTTCAGGTGAACTGGCTACAATCATGACTACATATACATTAGCAAGTGAATACTATATTGCCAAAATGCAAACACTTACTATTAATGTTAGTTTTCTTTCTGCCATGCTTTTCCTGTTATTTATCTAAAGTCTTTCAATATCACCAATGAAAGGCAATGCATTTTCCTAGATCTGTTCTTTAAATAAGCATACTTCTTGAGTATTTTCACATACAGATACCCTTGCAGACCGTCAGAAATAGTAATTCATATTTTTTTAGGGTTCTTCCAAACAGATTGTTTCTTAATGCCATTGAACGTTGGATAGTAGAGGTTCTACTTTTACATGCTTATCAAACATTTGGACCTCATAGACACATATTGTGATGAATATTTTACATGTCACCTACTAGACTAGACAGTAATAGCAATGAAAATGGAAAAAAAAAACATTAGGTGTAGTGAATGTCTATGTAGGAAACAACCTGCTGCCCCTGTTAGACAGGGCTAATTCCAGCAGTGAAATGCAGCATGCCTCAGTGAAGCTGTCAGTACATCTCTATGGTTTCTCTATGGTATTTTCTGTTGGGAACTAGAAATGGCCACCAGGGACATTGAGACTACTAGCTCTGTTTAATACAGGAAACAAGTACAAGGGAAAGTATGGCTTCAAATCCTTACAGCAAAATGATTCATTAATGGTTAGTACTTATGAAATAAAATGTAAATTTTTTTTTGTTTAATTTACTGAATGTTTTCTCAAAATGAAACAAAAATTGCAATATAAAAACATAAAAGACATAAAACAACAGATCATGTACTTAAAAAACAAAATACGTTGAAAAATGCTTTAACTTTATATATTCACATAATATATTTAACTTTATATATTCTCATTATATATTTAACTTTATATATTCTCATTATATATTTAACTTTATATATTCTCATTTATATATTTTCATATAGCACCATATCATCAAATATATCAATACTAAAAACCAGAACATTGTCCCTCCCCTTTGTACTCCTATTGTTATATTGTAGACCCATTTTTCTAAGCATTAGGTAATAAGAAACGATAATTCATGTTCAAAAAGTAAAATGGCCATTTATACTGCGAGCAGTGTAAGCTGTGTATAATCGCAGTGAACATCAATAAATTTCAAGTTGTAAAAAAATAAATAAAATGAAAACATTGTCTGCATTTTACAAAACCAATTATCATACATATGAAAATTAATTGCTGACGGAGATCATGTGAACCTTAATATATATATATTAACAGATTTACTGCACAGGTAACAATTGCTGCTAATAAATACATATATTTGTTTATATATCCACAAGTCCTCAACATACGAATCACCAAGTCACTAAGCCAATAACTGGCATTTCACAAAGTGTGCATAATTTTACTTATTGTGATACTAAGAATCAACGTCATTTGTTCCGAACAGCACATTTGCAATGCATTCCCTGAGCTGAGAGTATATTTGGGAAGCATATATCAACTGATGACACAAAATCTATATATTTAATGTGTGGACAATTGTTCATTGCAAAGGGAAGACGTTGAATACTTGAATTTAATAACATAGACGTTGAAACAGCAACAACATCCAGCTCTTTGGTTCTAAAAGTGCTTTATAAGTGAGGATTAGAAATGGGTATTAATTAGAATGCTCAATCTTAGCAGTCATATATTTTGTAGCCAAAGTGTATTTCCTTATTCACTGCTCGCTCAACAGCACAGAGGCTCTGTTTAGAATTACAATCTATTGCGATAATAGGTAGGGGATTAGACTTTCCTGACCATTATATTACCATGTTTTAGGTTGGAATATAAAACAACAAAGATTAGTTCTCTGCAAACCTTAACAGTTTGCATGCCTGTACAGTAAGATTGTCTCGTTTTACAAGCATGGCTTTTATTAACCCATTGCATGCAAGCTTCTTAAATGCATTGCTTAACCTTTGACCCCGTAAAGGTTACGGATACTGGTTAACCTGTACACTTTCACACATGCACTCGCACACAATCACTCGTTCACTCGCTCAGATAATCAGATTTTTTTTTTTTTATTCAGACTACAATTGATTCCAAAACCTAAAAATATATTTCCAGCGATCAGAATCAGCGCAGTGTGTTTATTTGCTTTTTTTTTATATTGACAGTTGGTAGCATAAGCCTTTTAAACTACAAAGACTTGCAGCTCTATAGCCAATCTGTGAAAAAAAGGGGGAAAAATGAAATCACTATGGAAACTGGAGGAAGGATCTAAGAGCTTTCTGTCTAAAGTAAATGTCTGATGTTTGTGACTGCAGGGGAATAAAATTCATAAATTTGTATGATGTTATCATTTCTGTTTTGTTATCGCAGATTATGGCATTTCTAAACCATCCGACCTTGCCTTTATTAAGTGATCCCTTTTTTTTTTGCAAAAATAGTTACTGTTTAGCAGTAGAAAGAAAAAAAAAAAAGAAAAACAAGAATGCAATGAGGGGAGGAGTGAAAAAGCTGCTCTGCTTCTTAAATTATTATTTCTTAAATCACACAGAGCTCCTGGCTCCTGGAATGAAGACCAGTATGAGGCTTTCAGCAATGCAGCAACCCAGGGAACTGAATGCAAGACAGAAAATACTAGTGTATCATCCAATTGCATGCCTTTCTTTGATCTTGGACAGAAAAGCCCAGAACCTCTCCCTCCAATCCTGAAGCAAATAAATACTAAGGATAAGAGGCATCCCTTGATTCAGTGCACAGACTCTCAGAGACAGAAAAACCAAGTCTACTATCAGAACACAAGCACCAATGAACCTTGTTGGATTGCAGACTGCAGCAAACACCTGTCTTCTCGTAGGAGTTTCCGAGTTTTTCCAACATCATCAGACAATTCAGAAAGCCTTGGCTTACACAGGCCACTGTCTTTATCTCAACACAAAGCCAGTCACTCTACCAGCTCACCTGCAAAAGAAGTGGAGCTGAGAGGGAATAAACATCACTCGGTCGTTACTGAAATCCGTCCCGTCTCTAAGAATACTCAGAAGAAAAGAAAGACCATGAATCTTGGTGAGTGAATAGAACACTCTGCTATCTGCAAAATAGATGTTTGCTTCTGGTTATATAATACATTAGATTAGATGTGTAAAATGAAAGAAACCATCAATTCTATCACTCTTCTTTTTTAATTTTCATTTCTTTCTTTTTTTTTTACATATTTTTTATTTTTTTATTTAAAGACAGAATGGATTTGCAGTTCGATTATGCCCCACGATTGCTTTAAATGTGATAGAAGGAAAAAACTACTTTGTTTTATTTTAGAATATATTAAGTTAATAAATCAAGTAGTTTTTATGCATAGAATATTAAAACATAAATAATATAAAATATATATATATATTTAGTTTTTTTTCAATTTTTATTTTATTTCCTCTTTTTTTGACGTTTTGTTTGATTTTTAAAATATATTTTATAATATTTTCTCACTCCAATTTCTGATGTCTTATTAAAGTACCTTTTTAATAACATATGTATTTTTCTTACTTTCATCATAAGATCCTGCAGTTGAAGACAGGAGAGAACATGATGCACCTACCAGAGCAGTAATCAATGTGTCGTTTCCCCCATCAACATATTCTACACATGGCCTCTCAAGACCAGGGACACCCTCAAAAGAACACGTAGAGAGGTGAGTGTTCATCTATTCTTAATACGAGACAATGCAGGTTTTAGAAACAGAGTATAGCCACATCTGCTAATTGCATGTAAATACAAAACACATATTCATGTTGCATTTCAAAATACTCCTTTTTCTCATTGATGCTTTTAATTATTTTAGTCTTGTGTTCCACTAACCTCAGATGTATTCAAGGAGAACACCGTAGATTTCTGATTAATTTATAGGGTTAATGCAGAAAATCTGTTTTCCATTTTTTTCAGCAACAAGTCCAAGCTTTTTTAAAACTAACCTAAAGACTAAATGTCATAAATGTACTGTGTTAAAATGACTGAAATAACCTAAGCTTTAGGTGCATAGTTTAAGTTATAGACATTTATCATTTGTATTTGGTTTTAAAAACACAGCTATAAATATAATATGGTTTTAAAAAACACATCACTTTCTCCCCGTCTGTATCTATAGAGAGTGGAGAAAGAGATAAAAACATAGTTAGAGACACAGAGGCAAAGACAGACAGAAAAACACAAAACGAAGAAAATACAGTGTTTGTCCAAACTGATAAAACAGGTGAAAATGTCTACTTTAGTTTATTTCAGACCTATATTGGACATACCAGTTTTTCATTGCCCACAGCACCAGAGGTATCAATGGCACATTCATAGCTGATTACAATAACATTTTGTTTAAAGACAAGTTGTTGTATAGGATCCAGCATTCAGGGCAATTTAAGATCAGGTACTCAAAAAGAAATCAATTTTTGAGAAAAAAAAACTGAAAATCTGCACTCTTCAAATACCACATACATCACACAAGTAGAATTTTGGACATAGAATATCGATAACTGTGTATGCATGCATTTCATTTTACAAGTGGACCGATTTCTGATCGTCAGAAAGCTGTAAGTCAGGCAGCACAAGTGCAGGGCTATACAGAGTTACAGAACTATAAATTGTACGTTACTGGTGGCACACTTGTTTGTAACAGTAGTTGTACAATTTTTTTCCATAGTGTTTGTATGGAAAAAATGACACACTCAGTGGCACACATAAACACACACACATGCACACACAAATATGCATGTTTCTCTAATGGCGTGATATAGTCATTATTAATTCACAGTAACATTATAGTTTACAATACACTATCCTATTGCAAAATTTATAAAGATTTAGCATGCATTGGATAATTTAAAACTTAAGCTACCCTGTTTTTAACAAAGTGACACAAAACTATAGGAAAATGATCTCCTTATTCTGAAGTCAAGTATTGCCATCAGATCTTCAATATCAGTGTAATTAATGACAGCATTAATGTAAGGTGCATGAAAGTAAAATGTGTATTTGAACTCATGATCACAAGTGCAAAGAGAGAGCTTGCATAGTGCATGTTATTACTAGTGTGTTTTCATAGATTGTATTGCAAATGTTGTCGTCATTAGAGAATTTTCTTTAGGAGTTAAGATGCAAGGTATACATTTTATATATTTGTATACTGCCATCTGAACCTGTAGGCATTTTTCTTTCTAACTGGAATATATTCTATAGTATGCTTTCATTGTGTCTTGGCATGTTCTACATTAAACGTATCAACCGATTCTTCTGTAATATGCTGTTTGAAATACATTAGAGATAAATGAAAAAAAATATTAACTCCTCTACCCCAACCCTCCCTTAATTTCAGACTAAGACATGCTTGAATTACATGAATTTGCAAAACTGTACAAGATATATGTACATGGAATGTTTGAATGTGTGTGTTCTGTGTGTGTGTGTGTGTTCTCTGTGTGTGTGTGTGTGTGTGTGTGTATGTGTTTGTGCATGTATAAAGAGAATGCCTTCTAGTCTTAATTCTCAGTGTACATTTCAAACATAAATTTAAATTAAATGACACCTTATCTGGTAAATTGTGCACTGATACAAGAAGTCCAATGTTTTCCAGAACATAACTTACAGATACATAGACAGACACATACAAACATATATAAATAGATAGAATGTGTGTACTGAACAGCTCAGACTGGGCTGAGACCAATTTACCTTTCAGACAGCCATTGACTTAGTGAGATCTATTCTAGTCTGAGTTGGTTGGATTCAAGTCGGTCTCTGGAACAATAGTTACCTGTACTCAGTATGGAGTTCTTGGCAGACATCAGCAATCTGTGTACGCTTTGTCTGTGTTAGACATTGCTGAGTAGCAATCCCTAATGACAGTCTAATTTTCAGTAGAAGAAAACAAAAGACATTTTAAAAAAAAAGCACAAAGCAAACCCTGTTGACGAAGGACAGAGCTTTGATGCTTCTACTATTTCATTGTCATTTTTATTCAGCCTTGACTTGGCCTGGGGTTTTAGTTTTTTAGTTCCCAGCCTAGAAGTCAGCAGGCTATGTTTTTTACTTCTACCTCCCTTTCCCCGCTGTTCTGTGCTGGGAGATTAGTGTCACATCTGTAACAGGGACAGCAATATACATTGCAGATAGCATCTTCATGGTGGCATCACAGGGCATGGAGATAGAACAACAGCGAAGGACATTTATTTTCAAAAATAAAATAAATTGTAGGTAAAAACATTTTTGTTTTAGATAAGCACCATATATTTTGCCCAGGAGAATGTGCTTTATTCTGCACAGAAAAAAAACAGATTGTTATGCCATGCCAATGTAAATAGCTTTATTAGCAGATACTGTCATTGAAATTAAGGCTTTGATAGACAGCTTGTAGGACCCATACATTATTCCAACAGCATTTTTAATCATCAACATTTTGACACAGGGCTATGCTGTCAACAGTGTCTATGCAATATTAAACAACAGCGTTGCACCATCGAATTTGTGACTGTGTTTACACTCTGTAAACTGTACTGAGGTCATATAGTTTTAAAAATTAATGATGCTTACAGCTAGTTTGAAATGCTTCACTCTGTAAGCTTGTGCAGATAAGCATGTTTAGAAGCACAGCTCCATAGTAATAACAGCCAGGCACCTATTAATTGGATGTAGAGTGTTATGAAAGACCAGAATATGGTCAGTTTTTTTTTTTTAGCTGAGCAACATATGTATATTTTTTAATTATTTATGAAACAGAAATACCACTGTGTCAGTGCTATTAAAATCGCACTCTCTCATTTTGCTATTATATTTGCTATTATATACACCGCTTTTAGTAACGGTAGCATTCAGTTGTGTAAAAAAAGAAAAAAATAGAAAATGTCATATATAGGTATGTCACTGTTCAGTATTTAAAAGATGTAACAATGTTTAATCCAAGTGTCCAGGGTGCTGAATTTCATTTGAGCTCCATTTGTAAGTGGCATAGTAGGATGTAATCTCTCTTCATGTTAGCTTTCACACTAGTGCTGATAATGAAAATGATTGCAGTTAATTGAGTGTATTTTTAATTAACGTGATTTGTAAAAAAATAAAATAAAAAAAATGCCATGTTCAAACCAATCTAGTTCTGATGCTGGCTACTTTAAGGCTTTAATTATAATTATCCCTTATCAGACACACTGTCTTATATACATAGTGTATGTGTTGATTTAGGAAATTTAGCATTTGCAAGGGAATGTAGCTCTTGGCACCCAACACAAATGAAATATGTTTTTATTTTATCCATGAGCAATTAGTATTTTAACTTATACTGATTATTTTTATCAACTTATTTTTTTCTGTCTGTCTGTCTGTCTGTCTGTCTGTCTGTCTGTCTGTCTGTCTGTCTGTCTGTCTGTCTGTCTGTCTGTCCATCTGTCTGTCTGTTTATCTCTCTGCCTTTCCATTTGTCTATCTGTCACCTAAAGTATGGACATGTTTGTTTCTGTCTCTGTCTCTCTGTCTGCAATGTGTGTGTCTATACACAGCTTAGTTTGATTTATTTCTGTGCTTTATATGATTGTTGTGACTTAACCATTCTTGAGCTTAACTAGCATACGCTAACATGCATTGTTTAGCCCCTCGTGGAATAGAATGATATGAAGCAGTATAATCTCTTTAAACAGACATCTTATATTGCAAAGGAAAACAGAAAGCCATAGCAAAGTGATGGAGATTGGCATCCACTGAAATCTAGATTAGCATTTCATTTGTGCCATCTACTCATGAGCAGGTCTATAGATTGACAGAGACTGCAGGTCTTACATATCCTATTCAGAGATTTTTGTACAGCATATATTTTATGTATGAAGAGGGAGTTTATTCAGCAAAGAAAGTCAAGAGAATTGTTGCAGAGGGAATCGTACTGCTATTAACCCTTTCAAGGACTGGATGGATCAGAAACAAATGTCATTTATCAGTGGCAGCTATTACACAGTAAGAGATAGCAATTCAAACAAAATATCACTGATTTGTGTCAGCTGGCAATTTTCTGTTTGTAGGCTAATAGATAATGCTCGGACATTCAGAATCATTTGGTAACAAAGTACTGTGATTATCGGGCTTTGAAACACTTGGGAGGGCACAACGTTATCGTTTTCTTAGAATATAAGGAAAAACTGGTATGATTATTTACAGATTGTGCCCAGTGGTGCAAAATAATGCAGATCAGCCCATCTTTGAAAGGGTTAAACAGAAAATTGAAATAATATGCAAACTATATGCAAGGTAATAAATCTTTATAATTGGTTTAAGGGTGTCACAAACGTTGTATGTCACTGACATATAGCGGAGGAAAAGAGCAACATGCACCGTTACTTATCAAGGTCAATTGGCTGAATATACATTATAGCCCCTAGCAGGCTACATTGGAGGGGTGCCGGAATATATTAACCTAACAGTAAAGCAATTACTCATTCAGATCACAGAACCATCAAATGCACATTATATATAAATAAAGAAAATAGTTTTAGTAAAACCTTCACTAGACATTAATTAGTAGAATCTTCAGATAGGTTCTATCTCTACAGAATGCATACCCATAGACTGTTACAGTATCCAGAGTCTATGTTTATAATGGTACATAGTATAGACAAAGGCTAAGCAACCAGTGGATGTTTGAAGTTACATCTCTCCTATTCTAGCCGTTAAAATTGTAACCTTTCATCACGTAGGATGTGACAGGTTGACTTACCCTTATAAAAACGATGGGTTTTGGTGATTTGGTATAAACAGATAATCTAAACAATAAAGGATAAAATAAAAACTAAAAAATAATCCGCAACTAGAACTTTATTTATGGAAGCCAATTTGTGAAACAGATTTGTTACTAAAATATTATACATTTTTTTTTTTTACAATTCTAAAATCTTTTTAAATCTTATCTTTCGTATAATTTACCAATATGTTTTCTATGTTTGATACCCAAAGGCAAAAATAAGTAAGTTGTCTAGAATAAAGCCCAAATAAATCATTGATGACTCCCTAATGATGCGCAAAATCTATGTTCAACACTGTATTTACATCTTTTATTTATTCATTTCTGTTGGATTGTGTAGCAGCAATTGTTTGGTAAATGGAAAAGTCATACATGACAAAGAGGCAAACGAGGTGAAAGACACTAGCTCTGTGTAAGCATAACTCGCCTAATTTATTTTTTATGCAAAGATTAATGTGCACCCAGCGTGAATGTTTTGGTCTCCTCTATCATTATGAGAGGGAACTTTGGATCTGCATTACCTAGCCATGTTACATCAATCAATCAGCAGGGTATGGCTGGAAAAATTCAGCAGGAAATCACACCTGAGCCTGAACACATCCATTTCACTAATGGACTGTCCCTTTTCATATTAAAGCTGAACAGCATTTCTTTGCCTAAAAAAGTTTTTTTTTTGTTTTTTTTCTAAAGTTCACCCATATGCACAGAAAAAATTACCTTTGCTACTGTTCACTTATTGAATATTAAAAAATATATATATATATATATATTTTAATTTATATATATATATATATATATATATATATATATATAAATTTAAAAAAAATAAAATAAAAAATATATATTAATAATGGAAAATAGTAAAGAGTTTTCACAAGACACAATATAGATAGATAGATAAAGTACATTTATTAAAATGCACAAAATGTCAAATAGAAATAGCTTTTAATAATATTTATAATATGTTCTATAACTAAATCATGTAGTTTAATTCTGTCAATTATTTAAAAAAATATACAGTATTTTTTAAACCTTCTATTTCAGAATTTGTTTTGTCGTTTAATAATATTTTAAACAACAAATTAAATATTCTACTTTGCAGGTGAATTCTCAACAAACCAGGTCTTAAGACATTTCCACGTTAATAACCTTAAGCTTTACCCCTATATTTAGGATTGCACAAAATGTTATGTTGTATACAGCAAAACATGTTATGTTGTATACAGTGAAGTTATACCCCATCAGACTTAGTTTAAAGCGACAATACAGGCTGAGTAGCCTTCATTTTTAATACATTGTGGTTTTTGCACATGAAAACCATGCAAATTAAAGAATAATATTGATAATAACAACAAATATACTCAGCCCCTTCATTTCCTAAAAGGTATGAGTGTGCTTATGTTATTCACCTATAAGTAAGGAAGGTGTGCTGTACAAGATCTTGTATGAGTCAATGAAAGCTATGCTTCTTGTTGCATATGATGGGAAGCAAATTACTTCAAAGATTTAGTTTTTAGGTTCGTGGAGGTTTCTTTGCAATATAAAGCTTGTTAGTTAATATGCAGATCGGCCATATACAAAATGGCCTTTCGTAACAATTTGTGTATAGGATTTTCTCTTCTGTGAACGTAAAAATAAATTACATTTTATGTGAAGGGCATAGAAATGAAAATGGGTGGAGATTAATCTACAAAAAGAGGATGCACTGCTTGAGAGTGGGAGTGAGGCGGAGCTAAAAATGAGAAATGCCCAGTTGCCTCAAGTGACTTCCCTATACAATTTTCACTCTCTTTTTTTCCCCTTTTTTTATAAGTGCCTAAAGTGCCCAGAAAAATATTTTCTTTGTAAATTGAATTTTTTTTTTCTCAGAATTGGTAATAAAAAATAAATAAAAATTAATGTTCTATAACAGCTGAAGGGAAGTTTTATTGATTTTATACTCATCATATTTTGCACATAGTATTTGCAACTTTTGCACATATATTTGCACTTGCATAAGTAATAGGTTGTGACTGTTACCACAAATATTGGTATATTCTATCACAGCAGTCCTGAATGAAATATTAAAAAAAAATATTCAAAAAGTATTTTTTTTAAATTGAAGTAATGATGAAATATCCATATAACCACATACCTGCAGTTTCCAAGCTGTAATGCAGATGACACACAAGACTGGCTGACAGTCATGAAAAAGTAGTTCAGAAACAGCTGTGTTGCAAATATTAGCCATCATTTCCCTAGCCAAAGAAACTTTTTGAAAAATTGAATATTTTTTTAATGAAAGGAAGTGAAACCACTAACAATTTTATGATATATTGGACAATATTATATTAAAGTTTAATGAAGTAGTTGCAGCAATTGTTTGTCATTTTAAATGGATTTTCTCATACTGAGATACTCTGAATCAAAGCAGTTCTGTACTCAGTTACCCTTGGTTAGAAAAACCCAAGGCCTAATTTACGAGATATTACATCTATAAATTATTCTAAAGGTGTTATTAATAATTGGCAATATGTGACATGGGTACATGCTGTTCACAGCAGATATAAAATATTAACTAGTTTTTCCACCATTTAATTTTTGATTATGTTGACACACTATAAAGAGTATTGAGAACACAAAGTTGTAAAAATTAATGAGGCTCGCTGTTAGATTCCAGTATTACAATCTACATAACCTGGTGAAGATAAATGAAGATAAAGATTATTTCTTTAGAAGAACTGGTCCATCCAAAACCAGCAAACAAAAACCATTTATGGTTTGAAGGGGAACTGGTACTTTTCAGGGTTTTTTTTTTATTAAGTTTACTTATTCCTTTATTACAAATATATATTTGTGATGTGCGAAAAATAGATTCAAATGTAGAAATCCACACATATTCTTATTGCAACTGGGATTCTCCATCTGAGCTCTCTGTCAATCATTGTTATAATCTCTGTCTTTCGCACCTGACAATCACCATAGAGAAAGCATAGAGAGGATACATTAATTGTTTCCATCGCCCTCCCCCCCCCTTATCTGCAATGTGTGCCCTAGCATTGCCTTGTCTAAACTGGCTTATGATGTCAATTTTTAAATCTTTAATATGAATTTAAAAGAAAACAGAGCATTATTAAAAAAAACAAAAACATTCGAGTGATACAGAAAAGAGACTATAGATGAACCATAAGCCAAGCTGATCACTTTACAATTCTACTACATGTTCACACTATTTTAATATTTCAGTAAATGTTTCTGAATTCCCGTTAGCTAAAAACTAAAATATGCAAAAGAATGGAACAATAAATAATTACTATTTTAATATACCAGAATGCAGAATGTGATATGATATGTTTGTTACAAAACATTCTAGAAGTCAATCAATAGTTGTTGAATTTCAAATTCATTTTTATTCTCTGTAGGAAATAATACGTTATGTATTTACATTCCTTTTATAACCTTTGCAAGTGGACTTTCAAGAATCAAATCTCAAAAAGTAGATGCTTTAACAGTTTTTGAAGAACCCATGGTTCATCTGGATGCAAATCTTTACCGAACGTTGTCCCAAAATGCTCTGTTGTGAACTGGTACCTCAACCCCTCCATGATATAGTTTGCAATAATTTTTAAGCATCAAAATACCAACATTAGTTGATATTTTGCCAGAAAAGACATCTCCAATTTACTCCATATTTTCAAACATAATGTAATGCACAGATTAGCAACAATTCAACAAATCAACCTTGGTTCAGATCATACTTTTTTTTCTGAAAACAAATGGTTGATGCCAAAAATTAAAAATATTCCTTCAAATGACTAATATTCTAAATGGAGTTTCCTAATCAAAGCTTCTGACATCTACAGAAGTCACCATAACATTTATGAGATTTATTGTAGATAAATCACTTGAAAAGTAGTTTTAAAAAAAGTAGCAGAATGGAATAATTTCTGATTAAACAAATTAATTCAAGGAATATATTAAAAAAGGGGCAGACAGTAGAAGGGATGAAAATTGCCCATGGAGGAAGAAGGGATGAGTTTAAAGGACCTCTTAATGGAATATAGACTAGAGTAAAGAGGTAGTAGTCTGTTCTATATGAATGAACCTTCCCTTGAACAGTAGACAGTATAGTTGTGAACAGAGGACAGAAGAAGATCACTGGCAGAGCAAATAGATTGAGAAGGGGTGTACTTATAAATTATTGATGAAATGTAATGGGGTAGAGATTTTTAGAGCTTTGTAGCCTAAAAAGTATAGCAAGCCAATGTATCAAAAAGGGACAAGGTTGAGAGTATCAACAATAAAGATAACATAAGCCTGGCATCAAAATTCTTTATGAAGTGTAGAGAAATAGTGTGTGTTCCAGGAGAGAATTGCAGCAGTTGATTGAGGAACGTATAAGAACCTGAAAAAGCTCCTTAGTAGCATCTCGCGAAAGAAAGGAGGTAATGTGGGACATGTCTTAAGATGAAAATGACAGGATGTGGTAGTCAAAGCTAACTCTAAAGCAGTGAGGTTAAAAAGAATGAACTAATAGACATACCATCAACTTGCTCACCTACCTCCTGCAATACAGATAAGTTAAAGGGACACTAAAGTAACCCAGTGGTCGAGGTGCAATGACCCTGTCCTTTTAGCCCTACAATTAAATCCACCTATAGTGGCAGTCATGAAGTAGCTCTTCTGCTGCACCGATCAAGTAAAACTCATGTAACACGAAAGCCAATGGAAAAGCAATGATCTCATAAATGCAAATAGGAATAAAAACATATATAGACCACTAATGGTAAACAAAAAATACAGAAAAATAAGAGATGAGCTAGTAGATGCTGTAGGATTGGAATAAAGAGCATGCAACCTGTGGGTTTGTAATTAAAACACAGATATGATTTACCACAGGTACAAGGGTACAATGCACAAAGCACACTGCTAAACTTCATCCTTATGTTTGCTCATCCATAATTATTTATCTGCCAGGAGAACATGCTCTTGTTAAAACAGGTGTTGTGTGCACGATTGCTTTAGCAGTGGACATGTTTGAAATTTATGTAGAGAGTTGGTGAGGAAGGGACTGGTAGCCTGTGCCATAGGGACAGAGAAATGTGCTTCCAGACAGATACCGTACAGAAAAATATCATTAGTGAATCAAGTCATTTTGATGAGTTATCAGAAGTTAAAGGTACACTTTAACTGTGTAAATAAATATATTTATTTATAACCTTAGAATGTTCCTTTTAACTATTAAATTTCCTCCTTTGGGACTCTAAACAAGAACTGAAACGCACCTTTGATCGAACATCATGCCAGTCTCAGCACGGCACCCGCTCCACCAAATGTGAGATCGTGATCTGAAGCCAATCCCAAGCTTCTCAAATAGAAACTTTGACGCTCTAATATAAATATTGCCATTTCTCAGAAATAGCAATTTTTACATTTGTCACACTGCAGGGATAGGCTCTATGCACAAAAACCACTAAACTTATGAATCGAGTTGTTCAGGTGCTTAGAGAGTTGCTCAGGTGCCCTGCCCCTGCAGTCAATATACTATGGTTACAAAGGGTGAAAAAGTAAAAAATAAAATGCAAACAAATCAATCTGTCAATCAATAAATAAATAAATGAATCTCTTCATAAATATGTAGATGATAAAGTAGAAAATATATTTGTTACTTCTACATAGTCTGGGTTCGGTAATGCTGGTGGTTGGTATACTGTGGTTACTGGAAGCAAATGAAAGCAATTAATTATTTTTTTACTAGACTTGGAGACTGCAATTCTTCCAAATTTGGGCAGATTGGGTGACAGTACAAATTCTGGAACTGTGAGCCGAAATGTAGCCGAATCATGGCTCAAAGAAATATTTGATATTAACAAGCATTTTTGTTTTGATTCCTGATCTGGAATTCAGCCTATGGTTCCAAAGAAGAGATGATTGACGGGAAAGAAAGGTAATTGATGGCCAGAGGACCGCCACTAAATGCTGATTTTATTCACAGATCAAGTGAGTAGTGACCAACAGAGGGTACAAAAGGAGGAGCAGAAAATCTATGTTTATATATTATACATTTAATAAACTGTTCCTCTTCTTTGTCCCACTATTGGTTACTTTTTCTCACTTGATTTATGAACCAATTGGCAGGAAAAAATGCCCCCATCTGTGTAGAGGAAAATATACACATAATATTTATTATGTATATATTTGGTAGTACACCAATTGGTCTATATTCACGCCCCCTTTCGATTCTTCTCATTCGTTTTCTGAAATATATTCACCATATGGCTGAAAGTGGTTCAGCCAAAACTAATTTGTGCACAAATCTATCTTTTACCATAAATCTATTTGTATCATCAGTTAATTTAAATACCCCTTACATACAGAGTGTGAATTGAATCTGAAAATACACATATAAAATAATAATATATTTTTTGATGATATACATTTGATGCATACAAAGCAATTGAAGCAAATGCATTATACAGTCTGTAATTCAATAAAATATATGGAAAGTATATGATATTATAATGACACCAGCATTAGCTCTTTACCTCATTACTGTGCATTATTTCCTGATTTTTTTTTTCTGCTTATCAAAATAATACTGTATGGTAAATGCTATAAAAAAAATTAATTTTGAGGAAACGTACTGGTGTTTAAATTCCTATTTCTTTTGAAATATTTGTATCTTAAATATTTTTTCATAAACTAGGGATTTGTGAATTGTCAACTAAGCTGCAAAATGTATAAGTATTTGCTACTAATGTCTGACAACATTATTCACTAAACACCAGATTTTGCCTTGATGGACAAAATCCAGTGAAACTAACACAATTCTGACCAGAATGCAATTTGTATACTTACTAAAGCCAATCCGGGCTGGAATTCACTCAGGCCGAGCGAATTTACATCAACCAGCTGGATGCATTCGGTGTCCGGATTAAAATCAACCTTTTTACATCCAACTCCTATTCAAAGTGTAGGATTTATAAGATTCAGTAAGCACCACTTTTACTAAATTTGGACAGAATGAATTCAGTAGGATGCACATTCGCAAATTGTCGTTAACTTGTTTGTTTGCAAGTAAATTGATCATTTGAAGAATTATTAGCCTGCTAGCAGTGCCAGTAGCAAGCAGGGAAATTGTTAGGGTTAATTATGTGGTGGCTAACCAGCACCTGCAAGCCAACCACCACATTAAAACAGTTAAAAATAAAAATCATTTAAAAACCCTATGGGGGTTTCTGTAAGGGACGTTTAAAACTTCTCTATGCCTTCAACCTGCTAAGTGTGTCCAAGTCAGTAGAAAGGCCTGATCCAAAGGGGATGTGGCCTGTTATTAACAAGGAAAAACCCCTGTGCCCCCATCTATTGACATAAAATAAGGGACTTTAAAATAAATAAAGGGGAGTGGACATATCATTCTCAATCCCCTGCCTTCACCCAAGGCCAGTGGGTGGGGGCTATTAAACTTAAATAAACAAGGGGGGAACTCATATGTCCCCTTCCTGCCCAACCCAAGAATGGTGGGTTGGGGCAACTAATTTTATATTTGGGTAAACCTACTGGGGGCCTAACTTGGGTCTCTAAATAAATAATTAAACAATGGAGGGGTGGACAATGGCAATTGCTTCCATATTTGGCTTTCGGTCCCCAATCCTTAATCTAAGGCCATGTTAAAATAAATAATCCGCTGAGGTGGGGGACATTTGGTCTCCACATCTATTATTAATAGAGCCACTGTTTGCCACTAATGGCTGGGGGCTGGAGTGGGGACATTAGGTCCCCCAGTATAAAATTAGGAGTCCCTGTCCTCTGACCATTGGTGGGGGCAGGGGAGGGGCATTAACCCTTGCACCGTTATTCAAGTCTGAATTACAAAATCGAAACATTATTGAATAGCATGAACAATGTCTAAATTTCATAGTCTAAATGGTACCATATACAGTATAATGATGCCTCATTCTGTATGGGTTTATTGAAACTTTTCTGAATAACCCTGTGAGATTTCAGGAACAAAATGTTGTTTTAGATTTGTTCAAGATGTATTAATCTATTTATTAATTGCCAAGTAAGGGGGAAAAACAATTACCAGCCTTAGCAGACCTTAACAAAAGTCATATTTGGTTATCCCGAACTCATTGTGTTATTATTGTTCATGCAAATGTTTTAAGTAGTGCTCGTTAAATGGGAACGGTCACTTTGCCGAATAGTATATCAATGAATAACAATCTAACATTCAGAAAGGGAAATCTGACTTCATTTGAAGGGTCTCTGAAAAGCAAGCAAATTATCGTCACAAAATATAGCATTTCCAATCAATTATAGAACACACTGTCTTCTTATTCAATTGACTTACTTACTCTCTGCTATACTTCAAAAGAAGGGTTTAGGAATGGTAGTCCTGTAATGCTCACAATGTGTCAATATAATATTTTTTTTTTATCTTCAAAATAACTAAGAGTACTTATGTCTTCTTGTGAAGAGGCATAACCCCATTTTAGATATGGGCCTTTTGGTCTTCCTCTCCACATGCTAAGAGAGACTGTGATCTCTCTAAAGTGAACATTGGGTCTGTTTTGAAAACAGTACTCTGTCAGAACTCAACGTGCCACTTACTGTCCAGATGGAGACATGTTGGTCCTCTTACCAGTATATTTCTCTTGGCAAATAATCTTTTTGCATATAATGGAAGAGTTGTGAAACCATCCTTCTGTATTTTCAGTAGATAGAGAGAAAGTTTATTGATATGTAGATGGAACATCAAATCACAACATTCAATCAAAAGTGCACTCACTCATAGTAGAATAACACTGTGTTCCTGGTGTTGTGTGTTGTAAATTGCCCTTTTATCTGGATTATTTATACAAATTATCCCGAACTATGAATATGTATGTATTTATGAATAGGTAAGGAATGCATCTTGCAAAGGCTAAAGAAATAGGAGCATATAGTAACACAGAAAAAGCACTATTATATATCAGAGTACATTGTAAAAACCAGTTGCAATTTACTATAGCTCAGGCAACAGTTGGGTTATAGATTGAATTGTTAATTAGATTGCGCATAGAACGTATTATTATTTTTCCTTGCTATCCATAAGCAAAAGCCTATGATTAAGCACTAATATTGAAACAGCGATTATTTTCACTTCAGAAATGATTGTGTCTGAAGTGACGAGGGATCACATCGAGGTCATTTTGCAGACACTGTCAAACACAACATGCATCTACCAAAGTCGGTACCCAAGACATTACAGTAAATGTGTTAACAAAACTCAATACGCATCAAAAGAACCTACTTGATCAATTATTTGATTACCCTATTTACATAAAACCATTGGTACACTACTGTAAGCAGAAAAGTCCAAAATCGAATACATCACTGAACTTTAGCTATCTGAATTGAAGCCTTTGCATACAAATCCATTGAAAACCAACATAATATTCTGTACTAAGAGTAAATAACACAGGGTGACTATAATTTCCAAATGTAGTATCAACTATTGTGTGTCATACTGCCTTTTTATTGTAGTTGATTGCTAGAATCGGTAAAAAAAAAAGGTCTGTTCTTTGACCATTTCTTTCTGGTATATGTTGTTCTAACCTTCTGATATTTATTTCCAACATTCTAAAAATAAAATGAAACAAAATGCTTTTTGCTTTTTTTGCAGCATCCCACTGAGCACCATTATCTGTTGTCTATTAAGTGAGAAATAAATCATTCAGTGTACTTTGTGATAGCCTTGCCTGCAAATTGCTGTGTAAACAGGAAGATTCACTAGGCATACCATCACTCTAGAGTTTAATGGTTTTATTTATGAAATCTAGTTATCACCATGGCCATCCATATAGAAGTTACAAATAACCCATGTGCAGAGCCTAATGGATTTATGGGTTATCACCTGGTTCTTCAGACAAGAAAGAGTATCTGTCAGCGTGGATCTGTCTCTATAGGCACTTTCATGGAAAAGAAGTACAACTTTGTTAACAGTTATCAAAGAGCTTTAGTGTGGTGCTTCTCTAATTCTTTAATGTTTTTTGTTTGTTTGATGTGCACCATAATTATGTTGACATCCATTCTCTGGTTTACAGTTCGTTCAGTGACCCATTTCTTTAATTACAAAGTATGTTAAAATACACCTTTATTAGATTCTTCTCAGTCTTAAAACAGACTCAATTTTACAGGGGAAGGTTGTTCTGATACATAATAATTTATTATGGGTGGTCTACAATGTGAGAATTCACTGGCGATAGCACAGACGGTGGTTAATACTAATTCATCAGCTGAATTAAGAAAGCCACAGAGACAAAGTTACTGCATGGTAATAGATAAATATAATTAAAAGCTTTATTCAAAGCATATTAAATGATGTGTGATACTAATTGCTTAATCACTTTGTGTAACTTTAAATTTACACAGAGGTTTGTGTAAAATTTAAGAGGTGTAGGTAAGAGTGTGAAGACAACTGTGACTTCGCAGATGTGTGAAGGTGTTAAATGCTGCTGAACAAAAACTCTGAAAACAGTTTAGGTTTAAGTGTTGAAATGTTTTCAAATGCCATAGGAAATTCTACAAAGAGTAAAGACTGCATCCACTTAAAAAACCCTGATCTATGTCTTACTCACAAAATACAATTAAATTGGCAATTAGTTATTTTAGTTCTTCAGAAACCATGGTGAATCCTACTAAAGAAATTATTTAAAATATATTTCTCAACATGCATTAATCCCCAATTTCTTATGACTGATTTCATACAAATATTATTATTTTAAATATGAGCCACATGTCAAGGTCAAGTATAATATGATAGCTATTAGATTAAAACAAAATCCTTTCAGTATCCTTGGATATATGCCATCTGACCTTGGGACTTTATCCACCTTAAAGGGTGGCTTCAAACATAAACTGTAGTGTGTATGTACTGTGTAAGGACTGTGTCTGTCTCCCTCCAAGTCAACGGTGCTACCATCAGCTCCACCACGCAGGCTCGCTGCCTAGGTGTTCTCTTTGAACCTGACCTCTCCTTCAAGCCTCATGTTCAATCTATCGCCAAATCCTGTCATTTCCATCTCAAAAACATTGTGCGCATCCGCCCCACTTAACGCCACATGCAACTAAGGTGTTGGTCCATTCCACTGTCCTTTCTCGCCTTGACTACTGTAATCCACTTTTCAGCGGTCTTACGTGCTCCCAACATGCGCCGTTACAGTCCATAATGAATGCAGCAGTGAGGCTCATCTTCCTGACCGCCCACACCTCCTATACCTCACCCTTCTGTCAGTCCCTACGTTGGCTTCCTATAAAATATAGAGCTCAATTTAAAATTCTGGTTCTTGCTTTCAAATTGCTACATAATGCTGCTCCCACCTATCTATCTGTCCCATCTAGGCCCTTACGATCTGCTACGACTTATGTTTATCTTCTGTCCCTACTCCCACCTCTGATGCTCACCTTCAAGATTTCTCGAGGGCTGCACCGTTCCTGTGGAACTCGCTTCCCTCCTCTGTTAGATGCTCACCCAGTCTCCACTCCTTCAAAATATCGTTAAAAACCCACTTCTTCATAAAAGTGTATCAATTAAACTGTTAATAGCTCCTGACTGATTCCTCTTCTGCAACTGTCACTTGTCTAATACTACCCTTACTTATTTGTGTCATTTTACCCCACTCCCTCTAGCCTGTAAGCTCATTGAGCAGGGCCCTCAACCCCTCTGTTCCTGTGTGTCCAACTTGTCTGGTTACAACTACATGTCTGTTCATCCATCCATTGAAAAGCGCTGCGGAATTTGATGGCGCTATATAAATAACAATAATAATAATAATAATATGATGCCAGAAGTACCCTGGCCCCATTTCCCAGTGATGTGTCAAACGATTTTGCGACGTTTGAAGACAATCCCATTGGCCATCCATTGGTTGAAAACATCAGCAGATCTCTGTCAGACAATTAATGCAATTCTGTGCATAAGAATATGCACAGAATTTAAATGAACCAGTCCAGAACTCTTGTACCATGCTGGCTATTGATGCCCACATGAAATTGTCAGAGATGCAGTTACACTTCCGGCAGTAGAGGGTTTCAACCCCATATGTGCAGAATTTCAAAGTAAAATGCTGAACATACAGACTGCAGGCACTATGGCCACTTCAAATCACTGAGGTGGTAATGGTGCTTGTAGAAACTCTTTAATTTTATTCCATTGCTTTAATATGTTGCTCTGTGTTAGGCAATACATTCATGCATAAATTCTATAAGGTATCAGGGTTCCACACAACATATTTTATGTTTTTCTTGTGAGCAGTTCATCCAGCTCAATGATCTTCATAGCTACTCTGAACATGTTGGAGTTCCTAAAACGCATTGGTTTAGAGGAGTCTTTACCAGTTTCCTATTTTTTCCACGGAAAAATTCTGGAAACAGGATCCCAAGAGTTTTCTCATGTGAATGTTGAAGAAACCTCTTAATTCTATATTTTACGAGATCCAGATATGCATAATTTCTCATTGTTACCTTTACTAACAGAAAGTTGTTATATTCCATTCAAAGTTCTATGCGGAAAAATAACGCACCACTGAAAGCCTGGTGCGTCCATGGCCCACTAACCAGGGGTGAGTTTCTACTCGCCAGAGTAGTAATTTAATTCTCCATAGCTAGGGGGAAGTAGTAAATGTGAGCCCTATGGTAAGGTGTATACAAGCTGTTACAGTCTAAAACACAGTTATTATATTTTATCTTCATTCTTACCATTCTATGTAATACAGTATTAATAATGCCAACACAGCTCAGATACCTCTTTAGCACTTCAACAAGCCATATCAGCCATGGGTACATCTTAAGTGCACCCTCCAGTAATATACTTTATTTTGCGTTTTACCAATAGTTCCTCATCTTTTACAGAATTTGCTTTCTACTAATTTCATCTTGCAACTCCTTCTCATGCATCTCCCCTGTTTGATATTTTTGCAGTGATGAACATTGTCTAGATCCAGTTTTTCATGTAAATCGTTATCAGATATAAATGTCACTTTTCCGGGTATAATTTATGCTTCTGTCACTCCTGGGGGTGTCCGTTGAACCACTTTTGTTTGTCACTCATGTTCTTCCATACTATGGTATCACACTAAACTTAAATTCAGGTATTTTCCATTACTCTCGATTGTCTATGTTAATCTTGTTATCATTATCTATACATAAAGAGTCATGATCACCCAGCAGGCCCTTTCATTGCATCCATGTTGGTCACTGCAGGGATTTCATATAACACATACTTAATTGGACCCTCATGGCATAGAAAGAGCTTGTAAATGACAAAGCAGTAGTTTGCTGTCGTGTGTGTATATGTGTGTATGAATAGATGAATCTATTGCTAAAATGACTTCATAGGGATATCAATATTTTAAAAAATGACAACATTTTATTAGGTTTTCATGCTATATTGTAATAATTAGGATGGTTGTATGGCTTATTACCAGTGCTGTATAGATGATTTGCATATTTGATTTAACTTTTTGACCATAGATATATCTGTCTGGAAACAAAAGCACAGAATACAAGTTACCCTTCCAAATAAAACATTGTGATATTGCTGCAATTTGACTTAACTAATCATCCAACTTAAAAATCTACAGTCTATTTTGTTCACGGTGATATTTATTGTTACTAAATTGTATTTGGACTGTAATGCAATCTACATCCAAATTTAAGATTTAAGTTTGGATAAGACTCTTCATGGAAGATATGGTTTGATCATGCTCTGCACCCGTGGGGCCTGCCTTTCACAACTTTGACATTTGTTGAAGACCTATTCTATAATTAAATGAACTGTACTCGTTCCCAGGAGTTTCCATGTCACATTTAATTCCTCTACTGAGCTGCCACTTTCTTTATCTGCACAATAGCATTGACAGAGTGTGTGCACTTTAAAGAGAGGTGCTGTACCCTATTTTTCTCAAGAGCACTGGCATTGGCATTCAGACAAATGACAGTCTTGCAAGAGTACAGAGCTGGCACCAAACATTTGTGTGCTTTTTTTCTGTTTGTTTTAATTGGCTATCAGACAGGAGTATTTATGGAATTTTTGTTTTTAAAAATGTATTTTAGAAAGATGTGGGGATGCCATAGAATTGTAATGGCTTTGAAACCACCATGAAAGCCATGTTCTGAATGGGTCACAGAGTCTGGAGCTGACTCTCTAACATTCTATGCTAATTTCATAATACTGAGACTCACAAATCTTTCCTCTTTGTACAAATGTAATCCCTTCACGTATATAGATTTGTCAATTCAAATTATCTTTACATGTTAGGATGTTCATGGGGATTAGCAATGCAACCGTTTAGTTAAGTGAGTTATTGAGACAGCCATGGCTATCCATTAAGTTTAAAATTACAAAGTAAAATTCAGAGAAACTCATTTGGGGACACCTTTGGGATAATTTTGAGTCAACAAGTTGGATGTAAGTCTCTAAATTTTTTATCCTCTAAAATTTACCAAACTCAATTAAAAATTGTTGAATACTTTTTGTCCAGGGATTCAAATCTGTTAGAAACACTTTCCAAATGATTTATTTACAAAGGTCATCATTAAAGTTTATAGGATTTTTTTGTTGTAAATAAATCATTTTGAAAGTTTTTTTTGGCAGCTTTGAAACATTTGGCGAGCTTATCCAAAAATATAAAAATCGATTCCCTAGGTCTGTATTGAGCCAGATAAACTCTAAACCTTAGTTTGTCAAAATCAACACAAACAGCTTTGGTAGAGTCCAGATAAACCCAAGAACAACTAAGGAGTTCATTACTAAATGTTTCCTAAACTATAATAAATATTTCGACCCACTAAACATCAGGTTGAGAGAAAAGGTGGCATAGTGTCCATGCCAAGAGACTGGATCTATCAGCAAGTTATTAATAGGTGAAGGAGTTTGACAATCATTCTTTAGCACTGTATTAGAAGGCACGGCGGGTCACATTTTAACCCCTGAGTTATCAAACATTTGGTTTTCTTCTGCATCTATTAGAAGACAAACTTGTATTGAAAAAGGGATGAATGGAATGCAACTGAAAAAAGTGAGAGAGGTCTATTGGGTAAAAAAGTACAATGTCTATTTGGCCATGGGTTCTTATTAATAAAAACATTATAGAATTCTGGTGTTCTACTCTAGATGTAGCAGACATTTCCATGTCTAATTACAGGCCAAGCAAGTCTCATAAATATTCAGCAGCACTTCTTATTTTTAAAACATTCTAAAAATCAATAGTTCTTGTTTTCAGTATTTTCAGCATGGAGACATTCTATATCTTTCGCTGACAATGCACTGCGCCAATAACTATTTTTGACTGCATATAAACTGCCTACTTACTCAGAGTAGAAACGAAGTCAGGGAAAAGACAAAGCCATGAATGAGGTTATTTGACTTCTGTTTTAAAAATATGCTAGTTGCTGAATTAAACTGTGTTTTTGGTATGCTCAGCATGTGAAACGTATCTGCTTGCATTGATGGACAGTAGAGTGTAGATGTCAACCTGATTTTTTTTTGCATGTTTCTTTTTAGTCTAGAGCAGGGCTGTCCAACCTGCGGCCCTCCAGATGTTGCTGAACTACAACTACCATGATTCTTTCAATGAAACAGATAGCCAGGGAATCATGGGAGTTGTAGTTCAGCAAAATCTGGGGGGCCGCAGGTTGGACAGCCCTGGTCTAGAGGGTAATGGAGACTTGTAATGTACTTTCTATATCAGTAAGGTAGTGATGAATACTACGACAGGCTGAAATAAACACCTGAGGTTGATATATGCCCTTGTGCAGAGGTGGGAAGTAAAGTTTGACATTTTAGTTCTTGACTGGCCATGTTAAAAGGACCAGTTTGGTTTGTGTGTATGTGTGCACCATATCTCCGAACATTTCAAAAGGACAAAGAGAGACACTTTAATTTAAGGGTGTAGGTGAAGGTGTAGCCAGATATGTAGCAATTCTGAGCAATTTTAGGTGACTTACTAATAACAAATTATAAAACTAAAATGTAATTTTCATTGAGAACAATGTATCTGATTTACACAGTCTGAGTTCTAAACACATTACTGTGAGTATTATTGCTGCAGAGCTCTGCTATACGCTCAGACACACCAACAATATAGAGCCCATAAAAAACATGGACATTGGGTCCAAAATCAGGATTGCTACTCCTAAAGAAACTGTGCAAGCTATTCTTTCTGGTCTATTTTCAGTTTTTGATAATTGTATAGAAGTCAGTGAAGAGGTAATTTCACAATCTCTAATGAACATACAATTTTTGGTGATAAGCATTAGTATTTGGATCCAAATTCACATCTTGTGTATATCATCCCTTTTTTTTAATGAATTTTAAATAGCAACAAGTGACATCTGGGACATTTTAGACTGAGTAAATGCACACAGTTGGAATAGAGATACAGTTTCTTTTGATACCGTCCTCCTGTCTATGAGTCCTGGAAACATATTATCACATTCCTACATCTCACTTTCTCACAGAAATAGTAAAATTTAAGAACTACAAAAAAAGCTAAAAAGTTGCTATTTGCTACTGTCAGTACCACGGTAATAAATGCCATATACTCCTAAAGGAACTATGCAATTGCCCCCCAATTTTTTTTTTTTCATTATGGAACTTCCAACCCAACATACTGAATCATATTTTATAAACCCTCTAAACATCTTTTCTCAAAAACACAAACTCATTATACTCAAATTTACTTTCTATTTTCATTTGATTGTCTAATTAAATTGTAATGACTATATCTGCTGAATAGTCGCTTTTAATAAATAGGTGTAGAAAATGTTACAGAAATTCAAGGGTTGTTATAGATCAGATACGACTGGTTCTCTGTCTCCAACTGACATTAATTGTGGAGTTTTTACCTTTCTCGTAATGCCTTTATTAATTTAACCAGCATAGTTCCACCCATGATAATCATATTATCTGACAGTTATTATGGAATGTTTACAGTGTATGATAGACTTATATTTTGAAATAAGGTTTTAAAGCTATGGAAAGAAAATCCAGGGATTATTAGAAAATGCCTAACCTACAGTGATGTATTTTATAGAGTGATTGTTATGGAAGAAATATGAGTTCTGCATTATTCTTTCTGATAAGAGGCCTATAAAGTCAATGTGCATGATTGCTCCATGTCAACGTTCAATGTATTGCAAGGGAGAATAAGATCTGTATCCAGATGTTTCCTCTCTTTGGCTCTTGTAGATACCAAGTGTTCCAGAATATAGTGATTCATGTACAGAATATACAATATATGATGGAATCTTTTGTCTCTTTCATGCATTATAAAGACATAAAAGAGAAGAGACACATATGAGCAGGTTAAGGGCTTCAGGGCTGAGCAGGGAGATCATTTTGATCAGAGTTGGTGCCCCAGGATTAGATATCTGAATCTGAACCCTTAGCAGCCACATTGGCCACCTCCAGCTCTGCCCAGTAGATTCACAGGTAAGGAGTGACAATCAGAATTTAGGAAGTGACCTTTTCATTAACAAAGTCTAGCTAATTGTTCAGACAGTACTCTAAATTTCAGGAGCTTATGTGATCTGAAATTTGACACCCTGAGGATTTTTTTTTTCTTTGACTGGAAAAATTCCACGACAGAAAACACTCTATAAGTCTTTGAAAAAAAATAAAATAATAAGTAAACAATGAATATGGTTGCATTGAAAAAAATGGCAACTCGATGAAAGTACACAATAAATTACAGATAATGCATTTTAAAATGTTTTTATTCTTCTGAAATAATCATGCATATCTGATGATATATATTATTCTTATGCAAGCTATTGATATATGAATGAGATGCTAGAGCTAAACGGGGAACGTTAATGGGACTGGTGTCAATTTATCATCTATAATTGAATCTTAATAATGAATGTATATTTTACTCTAACACTTAAAGGACCAATGATTGTCTATTATCTCATGATAATCCCTTTAAACACCCTGTTTCAAAACGGCATACTCCCCCTCCCATTTTAATGATACCATCATGTATAGAACTTGGAACTTGGAACTTCCAGATTGATCAAGCAGAGAATGCTCCAATTAAAGATTTGGAATATGCTCCTAGATCACCAGTCCTCACTGCCATGGACTTAAAGTTTAGTTCCATCCAGATTTTATCACACTCTGAAGTACCTGGGGACATTCTTAAGAGACCATATAAAGGAGTCAATTCAGAAAATGTCCAATGTTTATTAAACAGAACAAAAGTTTTAAGGCAAAGTCATAAGTGGCAGTCTAGGGGCAGTTACATTAATTGCCAATCAAATATTAACAACTGTTAACTAACAACATGGTTTAAGCATATAACAAATCATTGCTCTAAAACTTATCCAGTGGGCATTACTAGCTGGGGTCTTCTTAGAATAGGAGGATGAAGGCGTAGGATTTTTCTAGAAGAGGTGGGCAAGAATGGTCATGGGCAGAAATACGTATGCATCATCCTTGCAATTTACAAAGTTGTTAGTTTTATGATTTAGCTGACTGGAAATGAACCCCTTCAATAGACCAATGTAGGCAAACAATACAGCTGATTCTTAATAGGTTAAAGAGTTAGCACTAAATGCCAAAATCTGAAGCTGGATATAGAAAGACTGTGAGTAAAGAAAGGATGTTGCAGAACTTAAATCGGCTCTGTAGCTGCCTTTGCGTAATTTGCAAAGACCCCTGATGGTGACTGCTCTGCTGTTCAGGGCCACGGAATGCAGGGAAAGGTGAATTTTACTTACCTGAGCCTGTCCATGGCCATTGTCTTTCTGACAGTCCTTTTAAACTACTGGCACTTTATCTGAAGTCCATGGAGGATCCTGCGAGAGTGCAGGATCCTGCATAAAAAACCCCAAAAACACATTTCTCTGGGGGAAGTGACAAAGCTTGATGGCTATAGCTCTGCCATTGGTCAAATTTTGTCAAATGTAGGAAATATATTAAGATAAAATAGTCCCTATATGTAGTAGATTTTATCTTTATGAAGTACTCATTTGAAGGAGTGGGGAGGAGGGGGTGGGGAGCTTTTACAGGATAGAGGATGGATGACGGAGAAAATGAGAAGCTAGTTTAATTTGTAATTAGATATCCTGAAATCCAAATAAACACATATTTTTGCAGATTACATATTGTACAGACTAGACAGACCAGAAAAATCTTTAATGTTAATGAGGCTCTGGCAAGGCTCTACTTGTTTGTCATGCTCTCCACGTACCTCGATGCCTAATATTTTATACGAGTCACATCCCAAGATGTTTCATTATCTCATGTACACCACAATAGAATACGAAAAGCCTAACTTCACAACCTTCAGCCCCTTACAATCACTCTCTCACACACCCCAACTCCATCTTACAGGAGTGTGTTATGTGGGCAGTAGCAATATAATAAATTAACCCCTTAGTGACTGAGGTTTGGCATGATTCCATGAATTGTGTAAAATGGAAATCTGAATGGCAAAATGTACGCAAAAAAGAAAAAAATGATCTGGAAAATATTCTCCCATTTAGCTATAGTTACAGCTGGCCCATGCTAGCCTCAATGTTGACATTCAGATTGTAATGTACTACAAATGAAAGATTAGTGGATAAACCCAAGAGGGTGAAAAAAAACATATAATATACCCACAGAATATTTATCTAGGTCCATTTCGACAATATTCACATAATGATTGTATCACTGACGTCTGATTGTATTTACTTTTTTGTGTCTTTCATGCTAAAACATCACATTGCATTGTTTTGCTGTGAATACTGTAATTATGATATGGGCTACTGCAGAAAAAAAAACATCATCCCCTGTTAACAGCAATACGGCTGATGATAGTTTGTTTTAGTGCTTGTTTTAGAATTCAGACACCATTTTGACAGATTAATTTACTAGACCAGGCATAGTCAACTTTTAGCACTGCAGATGTTTTGGACTACACCTCCCATGATGCGTTGCCAGCATTATTAGTGTAAGAGCATTATGGGGGATGTAGTCCACATCATCCGGAGTGCCGAAAGTTGCCTATCCCTGTACTAGACCCATGCTACATATGGGGAAGAATAGAGGCCCCCTACTGCAAATAACTCATCATGGTATACTGCTTGTTTGACACCTGGGTTTTTGCAGGTGGTATATCCAGGGCAAGGAATTCTGCCACCCTAGGCAAAGATCCATTTTGCCGCCCCCTCATGAGATAGTTCCACAAGTTCATTCACTAAACTCCAAAAGGAAACATTTCACTAATTTCTTTTTAAACAATTTAGTAGATATACCCTCAAAGAAAATAATTATTTTTTTCTGCAAGCCATCCAATCAGAGGCTTCTCACTAAGAAGCCTCTGTTCTGGGGCTGCAGTTATGCACATGTGCAATCGATCACAGCTTTCCCATGTTTCCCTAGTACAACACATTGAGAAAGGGAGAAGGCAGGGGCACGCTAGTACAGCACATCTGCCTCTTCTGGTAGCTCTGTGGAGCTAAAGGAAGTGGAAGAAAAATTTCCAAGCTGTGTGACAGACAGGGAGGTATTTTGACCCCAATTATAAAAGGTCTAATTTCTATTTAAATCAGAACTTTTATAAACACACACACACACATCACACTAATACAGACCCATACACACACACACTGGCACACACTGACCCATACACACACAAAACACACTTTCCCTGACAGTCACAAACAGTACAGAATACCTGCAGCAGCCTGTCACTTGCTCACTCTGCCCTTTATAGCATGTTGGCTGCCCGGTATGATGTCACGCCGAATTACGACAGCCATGAGTATGGAGCACTGAGAGGAGTGGATGATGCCGCTCTACACACCTTCCTGTGAGCTGCAGCCAGGCCTTGTTATACCATCCCTTCACCTGCCTGAGATAGACTCTCTGTTCGTCACCAACACTCACCAAGGCAGCCCTAAAAGAGTTTTAGAAAATACTTGGGCTGCATACATTCCACATCCCTGATACAAACTGTGTGCTTAATACATAATTGCAATATATGATATTACATACATGTAATACATTAATACACGTCTTAATACATACACAAACTATCCAGTAGAGACACATAGTGTCTAATTCTCTAATACACACACACACACAGACACTGTCTAATACACCTACACACACACACTGCCTTATGCATACATACACACACAGCCTAATACAAACACCCACCCACACACACATACACATACACACGCATTGCCTAATACATACGAACACACGCACACACTGCCAAATACATCCATCCATACACACACACTGCCTAATACATACACAGACACTGCCTAATATATATATCTACACACACACACACTGCCTAATACATACACACACAGCAAGCTGCCTCCTTCCCTCATATACTCAGGTGCGGGCTGGGGGAACTGGTTCTGTGTCATGCTTCCAGTCTTTCTGTGGTCCCCACCAGGAACAGGACAGGAGGAGCAGCACAGGATATTTTTCCCTTCCACTGCCCTCCTCTTCAAAGGACTTCTTGAGGCGGGGGCTTAGAGAAAGTGAGGAAGGGTTAGAGGAAAGCAGGGGCAGAGTTAGAATTTTTAGAGCAGGGAAAGGCTGAATGGACAGAGTGAATGGTTTGTGGGCGGGCAGAGGCGGGGTTATGATTGTAACCCCTATGCTTTGATGAGAGCATTTTATCTGTCTGAACTTCAAGGAGGAGGACTGTAGCAGTGAGGGTAGGGCGCCGGCAGCTCTATCACAGGTGGAGTGGGGTCTCTGTGTTCTCCGTGCGTAAACACTGGCAGCATAACCTCATGGGGGATTAAGCCTGCATTACAGCGCCTGCGGTGCCCTCTCTCACAGTGCGCCCTAGGCCACTTCCCAGTCTGCCTATTAGAAGTGCCGGCCCTGGGTATATCTTGAGTCTTTTCCCTTTGACATTTCTGTTGAATTTAAAGGTAATTTAGTTTTTTACACATTTCGAATTTGTGGTGAATTTTACAGTCCAAGTCTGTTCTAAAGACACCATATGCCAGATTTATATTCTGCTACTACCTCAAACAACATTAATATGATATATATATATATATATATATATATACATACATATATATATATATTTTTTTCCCCTTCCGTTACTATCTGTGATTTTCCCATAACTATAACATATATTGTAGTCCAATAAATCTGAAGGTATGAGTGTACAGAACTGAATGAAGACATTATTAAGGTATTAAACCTGCTCTCAAAGTTATCTGTTACCATCCTGCATTTGTACATTTATCGAACTCCACCTTGAGAAGATATAGAGAAGCTTCTAATGTATTCCAGCACTACATGTTGGTGAGATAGCTCAGTGGGCTAATGCATCATTAGGAGAACCTTTTCAAACCTTGGGGGTTGTAGTTTCAACACCTGGCATGGGTGATTCAGCCCTCCATCCTTCCAGTGTAGATAAAATTAGTACTATTAAATTGGGTAATAGTAACAACCTCTGGATGTTGGGCAAAAGTAACGTCTCCAGGATGTACTTGGAAACCAGAGTAATCTGAATGTACATTTTCTGGTTCAATACTTTGTCATTATTATATGTTTTTAAAACCTCAATTTGTAGATTCATGGCATATCCATACCCTCTTTGACACATTGAAACTAACATAGCAATCATAAACATGACTTATGGTTCTTATGCAACTGACTGATTAAACGTGTACCTGTTTGTTGCTTCCATAGCAACTGCACATTGTGTCTGAAGTTGGAATGACATATTACATGATAGCATTAAACGAATGAATGAGAGTGAAAGAGCTGTCACAGATTTTGATTTTTTTATATTACAAATCTGAGTCGGACATTTTATCACACTTTTTTTATTTTCTGGTTCATTGCGCAACTTCAGTTTACTACAACGCACCACAATTCTTTCTTTATTATATGTTATTTGGAAAGCCTGCTAGGAAAAAAAAATCAAGGTAATTAATCAGTATCATGTTTGCCAAAGACATTTATATAGATCCTATTTCATCTTACGTATGCCATTTGATTGTATTGGAATTTCATTGAAATATCAATTAAATAAATAGGCAGATATTCATAAAGATTCTATCTTTATGAAAGTCTCGGAAGTGACAGGTGTGTTATAACAGATAATTTGGCAACACAGGATATTTAGAGCTGTTTGAGGTTAATTCTCTCATTGTGTACTTGTGTAACTCCATAATAAATTAGGTGTATGCACTCTCCCTATAAGGTTTTTGATCAGTTTAGCAAATAGGCATAGAAATCTGAAGTACCCATACCCCATCCTTTATTTTTTTAATCCAGAATTAAACTGACTAAATAATAAATTTAGGACCAACCAGTGTTTTATTTATTTATTAATTCTACCACACCACAGAATGTCTGTCACAAACACAGATTAACTATACGGATATGTGACATAAGGCCACTGGTAGTTGGATTACTAACGAAAAAAATGTTAGTTTTCAAGAAAGTCACTGACACAGGACTACTGACTCTCATAATTTACTTGTTAGTGCCAGTGTGGTCTTATGGCACATAAGCTTGAATGAGAGCAATGTTATCATGATGTGATTTTGTCAGACATACCTTTACAGGTATATTTGCTAAAGTGAAAATTCTAAACAAATTGTGTCTGTCTGGTATACAGCCACGAGAGGCAGGCTTAGCCCTACAATACAAACATTGTAGTTTTTCTGACAGTGCAATGTTTTAGCTTCACAATGTTAAGTGGACAGGGACACTGCACCCAGACCACTTCAATGAGCTTAAGTGGTCTGCGTACCTTTATTGTCCCTTTAAGGGAAAAAATGGACCACATACAGGCCCTCAATGGACAACATTTGTAAGCATATGCTCTTCTAACAGTCTTTCTTTCCCTGTATAATTTGGTTTATTAACTAAATCACAAGTTGACTATGGAAATTAATGCTTTATAGGAAATTAGTCAAGATGCAAAGGTTTTCAAAGTAATTTGCCATTTCTCAACAATTCCTGGATTAATGTATGAACTCATTAGCATTTATGGGGAAGGCAGATTATGTCTGAAGCATAAAAACAAAACACAAAATTAACCTAAGCCTTAACAGGTCCGGCTTCTACAAAGGGCATGCTAGGACAGACTAGGTGGGGAGAGGTTGGTAAAATCGAATAAAGGGTACTACTGACGCAAACACCAGAAAAACAGCTATGAAACAATGTAGAACAAATTGCTGATATAAGTATTGTTGGGTAGAACATGATTTTCATAAGATGCTAAATAATATGTCATTTCTATCTCAATTGCTCAGCAATGGCAAATTGCAAATGAATGCATTTTAATGGAATTCAATATTATTTAGTTATTTTATTGCTATACTTTACAGCAAGCACATGTAGCTCAGAGAACCTAATGTATGTATATATTTTTATAATGAAATAATTATGTCCCCCCGTATATTTTATTAACCAGGCCATAGCATGTTTATTTATTTATTTATTTTTTAATTTAGATGTATTTTATAATAGAAAGGTGTCTTGCAGCAAGCATTAGCCTCTTATTATCGTAATGTTATAGACAAACGTAGCACACATTTCATGAATTGTGTATTAGCATACGTCCGCTAAAAGGATTTTTAATGATTTTATTATGCAAATTTTGTTTAAGTTTAAACTTGTTGATATTGCAAGATTAAACCTAATTGACAGCAGGATGAAGAAATAATTAGCTTAATTTAAAATGGCTTAAATGGAAGCATCACTTACTCTGAAGAACATTAATCAAGGGAAAGGCAAGTCAGTGTGTTATCACAGGCTTAACTGTATTAGTCGGAATAGCTGTTATTATGGGTTGATTTTTGACATATCTTAACACAAGGTTGTGACAGCATTGCATAGCTTGTCACTTTTTTTTTCAACTAGGGTGTCAAAAAAATAAAAAGTAGAAGCCTTTTTCTATGCATAATATCTGCTGAGGGAACATGAAATCTTTTGAAACTGTTCTTACGCTGCATTTTCATTCTGTAGATATTACTGGCTTATTGAAGATTCCATCGACCCCTGTATGGTAACTCCACTTAGTGCAAAATGGCTTCAGGGGATCTATTCACACATACCGGTAGAACTACGTAAGGTGTGGAACAAATCCCTTCAGGATTTAACAAAGGTATGTATGGATTTGTGTCAGGCACTGGAAGCTGTGCTCATTTTTATTAATACATGAATATTTGACAAGTACAGCAGACAAATTATATTTGTGAATACTACCCTCTAGATATTCACATAACTACTCATAAAAAAGATGATGGCTATGAAAATACATAACGGAAAAATAGATACCTCCATAAAAATCACAACAATACATTTTTCTTAATATTACAGACAGATATTTAAATCGGTAAAACTCACAATGTTTACAAAGAAAAGAAGAAAAGTACGTTTATTTTTTCCATAGGGATATTTCTCAAACGTTTCAGTCTTGATAAAGATCCCAAGTGGAATTCTAATGCCACTTTAACAAACCCAATATTTTTGGCTGGCAAGTCCCTGTGCGTTTCCCCTGCTCATATGGTTTTCATTTAATTTACTGAAACTCACCTGGGTATTGCAGTATTATATTGAGTACTCAATGTTAGGTCCCATAACACGCTATTTTCCATGTTCTATATTAATATCTAGCTGTTTATAATTAGTTAATCAACACAAGTATTGAACAATGAAAAATGTGAGTTAGGGGTTGTAACGTATTCAATTAGTGAACCAAACTTACTGGGTAGTCTACATATTCTGTAAAAGATGATGTGTGTGAGGATCCAGGGCCTTGCGGTTTTACTGATATTCTATCTGTCAAGCATAACACTTCTCAATGTCATAGCCTCACCTTAGCTATGTCTCAGATAAGGTGGTTAGAGATTGTGTCAAGAGAATGCTATGGATCACTAGGTACTGCTGCTCAATCTCAGCCTTTGAAAGACAAGAAAGATGAAATCAATGGTGTCTGGAGACCTTCAAATTTGCTTCTTTATTTAACATGGTTCAGTGAAAGACCAAAGTTCTAACAGTACATAGATGCTAACTGGTCTTGCCAAAATGTGGCGTTCCAAGGAATGCAAAATCTATTTCACCAAGCAAACGGGAGATGTTTTTGTAGATGTATAATGCTTTAATATATATTCTATTGATGTTCTGTTCTGGTGGAACAATTTTATGCTCATATAGCAAAACACATTATATCATTGCTTGAAATAGTATATGTTAGAAAACAGTTGAGCAGTTACTGCTTTACAGTTTTCCTTAATCATGGGACTCCAGGTGCTTAATTAAATATTTTTTTTTAAAAATGCTACCTTTTATGTGAATATTGGCAGAACTTGTGAAATATCATTGCTGCCGTTAAGTCATTTACTTTACTTTCAGTTGAACCTTCTTCTCCCTAGCCCTGAGCATAATCAGGCTAACTTTGGTTTTGCTGTGCATTTGCAAAGGAATCCAAAACTTTATTCAGACTATCAGACTTCACATTCCCTTCACCCTAACACTGTTTTTTTGTCCTTTAAGTACATAAATCTTTTCCAGGAATTAATTTTATTTTAGTGTGTCTCTGCTAAAAGATTGTAAATGGCACCCCTCCCTTCAAAACTCAACAGTAACATTTGAGGGGTAAAGTTCATTGCTGCATTTTGGCAAACAATAGGGGGAGGAGGGAAGAAGTTTATGAACCAATTGAGAACAATAAAAGGATTCATGCAGGCGGTAATATTTGCCTACAATATTCTCTCTCATACAGATTCTTTGTGTAAGCTGTTTCTTTTCCAATATTTAAAAAACAAAATCTGGATTTTGTGAGATGTGGAATACAGTATTGCATCTAAGCATTTTAGCCCTTCTTCCTTTCAGTACAGGATAAAGAAATACATGATTGTATCCTTGTACAGCAATCTATAAATTAATTTGTCGTTTTATCCTACGTTTCTCTACTGGGCATGAGTCCTATGCTCTTATTTTTTTTTAATTACTAGAAGTAACCCTTATTACATCAATAAGTGTCAAAGTGATGCATTTATGTTATGCTAGAGGTTAGCAGCGGATAGCAAGCTTGAAAATCAATTTATAACCATAACCTTAACTTTGACTTTTATGGAGTTCTTGGAGAAAGCCAAATGTCAGATGTGGCTCTCAAGTCATTTTACAAGTCTTTATATAAACTGAAAATTATTTTTACTTTTTTTTATATTGCAGTAGTTAGTACAATGAATAAATAGCAAAGGGTTTTTAGCAAGGTAGCAAAGGCACAAACAAACAGTATCAATAGTCAAGTTGCAGGAAGAATGGAAGCACATTGTTTGTTTTATATTCTCATTTTAGGTGTCTTTACTTGATTTCATATGACCTGCAAAATTCAGATCTTAATTCCTCAGAATGCGTTTTCCCTACTTGTGGTTTTACATAAGAGCTTTAAAGGACTGTTTTTGTTGTTGTAAACATATTGATGCTCCATACATTACTTATCAGTAGGCACACAAAGGGTGACAACGATATTTTACTCCATTTCATCCTAGTAAGCGATATCATGCCTTTCCTTTGGCTAATGAAATCAACATTCCATTATACTTTCATTATACCTTGGGGTAGAATTCATCTTCATATTAGTGTACAGAGTGTGATCTGTAATATATAAAATCAATTTGATAAAATATCAATTCATATTTTTGGCCAGTTCTGCATTTTCACACTCTTATATCCCCCGCTGCTTTAATGATCGAAATTTATGAAATCCCATAAGGGACCAGAAACCATTTCATATAATTGAAAAATCTATTTTTAACTATGCCTGGAACTACACTATCTACTGTGTGTCAATACTTTCTCCATTTGCCGATTAGATGTTATAATTGCCTTTTCTTCTTTTTTTTTTTAATCTGAAAGCTGGAATTTTTTTTATTCTGACAGTCATATTATTTTTCTTTTTTTTTCTTTTAAAGGAGGCAGAAGAACATTATACAAATGCTATAAAGAAGTCCATATTAGATTACCTATTATTGGATCCATTAGAACAAGAGAGGCTCGGGATTGTAATTCCTCCAAAGGTAAGATTTTCTTTGTACTTTACTCAGTGCTCCATCATCACTTGTATCTTGTTCGAGGTACATTGGACTGTTGAAACTTTTCAAAATATCACCAACTTGCCCCACAACAAATCCCCTTACCCAGAAAATGATACTAGAAATGAAATATGTAAGGGGATGGAGTCCAATCAAAAGCCACATGTGTCTCTGATAGGTCCATTAATCAGACGGCCTGGAACACATTGGGTTGCTGGTGTCAATTTTGCTCCTATAGTGAGTGTAATATACGCAGGGTGCCTACACAGTAAGGTAGTATCTCTTCCAGAAAGAGAGCCGCAGAGTGTGCATGTGTGGTACTCAGCTCACCCAATTCTGAAACACAGCTCACTAAAGTGAGCCAGGTTGTGTATAAACTTATAGCAGCTGCAGTTGCTGCCATCTGTTTGAAGAACAATTCATTTTATCTTTGGGGGTTACACTACGTTTACCATAAGCATATGTAGAATAGGAAGTTATGGGATACGATTTGCCCCTATAAGGCATAATAAGATGCTCCTGATTGGAACTTCTCAGCTAGGAATGGGATATATCTACCTGCTGTTCCAGAAGAGACCCAGTAGTTTTTTAAAAATATTTTTTAATGCTTTATGTAATGCTTTAGAAGTGCACTGTGTCAATTTTGTATGGATTAACTTTCCAACTTCTCCATAGCATTGTTATACTCCATGTATTGTCAAAACGTGGAGCGCAATGTTTTGTGCCGTATCTGGGTTGGAAAGTCACCATTCCAACAACAACAGCGATGATGATGTCTAATGAGCCTTCAAAGTATCATCTTGATAATTCATGTAAAAATGGTTCCTAAGCAGAGGTTTAATCACATAATTTATCAGCATCTGTTACAAATGATTAGTTTTGCTGCCACTTCCACTTCTTTAATTCTTCAAGGAGTTATTTAAAATGTACCTCTGATACTTGAAATGTTATAAACTATTTTGTGATATATTTGATTTATTCTACCATTTAGATATCTAATAGTGCTGGACGGGAACACTTTCCTTGGCATGAAAGTATGCACGAAGCTCGAGCCAAATTGGAGAGAAACTTGCACATCACTCATCCTGTCATGTCAGCTATCCTGTTCAACTTTTATTCAAAGTATGACATTATCTTACCTGCTCTAGTTACACTTTGTGGGGATTTTAGTTTTAGCTTTTATTGCTTGATTATACTTAATCAACTAAAAATGACCTGCCCCTTTAATTATCTTAATTCTTTCTTTTTATTATCTTTTCATTCTCCTTAAACTCTATATACATTATACAATTAATTTAATCGTAACTATTATGAAATAGATAGCACTAGTTATTAACCATATGGGTTATACATTTACTGAATACATTGAGACTACAGTAATAAATAAATACTATTTTATTAATTAATTAATGCTCTTTAATCATCAAGTATTCCCTACAAAGTCTGCATTTAAGTTTAGTTTGCCCCTGCTCATATCTCACCTTTTGGCTTACTTTTTCCATTACCTAACCGTACCCCATTTGCATGTCAGACTAGTTCCACCAAAAGTACCGCAGACTACTTACTTGTCAGAGAGGTTTCCTGTGCATGAGAGCTATAGCATTTCAGTTAGATTTGTGCTTGTGCATGGAGAAACAATCTGGTTCTTCTGAATTGATTCATTCTGAAATTTTGACAAGGGTTTCATACATGCTGTATTTTGGTTCAGGTGAATTTCGTTCATGTGGTTGTTTTGGGAAAAAAAAATCAGAAATACCAAAATGACATGACAATTTGGCAATTGGTGTACTGCAAAATATAAATGTCATATATCTATATTTTGCACATTTTCCCATCCTTTTATTCACAGATCAAGCTACAGGTAACCAATAGAGGGAAAAAGAAAATTAATTATGTTTTACATATTTGTTAAGCATATTATATATAAATATATATATTTTTTTTACTACTCCTCCTTTTTTTCCCCTCTATTAGTCACTTCTCACGTGGTCTCTGAATAAAATCAATATTTTTTTTATCATCTTTTTCTTTCAATCATCTCTTTTTTGGTACCACTTTATCTTAAAATTAGTTGGATGATAGATTTTCTTGTTATGTTTCTACGAGAATTAACTATGTAATGCGATGTAACTGATGCTATCTATGACTCTGTTTTCATTTAGGTATGACACCTTTAGACTTTTCGATTTCAAGAACCTCCTTTCCATTGTACCAATGAAGCTTGATGATCTCGTTAATCACATGACTAATATTGCTAAAAGAAGGTCGGAGATTTTGGAAGATACATGGTTGAAAGATTGTTGTGATATTGTAACTTCAAACAGAGAGGAAATAGAAATGGTGATGCCTCAAGATGACGAGGTGAGTGTGCCTTTTTTTACAGAAAGTACAAAATCTTTGAAGAATACCTATTAATGGGACATGCCAGACACATATTTATTTAATGCTTGAGAGCTACATTTTAATGGAACTCAAGAAATCTCAGGAAATCACTATTTGCTAAGCATTATTGAGATTCAATGAGTACTCCTGGAGTTAAGTACCTGTGACATCATTAATTAAAGGACCTGTGTGATATTTTAGAAAGTAAAAGTAGTTGTTACTGGACATTGGACTCCACCTTGATTGTTATACATTTTAGGTTCTCAGTTGAAGAATTTTGTCTTTAAATTTAATATACTATTATATTCCTATGATTCGTATTTTTTTTCTTGATTTTAAGAGACATTAGAATACATTATATAAACTTGACTATGTTTCTATAAATTAATTCGTAAAGAACTTAAACTAAGTTCTAAATACTAATTTGTTTAGAACTTAATCTAAAATTACTATTTTCAGTAAATCTTCTGAAGACCATATCAAAATTAAGGTAGCAATTTGTTCCATTACTCTCTCAACAATATCAATGAACCCAGAGGCCGGTTGAGCCATTGGCCTACTGACAATCAGGATGAAGCCGAAGGCTTGATGTTAAAAAGGGCACTTCAAGATTATTTTGGGTTGGGATGAGAAAGGTTGATTCTCCTCCCTGTCCTGCTGCTACCTTATCATTCTTTTTCATTGAAGTAAGATCTTTTTAGGATTTCCTTCTCTCCATCTCTCCGACCTTTATTTCTCTTGTAGTCTTTAGTTGGGCTGTTTTATTGCAGCAGTATGTACACAATTTACCACTATTATAAAATATTTGTTATAAGTTTAAATATTACATACTAAACATACTAAACACACCTTTATGCACATGTTGCACAGAACACACATACATATACCTTTCACGCATGTATACACTTCTAATGCTAAGAGATTCTACATGCACATATACGTGGGATTTGTACAAAATGTGTCCTCTTTATATCAAACAAACAAAGAAAATCGAGGGTTGGCTAATCTTTCCATCCACCTAACATTTTATTCCATGGCTAACATTAACAGGGTTATTCTCTGAAGTAAGAATTGTTCGAAAGTCAAAGGGCATTTCAAATTTAAGGCTAAAATGTCACACTAGAACCATAGCAGACTTGGAAAATGTCACAGCTCAGCTATTTTGGCATTTGATTTTAAATTCACTTTAAAATCACTTTTATGTCCCAACAAGTGTTACTTTAGTGAATAACCCTTTAAATGGTTTCTTTTTTTTTCTTCGATTTACTTGCTCAAACGAATATAGGGATTGGTCCCAACATCTGAACCTCAACCATAAACCTCTAATGAAGAGGTTCTTTCAATTCAATTACACAGTCAAGTTGTTTCTTGTTTCTTTCAATGTTTTGCATTATTTTTGGTGGTTTGGGTTCCAGCTAATATATTCTCTGTATTGGGAATAGTTTGACCTGATTTTGAGCACATCAGTTGTTTGTGTTGAAAAGAAATTATATAAGAAAACAACCGATGTAACTGTTTTGTAGCATTGGTGGAAATGAATGTTCTGTAATTACAGTGTGACCTATACTTCAGTTAATCTATTTGAGTTTTAATGAAATGCTCCTTAAATGCTTTGTTTGGTTTAAAGCACAAGGCAATCCATTATAAAACATTAAAAACTGCATAATTAAAATTCCCTGTCAAGACAAAAGGTAGATTATTACGATAGACTCTTTAAAGTCAAATAAATATAACTGCAACTTTGCTAAAACAATTCCTAAACTCTCTCTCTCTCTATATATATATATATTTTAAAAAAAACAACAAGATTCTAATATTATTTATGACAAAAGATTATATTAAAAACTAAACCTGTAAACAAAATCAGCTGGATAATGAACGGTTGGTGTAACAAAATATTATTGAGTTCCTTGAAAAAAATACTACATATATTGAAAAGAAGTTTTGGATCGGATCCAGCTGCGACCTTGTGTTCAGCTGGCTAATTCCTCAAACATTCAGAAAGTGTATAAAGAGAAAGCCACCTTAATAATCGGAGAAGAAACATTTACAAAAGGTGTAGGATTAAATGAACATGCAGGTGCATGGGGATTAAGTAACTGATTTGCAGAAAGCTTATTGATAAAATGCCAAAAATGTCAAGAATGGCAAATTTAAATTGAAAGTGTAATCCCTCAAAAAAAAAATCAGTGTACCTGCTAAAGCAGAAATGTGAAAATGTAACGTGATCTATTCTGCATTCATTGACAGTGCATATTGGAGATGCTGAAATACAGCAGTTTAATTAGACTGCCAGTGCTTACAGATCATTTTCATGTTTATTTTATTAACCCCTGTATACTTACACTATGTGCTTAATGTGTGCTGCTGCTATTGACCTGCTCCTTATTAGTGTGTGAGCATTGGCAATACTAATAGTATGTAGGGTGATACCTGCTTAATTTTAAGCTCCAACAATCCTCGATAAAGTGTAAGATATTTGGAGGAAAGAACTTGAAAGCATATAAATGTTTATTATTTTTGTTTTTTACTATTTAACTTGTGGCAACTTAATGCTGCCTAAAAGCTCTTTCTCTGATAGGGGTCTTGAGATTAGTGGTTTTCCCTAAAGGAGATTTATCAAAGTATTCTGTTGTAGAAAAGCGTGCACAAATATAACAGGGGGGGTGGGGGGGGTGTAGGGTTTCCCAGTGCACTGTGCCTACTGGTTCCACTAGTATCCATGGTGACTGCACCACTTTTATTATTTTTAGATTATTTTTTAGAATGGACCACTTTGATAAAGCTCTGTCATTAATGTTAGAAATGTCAAACATTAAATTCATATATCCTGCACAGTGAGATGCAAGCAGGTTATCTGGTTGAATTTTACCTGATACAATAATTTCTGATTGGATGCAGATGTTGTCTACTTTCAGCAGCTGTTTTTTTTTAATAATTAAAGGGACATTGTAGTCACCAGAACAACTACAGCTTATTGAATTTGTTCTGGTGAGTAGAATCATTCCCTTCAGGCTTTTTGCAGTACACACTGTCTTTTCAAAGACAATGCAGTATTTACATTACAGCCTATGGATACCTCTACTGGCCACTCCTCAGATGGCTGCTAGAGGTGCTTCCTGGGGCAGTGCTGCACACTGTGGAGACACTGAACTTTCCTCATAGAGATGCATTGGTTCAATGTATCTCTATGAGGAGATGCTGTTTGGCCAGAGCTGTGTTTGACTTGTGCTGGCTCTGCCCCTGATCTGCCTCTTTGACAATCTCAGCCAATCCAATCAGAAAGCATTGTAATTGGTTTAGACAACCACTTCTGATGATGTCAGCAGACATCTGGCCGATCAGGGGCAGAAGCACCAGCTATAGACTTGAATACAAGATTTTACTATATTTAGGGAGGCAAGTGGGGCCGGGTGGCACTAGATGGTGGTTTTAACACTATAGGGCTAGGAGTAAATGTTTGTGTTCCTGACCATATAGTGTTCCTTTAAATGTTCATTTTGGTTGTTGGTTGGTTTAAACATTTTGATCCATTTTCTAAATTTCTACCTCTACATTGGAAATGTATTAGATAGTCAAGTGGCAATTACAGTTTAAGGTATGATTAAGGTATTTTAGCTTGATTTGATAAAAACTATCAATAAGCAGTTGACGAAATTAATTTAAATATGTTTGTGAAGAAATGTTTTCAGGTTAGGTGTACTTGATTGCTATGTAGCGTACCTGTTGAAAACATGCATAACACTCCCGTAGAATACAGTGGTCCATTGTGTTCCATTACTCTTAAAAACTGAATATTAGCTAACTGAAGGTGTATGGCTTGCCATGTGTTTAATTGTCACCTTTTGATTGCTGTTGCTTAAATCACAGCAGTAAACTATGCAGTTGAGCCTACTGGGATTGTATCTTGATAATCAAATATGATTAATTTCCTCAAATATAACCTGGCACCCCAGAGTTATTAAAACTTTGAATTACATTTTTAAATTAAAGGAATATATGTGGAAATATTGCTTAAAGGGTAAACTTGTCATTTACATTTTTATTGAGAAGTTGTCAACTTATCTGTTTTCTAGTGTTTTGTACAGCTGTAAGTTAACATTACTCAATTTCATTGAATTTATTTCTGAGTATCTATCTATCTATCTATCTATCTATCTATCTATCTATCTCTCTCTCTCTCTCTCTGTCTGTCTGTCTAACCTAAGAGTGTCGGTCTATCTGTCTATCTACTTTCGTCAATCTGTCTATCTTTTTATCCACCTTTTTATTTAGATTAGTAAATGTTCATACAGATATAATATATCAGAAGCCAGCGTGGATTTACCATGGGAAGACTTAAAGACATCAATTAAATCTCAGCCACTGAATTAAAGTAACTTATAGAACGAGACAGAATGACAGATTTTTTACAGCAAAACCAAGTAGACTTTCATAAAGAAGAAAATGACATTCAAACCATTACCAGATTAAACTGAAAAATTTTAGTTTATTTTATGTACACTTTTATATACACTTTCTACTTATATATCAGTAAGGTTTACTAGGATAATTGCACTTTAAAACAAAAAAATAGAAAAATAGAAACAAGAGTACCCCAACCTACTTATCTTAAATTAGCAATAACAGGTCAGCATGGCTGCTTAAAGCATGCTGTAGTGCTATAGTACCAGGAGTGCTATCAAAAAGATATATAAATAAAAACAATAGATTTTTTGCTTTAAAGGGACACTAGAGGCACCCAAACCACTTCAGCTCATTGAAGTGGTCTGGGTGCAGTGTCCCATCTCCCTTAACCCTGAGCACGTAGTCATTGCAATTTTTAATAAACTGTTATTAAATAATTACCTGCTAGGGATAACTCCTCCTCCAGTGACTGTCTACTTTTAGTTGCCTAAATGATGCTGGACATCCTCACCCCTTCTGCACCAGAAGGGGAGGGGAGGGTGGTCCTTGACAGAGAGGGAAGCTATAGTGCCAGGAAAACGAGCTTGTTTTCCTGGGACTATAGTTTCCCTTTAATCTTCTCTATGGCGGCTGTTGCAGTGAATGTGGTCAGATGCTTAGTGTGGCATTCCACAATGTCTAGTGCATGGCCACAATCTACCATGGTGTAATTCTATATTTAATATTATGGGAGAAATATGATGACCATGTTTGTAGCTTCGAGCCACTGATAGGTCCACATATTTTCTTTTTCTTTGTCTTTTCTTATTTATTTTTTTCTATTGCTTTTCTCCTAGGTGTTACGGAGGAAAAAGATGGATCATTTATTTTGGAGTTTAGCCACACTAATGTCAAACCTTCTAAGAAAAATTGTTGAAGCTTCTCTTGCTGACCTAGTGGAAATGATTGAAACCTATGGCAAAGGGAATCAGTATGAAGGAAATTATCTTCCTGATCATCTCTGGCGCCCAACTAAACCTCATCTTGTTTGGATCTTTATGGTATGTTTTCAATCTTAAATATATATGGCAACATTTGTTCCTGATCAGCATTTACTTATGGGTTAGCCCCTCCCCCCACAGCAGAAATGATAGGATATAGAACTATGAAATTGGTATAAATAGATCCATCTCCTTCAAAACAGGCAGTCTTTGTTTCCTGTCCTCACAGTAGTTTGGAAGGAGTCTGCTTAAGCAGGTCTAGAATTAAATTTTTTGCTCTCCAGGACAATATTTTTGCAGGCCCAGCCAGGATTCAGCCTCTCATCCCTGAAGACCCAGCAGATCGCACATATGTAAGAGTTGCCTCCCTGGGTGCGCCTTTTAGTGAATGTCGGTCTGACCAAACGTTCTTCCTGAGGGGGTGACAGTGGTTCATTGGATACATGAGGCCAAACCAGGGTTAAGTCTCTTTCCCTGAAGAACCAGTTAACAGTACCATTGTTGGTAGTAAATATTGATGTTTCCATCTCAAAGTCAGTATCTGTGCTGCCTCCATTTTAACCCATGATAGACAATCCATAAATTGATTGGAGACCATATGTACGAAGTGACATGAATAGTTAATTAAAACATTACTTTTCAACACAAACACACACACACAAATGCTTTTGGTGGTCATTATTTAAAGGTACAGCTTAATGTAGTTATTTTGGTGAGTATAGTCAGTTCCTGCAGGCTTTTTGCCTAGGGACACCTCCTGTAGCCACACTTCAGATGGCTACTAGAGGTACTTCCTGGGGCAATGCTGTGCAGTTTGCAGCAGTGACATTCAGCATTTCCATCCTCTGCATGGAGACACTGCACTTTCCTCATAGAGATGCATTGATTCGATGCATCACTATGAGGAGATGCTGATTGGCCAGGGTATCATTTGGCTCTGCCCCCTGACTCGCCTCCTTGACTGTGATCATCAGAATTGACAATCTCAGCCAATTCAATGCTTTCCTATAGGAAAGTATTGTGATTGGCGATCATCACTTCTGATGATGCCAGAAAAGGAGTCAGGTCAGGGCCAGAGCCAGCACCAGCAGACTGAAATAAAGGTCATATTTTACTATATTTAGGTGGGTAAGTGGTGGCCAGGGGGCTAGATAGTGTTTTTAACAAAAGAATATAGGGTTAGCAATACGTTTGTTTTCCTGACCCTATAGTGTTGCTTTAAAAAATCACTTGTAGTTAATACTGTAAATCAGATTGTGATCACTATATAAAATATTAATGTTGCTTGCAGAGTTAATCGAATAACTGTTACAAACTAACAAACATCTATATTTTAACTAAACTATGAAACATGCCGTCCTAGAAAATAGTTATCTATTGCCACAGATTAAGGATAGTTTAACTATATAGATACTTCACATTAGAGACATGTTTTATGTTTATCTTCTTCTAATTTTCTCAAGTCCCGAGTTACTCCTAAATTGGTTAAAACAATAATTTAATGGTAACTGGGAGAATTTATTGTTTCGCTTGTATTTGCTTACTCAGTCATCGAGAAATAACAGAGACTGAAATTTCTTTGTTTCGAATTAACAATAATACATAGTCTGCAACTATAATGAAGTGCATTTGATGGCATGGATTACAAATGTTTCTTTCCAAGCAAAACAGAAATATGTAAGCTGACAGCGTCATGCAACAGTAACTTCTGTCATTTATATCAAAACCCTGCCACTAAATCTGTAGCAGAAATCAAGCCCATTTGCAAACACAGTAAATACAGATGGTTTTGAAGTGCCATCATGGAAGGAGATGATACATTAAACAGAAAAAATCCTTGTGGTTCATAATGAAAACAAACACTCGACAAACACAGTAATTTGTCCTTAGTCTCTAGCCCTTGTTTCCATATGGGTAGTTTTTAAGTGCTATCCAATTTCAGGGAAAGATGTGATGCTATTGTTTGTAAACCTAATAACATTCTGTTTTCGGTGCAATTAATGTACACCATTAACAAAGTTAAGACAAAGTGGAAACTATCTATTATTTTGGTCCTCATTGTCATATTTATTAATAGTAAGTGTTTATATATATATATATATATATATAGAATGCAAAGTAATGTTATGACATATAAATCTGCATTTTTTTCATATTAAGGCATTGTTTATTTGTTGAACAGAATAGTCTACATCATGGATAGGCAACATTCTGCACTCCAGCTGTTTTGGACTACATCCCCCATAATGCTTTTACACCCATAATGCTTGCAAAACATCATGGGAGGTGTAGTCCAAAACATATGGGGTGGCGAAGGTTGCCTATGTCTGGTCTACATGAATCATGAGCTATCATCATTTTCTGCAAACAGTATTTATTACTGCCTTAATTAAATGCTATTCTATCTTTCCTAAGATACAAATTAACAGGTAACTTGTTGGCTTGAATGAAATATACAAAGTTCTATCCATTTCATTCTGTCTGTTCTTTAGTACGATTACTTATTGCTATTGGTACAAAATATTATAATTTTGCTGTATTGATTCCAGATGATATTTTTTCCTGAGAATATATATATATATATTTTTTACCTTCCATCGTCCGGTTATTAAATTAATTTTGTTTTCTATTTGTTGAACAGACATCTTCTCTGTTCTTTGCATAGATATTCTGCTGTGGATAGTGTATTGATTATTTTCCTATGCTTTGTATGATTTTCAAATCAAGAATAAAATCAAAATAAGTGTAATATGTGTAAGCGCTCACAATTTAACCAATTGTGAACACACTGTGAGCTGCAAAACTCTCCTATGACTGATCCCTCTCAAATCAATCAAAATAACCCAAATTACCGAAAATAAAGTGAGGTGTGCTTGTATACGCTCGTAATACTTATACTTATTTGCTCTATCTAATCCTTAGGATGTAGTAGTGCACATGACACAAAGAAAGATACAATATGCACAAATAATAGAGTAGATTAAGCAAATAAAAAATAATACTGAAAAGTGTGAACAGTAAACATAAAATATCTCAATTTTAAATGAGCAGTATTAATGATGATCGAGCACAAAACATTAAAGAAAACATTTAGATCACATTGTCTTTCGTTGCTAAGTGATTGTTATTAGTGATTGTAAGCTTATCTTAACTGGAGGAAGCACTATTGGTGCGAAACGCGTCTTGGCTGAAATACGCACCATTGGGGGCGGAGACAATATTCATTAGCCACGTGGTTGGATGTGAAAACTAAGTACGCTCAGTACAGTTTGTATTTTTTATTTACCCCTTCCAGGTGCCTTATTGTTCTTAAAAGGATTTTAAGTTTGTAAGTTGTTTATATTACTTTTTTACTTTTAAAATGCTAGTCTGGCATAGTAAATTGGATTAACGCTATGAACCTGCTTTTTTTGCACCTCTTTTTTATTGTTTCCCATGTTTTTGAGTGATTATACTGCATGCTGAGTCTGCAGCAAAACAACTCCCATCCCGAGGGAAAACTCCATAAACTGGGTATTCTGGTTGGAGAATGGTCATCATTCCAGAGAACAACATCTTATTTTTAGGGCACTGTTATATTGAGCCAAAACAGGGCTCCCTGTCTACTAGCACTACCATAAACAAAGGAAAACCTTACACACACACACATGCACCTTGGACATTTTTTAGATTAAAACTGTTTCTTTGTCTCCATTCACACACTTACACATAGTATATATTTGATTAAAAGTTTTCTTTAAGGTTTTGTGATCAATCAACATTGATACTTTTAATTGATACATTTAGATTTAAATATTTTAGGTTTACTTGTACGCACTTTAAAGTATTATTTGTGCATATTATCTCTTTCTTTGTTTCTTGTACACTACTACATCCTATGGATGTAATACAGTAGATAACTACAAGTATTTGTGTATGAGTGCACCTTCCTTTATATTTGGTAACTGTGCTTTTCATAACAACATTAGAGATGACTGTCTACTTTTTTAATGTTTACAACATTGTAATCCATCTATCCTTAACTTTTGAAATAATGCTTCTTATACACTGTACATAAATTATGAAATGTGAGTGCATTGGTTAGCCAGTAAGAAAAGTCACAATCTGGTTTAATTAATCTGCTTGTGACAGATCGGAAGTTTAAGGGTACCTGTCAATTAGTTTCTTGTGTAGCTAATGCCATAAAGATTATGTAAAGCCTCACATCTTAGGTGACACTCAGAATGTGGCATTATGACATTCATGAATTGATGCAAAAAAATTTACTTTTTATTTCCCATTAAAATGAAAGCATCTGTCTAGACTTTAATGAGTGCACCGCTTGGCGTGGACATTACTTGAGGACTAGAGGCTTCCCAATCACAGAAACCTATACATTTGTATGAACGAATAGTCTAATGACTCTTGACTCAATTATAAACTGTAGAATCTGGCAGGAAAGCGTAGTCTTTGGCTTGTATCAGAAAAGTAATTCATTGACACACCAGACAAATCAATGGAACTAGATGTTATTTGTGTGAGAACTGCAAAATCAAGAGGTTCACTTGAGGGTAGAATGCTCTCTATGTTCCCCGTGCAGCTAAAATTCACTCACAAGGAAAAGAACTGAAAAGAAAAGCAATTAAAATTGACTTTTTAATGAAATGCGATTTGCCTAGTCCGACAAAAGAAACTGTAATGTGATTTTTAACACCTATAATGATGGATTTGCTAGTTGCATGCACAGAACAACCATATAGATTGAATGTATATATCACCTCAATGTACAGAAACAAAATTGTGTTTATCATATATGGACTGATAATCATATCACATAACCATGTGACTTAGTTAAAATGCCATTGTAAAAGCCTAGTATGGCCAACCTTGGGTATTGGCCAGCTGTTGGTTGTCAAAGAATTATGGAAAATATGGGCTGACAACACTCAAGTTTGTGCAACCGAGATTAAGCCGTTATAATAAAGAACTGTGGTAGTTAATGCCTGGTTTTATTTTCTTCCAACAGAAGCCTTTGTTAAATGAATCATATGTCAGTATTAATCCATCTATTGAAGAGATTGTCTTCGGCTTTGACAATGTAATGGAAAGTTTGGTTATCAGTGTCCAACAGATGAAAAGAATTGAACATTTTCTCTTCCAGGTAATTTGTTACAAATCCATTCTATTCATCTTTTTGCGATCAATTAGCCAAAATGAAAAGAAAGGTGGGCATAGTATTTGAGCCTTCGTAAACTAACATTACTGGTAGGATTGTGTGAAAAAATAGATAAACAGCGGTAATGAAAAAAGCTCTGAAATTTGAAAAGAAGCAATAATGCAACTTACTTGGAACATTTACCTTAGATAAAGAAACAAAGCGAAACTGAATAGAAAATTGCCCTCGTTTTTCTGTTACCAAAGTAGTAGCCATTGTGTCTACATGTTTTGTTTCAATGTCATTTGTTTTCAGAGATGAGCTTAAGTTTATATTTTTCTCAAGTAGTTAAGGTGTCTTGAGTCCCCTGGAGTTTCTTACTTTCCAGTGTTAAACTGGTTTCAATTCTATTTGGGAATGGTTTCACAACTTACCTGAGGTCCACCAGGAGCAGATCACCTCCTTCTATGCTGCCGCAGTTCTCTACACATAGTGTTTCAGACTTTAGATACTTACTGAGTGTGCTCAGCTGGGTGCGCTCAGCCAATGAGCTGGACCTGCACTGCTGGATTATCTGAATCCACAGCAGGTTTTGACCAACACCTGCTGGATACCATCATAGTTGTCTTTTTACGCAGGGGGGCACCAGGGCACTTCGAGCATTATAAGTGTCTGTAGAAGTTATGGTGCTTGTAGTGTTCCTTTACATTTATCGAAAACTGTTTAACACTTAAAGGCAAAGGCACTGAATCAAATTGCATTTGCTTAGTCTCCTATTTTGTTGGAATCTTTTTCCAGAGCAATGCAAACCCTGCTCTCGACTTATTATTGCATATGTTTGTGTTAAATAATTGATAACAAGAAAGATTACACACCAGTGATGGACCTTGATTAAGTCCACAAAGAAAATGTATCCAATGAAGAAAAAAACTAGAAACTGTCCCATGAACAGTAACCCTTTCTCCCAAGCCAGCAAGTAGCTTGACTTTATTATTCATGAGACATTTTTATTCCCATTAAATATATTTAGCATTAACCCACTTCCTGGGTAATTTATCCCCAAAAAATCTTAAAACAGAAAAAAACATCCAGACTGAAATGATCTTTTTTGAACCATTTTTATGTCCATGAAACTACAATACCACTTAGTGATCAGCTCTTCTATGTCATCCTACAGAGAGATTTTGCTTAATTAAAAATAAGTTTTTTGTTTTGGGGGTATTAAGGCTCCAATAAGTAAATAGCATTTTGGGGTATCTATATTTTTAGAGATGAAAAAAGCATTGAAATCTAGTAAATCAACCTGACTTCCTAACACACTGATTCAACAATACACCACAGTGGTTATTGTGCTTAAGCGCCCCTAACTTTGTATTTTTCGGAGTTGTCTTAAATCAATTTGTTTGGAAGCTTGACTATTATTGAATGGTGTTAGTATGAGTCAAGCAGCTAATTTGAACTGACCTGTAATAACTTGTTTTAGCATCTTCCCTTCTAGAGTTGATTACAAATTAGAGTCTATTAGATAGACATCAGAGAAACCGAGATTTTTTTTTGTAAATGCTGTGTAGTGGTAATGGTCATAATAACAAGTAATATGCGCCTCCGACAAAATATATTTTTTTATATTGAGTAAGGAAATACTGTATTTTTTATTCAAAATTTTCTGCTGCTCATGTAACATTTTATAACCCTTTGTTTCTGTATTGTTATTTGAAATGATTGATACTTTCGGATAGGGTGGAAGAGTTATAGCTTTGTATCTATAAATTAGTATTTCATTGATTATAATGTTTAAAATGGCACAAAGTTCTTCAGGTTCAATCTTTCATTTGCTGATGTTTGTTAATCTAGACAAAGGCAAAATAAAACCCTAACACTTTTTCCAATTTCGTTTTGAAATGGTAAACAAAATATGACTCCAAATATAATCAGGTTTTTCTTGGGTAAACACTGCTTGAAATAAAATATGTTTCAATGGTTAGATGAGTATGAGAGACGTGGCAAGCATTGATATGGCTGGTTTTATTTCAGATTTCGGAAGTCTAATATGTCACTTAAGAAGAAAAGGTTTTAATGTATCATAAAAGTCAATGTCATAGCCCGAACTCTATTATCTATCTGTATTTGTTGTTTTGTAATGAGTCACAAATGCTATTCCAGAGAAAGTGTTGAAATTTATAGTATCAGGTAAATAATTCTTAAATCAGTCTCTGGAGAGTTAGCTAGCTCTTGCCCATTACAGCTTTCAAGGTAAACAATCGAGGTCTTTGTATCTGCAGGCTGTAGATAATCTGAAAATCAAATACATCAGCTCAGTACAAATCCATGAAGAGATTGTCCTGTCAGCCAAGGCAAGAATAAAAGCTGTGATTGAAAACAACATTCATGGTCCAAACAGGTTAGTAACATTTCGGAATTCTTATTTTATTTGAAATTTCTCCTCTGCTCGCAAGTTTAATTAATTTTGTAAAAATGTATTATATGTTTGCGGTAAATCACATGTGTGAAATGTGTTGGCTTTGTTTTGTTGCGTTTCTCTTTTAATTTGCATGTTTATTAGCTGTATAACACCAATTCCTTATCTAGACAAAATAAATGGTACGTTATGTCAGTATGACATTATCTCTCTGGTTGTACAGTCGGTTCAAATGGTAGATGTGAGACAAAAATTTTTCATTGGATCAGAGAAGTAGTATTTTTTCACTACTTAGACGTTTTAAAGTTTTTTATAACACTGCAAGAACTCTAATTTCTTAGTGTTTTCCTTGAATGGTAAGCAGACTGAATTAACCTAATTCCCGAGGAGTTACTAGTTGGACACGCACACTCTACAATGCGTGTGCAAAGATAAGTACGCCCTATGTATTCTCTAACACAACCAGTTAGTTATGGAAACCCATGTCTATACACTTTACTTTAACCATCATGCAATGTACCATTGGAATACAGGTAGGTGAAAAAAAGTAATTAGATATAATTATCTATGTTGGCTGCATTGATCCTTTGTTTTGCTGTCCATTCTATTAGCCATTAAATGGGAATACCATTTCTATGGAGAAGCGGTGAATAGTTATGTAAACAAATGGATTTGATATTCTTTTCCACTATTTAATTAACTTATACAGTGGGCAAAAGTCAACTCTGGCTGTTATGAGATGACTATAGGGTTGATAAAAAAACGACTTGAGTCAGGTCATTTTTGACAATGCTTGTGTTTTTTGAATGCTATTTAGATGTAGCACAAGCTTTAGATGCTATTTACCTTTAGAGGTTGTTTACTCACGTAACGTATATGAGGTTTGGGTTAATTTCCTGAGCAAAGAATTTTGTACACAAAAAAAATGAAATGAGAATAAACTTCTCTGGCAAATGGAACACTCACAAGCAAAGGTACATAGTGCAGAGCAATGAGAATGAATGTGAATTGGAAAACATAGCATACTTACTTACAATAAGATTAAGGCCCTCTGGTAAAGAAAGCAGTTAAGAGTAAGGCCGCACAGTGTAATTAGCAAAGACAGTGAGAATGAATAATATATTATGCTGTTATTACACTGGCTACAAGTGGTACAAATGTGTGTCCTCAACTCTTCATACAGTTCTGAGCTGAAAAAAAAATAGCATTTTTGCATTTCGACTATAGGTGCATGTGTTTTGGTTCCTTGTGAAAGTTAAATGAGTAATCCTTTGTGATTGCGAGGAAGAAATTGTGGCTTAATTTTTCACAAATTTTGCTCCTCACAGAAAAAAAAAACACCGGAACCTAAAAAAAAATATTTAACTGCAAATATTGGTCTAAGTCAATTTAGTTTCTTTTTAAGCAAAAGTAGCTGAACTGAAGATATAGCCGATCTGAGAATTTTCCTGCTCAGCTTTGACTGAAAATGTTTACATTTACTTTGCTTCCCAAACACTTCCCAGTTTACTGAATAACCCAGATAGTTATCACTTTTATGAACTAGAACTAATTTATATGTAAGAAAGAAATGGCAAAACTACATAATTGCTATTTTTTCTTCTCTACATTACATTTTAAAAATCATAAACTCAACATTAAATGTTTATTTTCTTTGTTTTATAATGCAGAACGGTTGTTTATATAAGTATACAATTTACCATTAACTGAAGACCAGCAAGACGTTTGCATACACTAATTAAGAATGAAAAAGTAGCATCTGCAGACGTTTAAATCTTTTGATCGATAGAATTATCTGCACATTGGAAAGAGGAGACATTAGGCACTCCTATTTTACCAAACCTATCTGCTTCGTCCATTAGTACAATTTATTCATGGGTTGTGTCTCATGTAGGTTTCACTGTTCAGTAGCAGGTGTATAAATCCATAGCGGCTTCACAAGTGGCTCAGCAGGGCCTCACAGCCATACATTCACAAGAGACAGCTCATCTACTTAATCCTTATGTTTTAGTCAGCCTTTCTCATTATGCACACGAGGATCTTGATGCTCAGCTGGATTTTGACTCTCAGGATGAATTGATGGGCGCTCTTTGATCTTGGTTGTGTATTGTATCTGTTTAATCTTTCATTTTAACTCATGATCTCCCCAGCTCAGACCATTGCTCTTTTCCAGTGAAAACTATCAATATTACTTTTTTTTTCTACTTTTTGTCACTCCTTTACCAGGCAGGAAACCCCATGAACAGATATATAGCAGTGGTCATTAAATAGGAAAGTGATTGATAACTCTTAACTCTTATCCGTTTTACTAGGATATTATATGGCTTTTCTATGAAACTTCATGCTCAGTTATTTACAACAGTGTTAACTGGGAAGTCAACGCGAATTTCAAATTAAGTTACAGCAGCTGAACTTGAAACAATATCTGAACACAGTAGCTTTTTATAGTTTGACAATTTTTGTGAAAAATTTTAAATTCACTAAAGATTCCTGACAATCCACACTTTAGAAAATGGCCTTGACATGCCGCCTTTGTCTTTCTAACATGAATGCATAAGGAACCACAGGGATTCCATCTAAAATCTGGCGATCTAGCCTTAAAACGGATCCCATTAGGAGTTTGATAAAAATGACAAAATATTATGTACTACATTTACACTGTATTAACATAATTTGTTATCATCAATAACAAGAAGTATTTTATCGGTGAAAGATAAGGGACAGTTGAGAGGAAAAAAGACACACATTGCTCATGTTTGTCAAAGTCAAACATCAAGACTTATACCTTCAAGAGAATTAATTCTTTATCCTGCAATGTTAGCCCTTTAGTGGTTTTATTTGTGATCAGCTTCAAGCAGAGTTAAGATTGATGAATCTGATTGCCACACAATCATTTTTAAAGTTAATAATATCCTCAAGCAAAAGCTAATTTAAAATCTTGAGCAGTTTATCAAGGAAATCAATTTTTTTTACATGTTGATGTGCATCCGAACGCAAGCTTACATAGCGACATAATTTTGTTTCATCGCCCTTGTAAATAAATTGAATGATAACAATGTTGGTCTTAGTTCTGGGATTTTACGAAAAATATCTGCCAGGAATTTTCTTTTCCAAACTAAGTTTTTTTTGTTTGTTTTTTGCTTAAATGTTGAAACTTGGTGTTCAGTTCATTGTAATTTGGTGTTTAGTGAATAATCTCCACTGAGATTAAACCACATGATTCATTCTTTTAGCTATCTGCATTTACATATATTTACTATATGAAGCTTTCAGATTGTGTTCTTTCCCAAGCATCTGGAACATTAATTGTTCAAAGAGACATAATTTTAACATGGTTTCCTATATTCTATAGAGTTATAGCTTAACAGCTCTCCAGTTTCTGCTAAACACGCACACACACACGCACACACAAACACACACACACACATTTGATGCATCATTGTATTTCTTTGTGAATGTCTGTCTCTTGCTGCTCTTTTGTAATATATTGACTTAGGCAATATGTTGCTAGGTAGTCATTTTTCCTATTGTAACAAACAGGAATATCTGAACATGTGTTTGTGTGTGTGTGTGTGTGTGTTTGTGTGTTTATGTGTGCGTGTGTGTATGTGCAATCAAGTGTTTGTTTTTCTGATTTCTCTTCTGAGTCATAAGTTCTCTTCCTAGGAGGGTCATATTATTATTATTATTATAGTATTATTATTATGTGTATATCAACCATTCATCCCTCTGACGTTGATAAGATAAATACTTAGTTAATAATAACATTTATTTAAAAGAATTGGTTGAGAAGTAGAGAAAATAAAAAAAACAAATTCCAGGTAAAACATTAGATTGCTATGCAATTTTCAGGTTGTAACCTGTGAGGGAAGATCCATACACATTACGGGGTGCGCAGTTGTGAACGCTATAAATATTGTCTCAAAATTAAAATGAGTTCCAAGAAGTGTTGTCTGGGTACGATGAAATAATTACTAGCTTGCAAAGCACGTATAATATTTTTTCAAATATTGTCTTGTTTTTGCATGCTATTGCTGTTCAGTTTAAGTGTGCGTTTTAGCTATACTTCCATATGCTAAAACAAGGTATAAAGTCAGCAATTAAAGCATAATACGAATAACAAAGCATTGCTCATTTATAAAGATAATCAACCATAGAAACTGATTATTATTTAGTCATAAACATTTATGCAATATTACTGCCTAGTCCAGCATCGTATAGTGGGGTCTTTATTCATCAATCGAAAACGAACTTTATACTTAATATTTTGCATCAATTAACTTGTACATACGCAAGGCTGCTGTACAACTTTCTTATAGAAAGCTAAGTACAGCAGAAATATATAAAAAACACTAGTATTTTGTGTTACTTTGTAGGTTAGCGATGATGTATGTTTTTCTTTCTACTTTTAGTTTTTGTACAAAATGCATATATCATCATGAAAATAATCATATTTCTGTAAAGGTACTCATGTGCTTAAAGCATCTTTATAGATATGACTAAATATTAACTTTTTCATATGTTCTATTTTATTATTCATTCTAAAACAAAATAGTTTTACTTATTTACTGTAGGTATTCCATGGTATACAAGCCTTTTTTCCATCAGCTTTCGCCTCTCATGGAAAAGAGATTGGAAAAGCTAATAAACAAAGATGTCAACCTTGGTGTTTATGGGAGAGAAATTGACTGTATGAAAAAGCTGGCATCGGATCTCGCTTCTTTGCCAGTAAATGTGCCCATGGAGATGCTGCTGATGGACTGCTCTGAGATTAATCAGGTACTGACATAGTAAAATAGGATTATTTTTTTTTTTCTCAAGCCCGATATAGGGCTATATTTCCCTTGGTGGATGTTTCCTATTAAATAATTCACTGATATGTCTAGGTTTATAAAATTTAAATATTTAAGCAGTGTAATGCATTATTGTTTTACTGTAAAAAAGAAAAAGAAAAACAAAGGTTTTAACTTTCGGAATGAATGCAAATAAGGAACAATTTCCTGTACTTATGATTGATAACTTTGGAGTAACAATCTAAAAACAGTAGTTAACAGGAACTTATTTTCTATGGTGACTGCACCACATTGGCACATTACCCTGAGAACTACCAGGGATTGATGGTAAAGTTTAAAGATGGTGGGGAGCTAGATTCCAGACCGGTGGGGACTCTAGACTTGACTTTTTGTGCTTTGTCCATGGAACCTTGTATACTCACCCTCTGACCCAATGAAAAATGTTGCACTGTTGAACACCATAATCCCATAGATACACATTTTTACTAAACAAAATCCACTTGTTTCCTAAAAAGGGTCAAACTCTACCCTCTGATGCTGTTGATCAATGACAGCTGTCATGGATCTGAGTGACCAAAGTAAAGCCAATAGATGATTTCAGAAATATGCTGTATATTGGGCATGTCTGAGATTTTAATATGTAGAAAATAGGGTATTGTTTTCAATAATGCCTTAAAATCTTAAAATTATTAATTGCATAGCCTCTCCAGACAGCAATAAATGCAATAAATGAAGAAGGAGTTAAACATGGCAGACGCACCAATGTTATTCGGACAGACTTGATCATTAAAAATTTGTCAATATGTTTTTCATTGCAACAAAAACTGGGTGGGTGTTGCTGAACCTGTTCTTAAAGACCAGATTCCAAAGTGTGGTATGGCTTTTTAAGTGACAATCTTAAAAGGATAATCGTCCTCAACACTGCGTAGAAACACCGAACAGCAGTAAAGTTGACAGTCCAATCTTCAATTTATAAACAGTGGGGGCACAGATGCTTATCAACTATATTTTGTGGACAGCTGAGCCTGTGGATGACCATTTGTTAAATATTTGTACTTTCTCAATTATGTGTAAAAATAAAATTGCCTACCTATAAGTCACAGATGAATTTAAGTCTTCCCATGATTTTTGTAATATTTCTAGAGTTTTTGGTCAAGTTTTCTTAACATGAGCATATCCTAATATTCTCAGAAACCAAGGAATGCAAGTGTGCTCATCTGAGGAGATTTGTCGTGTTTGAATTATGTTTGAAAAAAAAGTTTTATTATAACCTTGTCCATTTTGTATATGTAATTTGTGTTAGCTGTGTTTTTGTGCAGATTATTTGATTAACTAACAATAAAATAAAACTAATTAACGGTAGATAGGGCTGTATGAGAACAATCTTTTGAAGAGCCTTATTTTATTTGTCTTTATTGTAATCTGCTTTGTGCCTTAATATGTGTAGTTATAATCATCTAATATAGTCACATGTCCCCTAGTCTACCAATCAGAAGCTGCCAACATTTGGTCTCAAGATCTACTTCCTTGCGAGGTAGAAGTAGCAAGGCCCACATACCCCTCTTTAATGTTCTGACTGGTAGAATTGCTGGCTTTTACTTGTGATCACCTCATAAATATAAATATAATACACAAGATCATTCATTTGAAAGGAGAATAGTCCTTTTTTAAAATGGGTAGTCATTTTTTTAACATTCTTTATCTAGCAAACTTTTCATTCCAATACAGGATAACAAAAATAACAGAGATATACAAAGTTATCAGCAGTATCCAACATTATAAACTCAAAATCAAGACACATAAAGAAAGCAGAGCTTTCCACTTTGTATAATATAATAAATAATGAGGTAATAAGTATTAATCTCAAAGGACCGAGTGTGTAACGAAAAGCGAAATCATGAACCAAAGGGTGAAAAATTGTCAAGAGACATCAACAAAACTAGAACAAAAAAAAAACAAAAAAACTAACCAAAAAAAGAAAGAGAGAAAACTATTCAACTGAGGATAAACAGAGAAATAAAGTGAGGAACCATGCAAGAAACCAGGCTAACATTGTCACAAACCTTAACAACAAGTCTCAGTCAAAATTCATTGGGAAACAGAAAAGGGGGAAAGGGAAGAGAAAGAAAAAGTAAGAAAAGAAATGGGGAAGTAGGAAGAGAAGGTCATTTCCAAGTAGAGGGTGAATGCAAAATAAAATAAATTAGTATCTCTGGAAGAGGGCACCTAATTAAGGCTAGAAACTTGCACAAGTCCAGGGATCCCAAATTCTGTAATATGTTTTTCAGGTATCGTGAACCTGCACTGTGAGATTTTTTGCATTTATCTTGCTTCATCAATCCTGCAAAAGATCATCCACATCCCAAGATTCTTGTCAAGTGCCCAGAACTCAGCAATAGCCCTAGAAGTGGCTAAGGCCACCCTTTCAGCTAATTTAATTTCTTTTCTAGTATAGGGATCTAGAAATTCTTATAATATCAAGGCCCAATGGTCAAGAATGAGTATTTTTTTTAAATACATTGGATAAAAGCAAAGCTATTTAAACCCAGCAAGGGTAGAGCTTTAAGCATCTCCACCAGCAGTGTAAAAAGGAACCTTTATTGTCACAGAGTTTCCAGAAGTGATCTAACAAACTCTCTATGCATTCAGAAAAGTATCACGGGTGGAAGTTGCCACCTAAAAAGCATTTTAAAACCCTTTTCCTTATGAGTGAAACAAATAGTAAGCAATCCAGTTGCGCTCCATATATTGAACCAGTCATTCACCTTTTCTGAAGGACCCAAATCCTGTTCCCAACTCCTAATGTAAGGAATGGCAATTTGAGAAGAATGAGTCCATAAATACATTTATAATGTAGATATCTAGCCCTTCTGTATAGGACTAGACTTATAACCCCATTCACATGAGGTTAGTGGAGCTGTACCAGCCTGTAGCACTGCTAGGGAGGAGGCCAAGCAAATTAGTTGACCTAGCGAAAATGTTTTAATTAAGTGAGGGTAGTGCAATCAGGAACTTTCAAACAGCACAAAATCTTAGCCTGATTGTAATGGTGGAGGAGGTTCCAAACCTGGATAAAATAGCCTATGTTTTAAAAACTGGAGTTATTGGTGAAAGTAAAGCGGAAAGGTCAAACTTATTCTTCAGATGATTTCACAAAGAAATGGAGTGTGGGGGGAAGTCTCAGGCAATAAATACCTATTTGTTTAGGCACACATATGTAAAAATTGATGATCTCTACCAAATATTAACATGTAATTATTCTACCCAGCATTTTTATGCAGGTGGTGCATGCCAGTTTTGGATTTGTGACAACTGTGACACCTGAAAGTAATGAATAAAGTATAAAGTAAAGGAGGTGTAGGCTTTCTGACCTGATCGGAGGGTAAAGGGTCATTCCACACACTTGTGGCTCCTATTAAAGAATAGGGACAGGAAGGGTCTGAAATAAATATAAAAACATGGGCAACAGATTAATCTTAACCAAGGCTACCTGACCCAACCAGGACACACCAAGATGGAGTCATTACTTTTTAATAGTTGAAGATGATGGCCTCTTAATGAGCTCCAGCACTAAACATATCAATATAGATTTTTGCAGTTGATGTGATGATTATCTGACATTTGTGGACCTTACTGGAAACAAGTAGTCACTTCTTTCATTAAGGAAGTCTTGTGTTCTCTTTTATGAAATATGCAGATAGACCTCTCTATGGAAAGTGGAGAGTCTTTCATTTCCAATGAGAGGTTACCAAAAAAGCCTAATTAGTAGATGACTGTCATAGCAATAGTGACAACTTGAGAATGTTGATGTTGAATGGACATGTTCTGTTGGTCACAATCCGGTGACCTGTATAATACATTCACTTTTATGGGCCAGTAATGACAAATGAATCCTCACACCTATAGATTTGCCATTATTTGCTTGGATGTTAAGTTAATGCAATCTAACAATGCCAATGTAATGAGCATAGTGAAAACCCAGTAGCCATGGAGAATTAATTAGTTTCAGTATCCCTATGTCCTATCCTTGCAGTCAAATTGAATAGCTTTAGGAAAATGTTTCTGAGGCATGTGCATAGAAACCGAGCTCTGCATGCTAGGAAATTCTTACTGGAAGATGCAAGTTTTGCACATCATTTATTAAATAACCATTTGATGGTGCAGAGAGCAAGAAGTTTATTGTCTGTGTGCTTGAAGGGTTAACACTCCAATTAGCCTCTTAACCACTGTACCATAATAAATTATTGCAAGGTCTGTTGACACTAGAGAGAGGCTGGTTAAGTATTGGAACCTGGCTCTGACTCTTAATCAAATCCGAGTGGATCAAGGTAAAGGCTTTGCTAGCCTATGATTCATTGGTCCCATGGATATATTTTATCACATTCTTTCATGTGTTTTTTTTTATGACTCAGACACCAACAATTCAGTTTTCAATTGTGTTTTATTTACCATTTCCATTTTCAAAATTGCTATTAAAATGTCAGCAAAGCTTATAAAACGAAAGGAAAAATAATACCGCTATTCACCCTTGCCTTTTCCAGCACACTGTCGAGTAACACTGTCACACCATCATGAGAATAGTAGGAACATACATTACAATTAGAGAACAGGGCTTGCCACTAACAGCTAAATCCACCTCATTGTTATGTGGCGTTGCATTTTAAAAGCATCATTAGAGTAGCAGACGAATTAATTTAATGACCGTCTTGGATGTTTATCATAGGAAATTCTCACTTATTGCTTTCATGATACCATTAAGTCATTTTAATGTCTAGTATGAAGCTATTTTGGAAAATAATGTACATTTCTAATTAAGACTAATATCGTGGAGAGCAATGTCCCCTGAGTGTTATTGTAATAAGCTACATGTATTCCCCCCTTTCGACACTAATAGTCTCTTTAAACAATGGTGCGCTCTCTGTGCAACAAAGATGTACACATTTAATAGATTTGCACACAAACACACACATACACAAACACAAAAGACTTTAGGAGCTGAGGTCTACTCTTGGCAGTTTTACATATGTACTAAGAGGCAACCTAAAGCCCCTGTAATTGTTCCTGATATAGGGATGTGCTCTTGGTCCCAAATCAATCTTGTCACTCCTCAGAAAGCAATGAAAGATAAAGAGTACTATTCACCTGATTGCCTTCTTGCTCCCAGACAGCTGGTGACGCTTGTCTTGCTGATAGCCAAGAGTCTCAGATCTCAGGCAAGGATAAAGAAAAGCTGGGAGCTTGCTGAATCTAAATTTGACAGTCGATGGCTGTGTAGAGGGTCAGGAGGGATAGAATCTGTGACACGTATGAGGAAGGAACAAAATTTATCTGCTCTGGTTGCAATGATTAGATGTCTCGTCTGACTTTCTTACAGCTGATGATTGATCATACCCGCCAGCTGACTAATATCATAATTAACAAAGTTGCTACCACATCTGAGAAGTTTAATCGTAAAATTTGCCAGCAGTATGATGGCATTGTCACAAAGATCTCTACAATTGCTGCATCAACCTTTGCTCTTGTGGAACTGCAGAACTATGTAGACAAGCTACGAAGTGTTGAGATTCTGGAGATTAAGGTAGGTTATGTGATTTCTATTTTAATTTATATTTGCTGAGATAAATAACCAGTCATTTATTGTTGTCATAATTAGACTATGCATTCATGAATTGTTTCATCAGCTTGGCTAAAGAAATATATACTTATAGATGCTATTGTCTTTTTTACCTTTTGTAATCCATTCTGCATATTTACTTTAAACACATGAATTCCAATTGGAACACATTTATTTCTATACACAATAGCACCGGTGTTCATATTTTTTTTTTTTTTTAATTCTAATATTTTTGTGATGCCAATATACGAGTCTGAGTGCATATTAAAAATCCTTAGCAAGTTAATTTTGTTTGGTACCCAATAGTTTTCTTTCCATGATTACATTGGGATATGTTCAGTGAGGCAGACAGCCTCTCTGCAGAGTATGTTGTGAAAATGCCAAGATGACAAATGCTTAATGAGTGTCAGCGGTGACAGTGACTGAGAAGGGGGATCTAGCATATATTAATAGTAATACCGCCGGTAGGAAGTTGAAGGCTAAAGAACACTTTCTGTATTGTCACATTTCTAGTTTAGAAGATGATAAGTCAATCTGAATTATAAATAGGATTGCACAGATAGGTTATTCCACTTTTCTGAGGTTATCAAGTCTATTATACCAAGGCTTAAAATGCTCATTTATCATGTCCTAGTTCTAATTTATCTTCTCATCTAGTGGCAGCGGTTTAGCAAACAGGGTTAAAATCTGGTCTCCATATTGTGCTTTAGTATCGGTTCTCCTATTATATTTTGTGTCCCTCATTACCGTGTAGAGAGTTAGCACTTTGACATTGGAACTTGAATAGGATTATATAACTAAGCTCATGTAAATTAAGCCACCCTCCCTCCCCATCTCTTTTTATTCAAGGCATGAAATGTTGACGTGCATTGTGACAGTGGCTTGTGCCTTTCTAAGAGACATTAATGGGGCTTTTACTCGGTACAAGGCATCGAGCATGCACACAGTCTGTTAATAAGTGTTCTCACTTCTCTCGCTCCCTGCTTGTGTATTCAGTGTATCACAGGTACATTTCTTTTAATTCTTAGGATAAACTAGCAGTGGCTGCAGAAAATCTTTTTTTCCTTTTGGAGTATGCATCTTTGTCTAAAGAAGACATTATCCTAAATGGCAATACATTTTCTTGGCCTGAGAGGATAATGCCCATCATTACAAACAGGTAAATAGAACAAACCAATCTGATTTTCTTTTTTGTTGTTTTCTATTTCCTATCTAATTCTAAAGAATTATGATCGTTTTCTTTCCCTTTTTTATAGTTAGACACCCAGGGATATTTTATCTTAGCTGTTTTAACCTATACCCAATAATGTCTCCCAGTACGGTCATTTATCCTAATGTTATAGGTATGATACATGATCAAAAGTGAATGTCGATCAGAGGCTCGTATCACATCCGATGCAAAGTACCTCACTTTTAGCATTATTTGTACAAATGACCTTTGTAATAGTTTCAGTGGAACGAATAATTATAGTAAAAATGTTAATGGCGGATTGGCTTAGTACATTAGCTATGCACGGTGAAAACAGTGACATTTTTTAATGCATTGAAATGTGCTAGAATATATGTCCTGCAAGTGACTGAAGCTCCAGCCATTTTAGTGAAGATTAAATTTGATTGACCTTTGTTAGGGTGATTAACCCATTTGAAATTAAAAGCCGGCTCTAAATTATTCTGTCCAATTTAAATGCAAACACTGGGGGGAAAAAAAAAGTAGTATTTCACTCAAGTATATAAAAAGAAGAATCCAATTCTCCCACCCACCTCCTCCTCCTTTTTTATTTTTCCTCCCTCCCGATCATTTTGTCAGTGAGACACGACTGCAGAGGGAGCATGACGGAGCTCTTCTTAAGCTGTCTCGATGGCAGAAGGAGTTCACTGAGCGCATAGCTGATGTAGCCATTGAGGTGAAAGAATTTCAGAAGAAAGAACGGATGTCAGAAGCCAGTGCCTATGTACAGAAACTCAACACCATCAACGGGAAAATACAGGAGTTTATTGAAGAGGTAAGACCTACAGTCGTTAATCACTGTAGAAATAAGACAATATAATTCATTGTTTTTTGTTTATAAATTATTTGCTGATTTTCTGCTGGGGTTGATTTCTTTCTGAATTGTTTTAATATTTGTTTTAAAAGCCATTTATATTATTTTTTTGTTTTTTTGCATTTTTTTTTTAATTTTTCTCTTGTTATGCGTTCTTGGTTCTTTAATGTATATTTAAGTTGCTTCACCATATATAAAAAAAAAAAAAATTGTATTTAAAAAAAAAAAAAAACGTGTTGTATGTAAAAGTGTAGACAAGTGATGGGAATGAGCATTCCACATAATTAGAACAGAAAATGCTGTGATGTTGAGCCTGCTGAATGAATGTTGTGTTTTGACAGGCTGCATCATTCAGTTAAAGAATGAATACAGCACACAAAAGCAGAGGGAAAGATATCCACTATAATTTAGCTATAGTTTTAGAAATGCTTTAAATGAGAACTGTTTTATTACACCTTGGCTGTTGCATTACAACACATCGTCTACACAATATTTTTTTTAATTATTATTATTTCAAAGGGAAAATAATCGTCAGCTGTATTGGTATCAGGTGTAAAAGCGTAAACAGGGGAAAATCTCTCATTTAAAAGCATTGGAATATTATGAATGAACATTGTGACTTACTCATTTTTGGTACCGAGTGGCTGTTTTCTGTAAGCCTCTTTAAATAATGAGACATTTAACTCGCCTTGATGGTGGTCTAATGTGTTAAAAGAAAACAAGCCAAAGTAAAATGTTAGACTGTGCATATTCGATTTAATATTAAAAAAATTATAGTTATGTCAGTGTCACACTACATAGTCAGAATCTATTTCAAATTACTTATGCATTAAATGTTTTTAGAAAACAGACTTCGTTTATACCCTTCGTTTCCTGATTTGTGTTATAAGCACTATGTAGCTACTTCCTGGTTAGTTAGTGCTGTGGGGAATTACGTCTTCCAAATAGTGCTAATAGTTTTGCACTATTTAAAAAAAAGAATTATATGTATATGCTTGTTTTTATGTACGTCTATATATATGTATCTGTCTGTCAGTCTATCTATCTTTTTGTCTGTCTGTCTGTCTTCCTGTTTGTCTGTCTGTCTCTCATCATATCATTGAAAGAGAGAGGCAACAACCTAAGTTTACATTGATTGTTATTAAAACACATGTATCATAGTTTGAAATTGCATTTTATTATCTAACATTTGCTGGCCTTTCTAGTCTGTTGTATTTTTCTCTATACAACTGGCTGTGATGTTTCGCTGGCATTCTTTAATATTCAGTCAAATTCTGTCTCATCCTCTCACAAAAAAAAAACAGCTTCTATGACATCTCCAGGAAATTGAAAAGTCAGTTTAGTTTAATGGTTAGTGACCACCATTTGCTATTTCTCCCATTATTCTTACCATGACCAAACCATATTAATTTGCTCAAATAGTCATACGCTACTATCTGTGAAACCAGTTGAACCCCTATTTTGGTCACTTGATCAATGAATTCACATCTCAGGAATGTAATATACCTTTATAAAGATATGAGAGCTTTTTTACTGCTCAGCAACCCCAATAGTTGTTAATTACAGGTAATAACCTTGTGTGTCACTGTATGAGGAATGGGTATTGACCACCTTAATGATGCTCACTATTATAGTCTAATACAGGGCTGTCAACTATTGCTATTCTTTAATACCATTGCATTATAGGCATACAAAACACAAAAGATAGAATGTTTCATTAAAATGACATTGTTCTTGGTTTTTATTTGAACCCTGTGGTTAACATGACACTAATCTTGTCTTAGCAGGCCTACTTCTTTAACAAGTCCACTCTTTGTCTATTCTAGAGGGCAAGAATAAATCAAGAGGAACAGCTTCTTGAAACTGGACAGATAACATCATTCCACCAAATCCAAGAGATTTGTAAAGCAAAGGAGCCTTATGAGAGACTATGGACCACTGTAGTTCACTTTACCAGGTGCTATGACAAATGGATGAATGGCCCACTGCTAAAAGTCAATGCAGAGGAAGTGCAGGAGGAGGTAAGCCTTTGGAGACATGTATTATGGGGAAGGGTCGATGAAGTATTTCTGGCATCAAATGTTTCAATATTAGTCCAGTGACAGCTACTGCTTTACTGCGCTCAGTGATGAACAGATCTGCTGTGCCCTAGACAGGGCTTTGGAGGTGGAAGAGCCACATCTGAGACCCATGTGCGACAATCATTAAAACATCTGGGGAGGAGAAAATGCTAGTTTAATTGGGCTATTTCTTCAGATTTGTGTGTGATGAAAACCCTTACCAAAATGTAGTCAGAACTATGGCTGCTAATGACTTACCATGCTTGATTTGCTATTGAATATTGGAATATTGGAATATATTTAGTTGTATCGGAGGCCCGCGGTATGGCAATGTTTGCCTTTGTGTAACAATATTTAGGGCCTTCAAATTGTTACGATAGAAACTTCTAATTTACAGCTTTTATGTAAAATTTCTTTAATATGGCACTCACTTGCAGGAGAATTTACTGTAATATGTTGTAGCAACCAGTGAAGCAAGTTTTAGAATAGTAATGTTTAACACAGCTTTGGAGCTCCTGCAAAAATGAATATATTGTAATGCAGTAAAATAAGTACAATATTGGCTTACGATGCCGAATATTAGCCAATGATTGAAAATATGATAACTTTTATGATAACAATTAAAAAAATTTTAATAAAACAGTAACACCTTTTATAAAAAAATGTTTGACATCAGGTGCAGAGTTTATGGAAGACAAGTTACAAGTTGACAAAAATGTTTTATCATCCGGACTTACATGGACCTATGAAAATAGCTACCACCGTTAAGACTCGTCTCGAAAAGTTTAAACTCAATATGTCTATTGTATCAGCTTTGTGTACACCGGGGATCAAAGCAAGACACTGGAGCGTAATGAGTGAAAAGGTATAGTAAATTGCCATTTTGTCATATACTACTGTGACAAATATATATTCAGTTCCTGTTTTTGTACTGGAAAATGTATGTTCTGCGTTTGTGTTGAAGAAAAAGCTTAATCAAATCAGGCTGTGCTGTTATAAAAGGCTATTAAATGCTCTATAGATATAAATGTCAAGCAGCACTGTTCTCCACTGGAGTACCTGCACCATTAAAATTATTCACGTATGGGTTAGAAATGATTTGTCATGCATACTGTGTGTTTTTAAGCTCGGCTTACTTTACTGATGTATAAGGAATAATACTACTTATTTTTTTCTCAGCTGAGTATTTTAAATCAAGATTTATAAGACTAAATGTAAGTTTATTCTGTCCTATGTGCCAATTCCAAGAAATATTGGCCTTGTTTGTTCAACTGGGTGATTATCAGGGGAATTCCAATTGTAATTTGGCATGTGCACATAACTCCCGCAAAATACATTCAAATAATTTATAATTGCTACTACATAAATTTTGAAGGGAAAAATTGCAGATTTCTGCTAATAAAATGCAATTAAATACTCAGCTTCAGTTTGTCAGTCTTGCTTATGCATATTGTTCACACATGTACAGTGTTTTTTTTTTGTTTTTTCATTTTTAGTGTCTTGTTTAAGAAAATAGGCTCTTTCTTCTGCGATTATAGCCAAAGATTCCAGCTCATCCCTACCAAATTATAGACTTTTTGCATAAATGGGCCTAATTACCTGAATTCAGTTTTGATTAGCAGTGTTAATTGATGCAGCTGTGGATGCTATCTGTTTACCTAAATTACCATGTGCAAACAGCAATATGCCTGAAAGTGAATATGCTAAACTGAAAATACTAATTAGTGGTGGCAGATTGTTATTCAAGTCCCATCTTTAAACATTTTAATGAAAGCTCAGATGTGTCATGGTTTTATGATATAGAGAAAGAACATTTTCTATATTCCATATGATTTCTAAATGTAATTCTTAGGAACAGATGGGTCGTTGCATGGGGTCCTTCCGCACTGCTTGTAGTGTCAGAGTTAATGTTTCCCTGCCCGATACATATTTCATTTTCTTCTTAATATTTATGATACTGTAACATTTTGTCTGTCTTACTTGTCTGTATCTGGCCTGGTCTCTTACGATTATATTAAAGACAAATAGTCCTAGGCATTTTATGGTAAGTTTTACTACTTTTTGTCAAGCTTCATAGGGGTGACCTTCAGTACTTAGAGAAACTAATAACTTTAACCTCTCACCCAGCACCAGTGAGACACTGCGGAAATATGTCTAGGCTACAGTAAATTGGTTTCAAAGCCTATACTGTGCTTTGTTGCATTTTGTTCTAATCCACTCCTGACTTCTCTAGACTCAGATGCTAAATACAATTTAGCTCCTGTAGAGTGGCAAGTCAGGAAAAGTGAATATGAAACAGAGAATCAAAATGATGTGTTTATCAGTACCCCCTATCGACTGAAGAAGCATATACATATAATCTGTCCCAGTCTGTCACTTTTGCTCTTTTATAAAGAGTTCACACAGTGTTCTGACATTGAAATGATGTCCTGTGGCCATGAATGAAGATGCTTCGACTTTGAAACTGCAGCGTTATTATGTGTTTTCTCATTGCAAGGTGTACCAATAATGGGTTCTTTGTCATCGTACAAGTAAAGATGAGAATGCCAAATTCTGAGCCTATTAAGTATTGATCTAAATACCAGCTAAGTAGAGTCACAGTATATTATTTTTAAAAGTATACTTAGCTTACATGTTGACTTGCAAAAGAAAAAATAAAAGAGCTTGACCTTCAGCCATGTAGAGACACAAATGCAAGTATTAAATCAAATAATTGTAGATGGCATGCAGAACTAGAACATATGTAGCAAAATCTATTGTTAACACTTCTCATAGATGATCAGTTTCCAGTAAAAGAATTATGACAAAGAGCTTTGAGCAAAAGGCCTAGCAAGTTGGACGTCCAACTTTACCACCAATGACATCCCAAACTACTCTAGTCAGGCTTTCCATTTTTCTTAATGGGTCGAATTCCCAACTTGTTTTTTATTGTATGCTATCTTCTGCACTTGAAAACAACATAAATATTGGAAAAGATGTACAATTAATTCTCATGTAAACTGAGGTTTCCTAGGTGTGTATGTTACCTTTTGGCATGGAGGCATTGAATCTATTCAATGGACTTGAGTTGGGTTTTATCACGATGGTCATTTAAACATATCTAGCCTTTAGTTCAGCTGCTATTCGGTATTATGTTTTGACATTTGTCACGTTAATATTTACTTCTTGCTCTTTCTTATCTTAGTCCCATATCTTCACATCTGGTATTTCCGCTTTTCTTCAGATGTTTCCTTGCTTGCTTTCAACATAATACCCTAATGTGGTCACTTCTCAAAACATTATTGCTCATAGATTATCATTCAGTTGTAGTTGTTCTTTATATTGAATGTATCAAATCTAACACAGCAATAAAAAGAGAAAGCTATATTTGAAATATGTTGTATGTTAGCAGTGAAGATCCCATCTACCATGTTTGTTTGAGGGTTTAATCGATTTTACTGTCTTTATTTTTGGTGAAAGGTTATTACGATATCTACTTTAAAATACTAAGAAATACTCGAGTTGTTACGTGATGTAACTGGTTTCCAGTTTCTAATGGCCTTTGATGACAATTAGTGTACCAGGATTGGAGAATCAGAGAATAGTAATTGAAGTATTTAAAATGATTGTTTTATTGTCATTATGTGCTTTTCAAAACACACCAAAAATCAAAGCCTGACTTGGAAATTCTTTAACATAATAATATGAGTTCATGCCAAATCCACATTTGCTAAAAAATATTTGCTTATCTCTTTTCTATTCTAATAACAGTAGCATTTGCTGAAGGGCATGTTTAGTTATGGTGGAGATAGCTCATATGGAATTATAAGAAATATAGCTCACATAAGCCCTGCTGATACCAGTTGCATAAGTTATCATTTAGGCCAAGGTACATTTTTAAGATTTTTTTTTTTTTTTTTTAATATTCTGAAACTGCTTCGATTTGACAATACATGCACATTTTATGAAAGGAAGGCTTCTATATTGTCTTTGACTTAGAAAATAGCTTTCAATTTTCTTTTGCATGACAGGCAGTTGTATACATGCTAGTTTCTAATACTTATAGAAAAAAAGATATATGTGAGATTGTAATAGAAATGTATTCTCCCCCAGATGACAGTAAGATGCAATGCCATTTAATTATTTATCAGCATTGGTATATCTACTTCTGGTGATACATCATTGTTAAAAAAAACTCAGTCTCAAAGGAAAATTCATATTAAAATCATTCTTCTTTCAAATGCTACCACCTGCTGTTTCCAAATGGCCAATCTGACAGGTGTGAGTGACATCACAGGATGTGATAGTTAAACAGCAGACACATCTTGAATACTAAAATCGACTTTACATAAAGAACAGCATTGTTGAAATTTGGTCCACAATTCAAGGTTAACTTAACTGTAGTTTTCATGATTCCAATAAGGATAAAGACATCTCATTGAAGAGAACCCATGATTTATCAAAGCTAAAACAATTTCTATAACAATACGCTTCTTTGTATTATTGAAAAAAGATTTAGATAATTTCAGAATATGGAACAGTTAACATCTTATATCTAATCCAGATTACTGAGAGAATCTTGAGTACTGCGTTTAGAATATGAAGCACATATTCAACAGTTGCATCAAAGTTTAAACTAATGATAAAAAATATCACCCTAAAAAATAACCGATTCAATAGTGAGATATCTTAATTTGCTCTGCACTAACTGTAGAACATGTTCAACCCTCGGTATGTCAGATTCTATTCCTGGCAGGGTTATCTTAGTTTTGAATCCTTCTGAAATTGATAAAATGAGTTTGATGTGCACAATGTGGCAAACTTAAACAAGATATTATTTTTCCTCGAAAACATTTTCTGAAAACTAGGGAAAATATACAATTTATAGGAGTATATGCAAGAGTATGTGCTAACAGTTTATTTTGTGTTTAAGCAGTGTTTAGTTGATAGTCTGTGCCACTATATTCCTCTATAGGGTGCTAAACATTTTAAATCCTTACTTATTTAGCATTCAGATAAAATATACAGTTTTTAAGATGCATGCTATCACATACCCTGTACCAAAGCTCAAAATGTCCACTCTCCACTAGCCTTTGGCAAGTCCTAATAAATAGAAATTCACTCTGGGTTACTGTCCCAAGCTTGTGATGATGAATATCTTTTGGACTTGCAGGCCTCGGTGCAGGACCTGGCATTTTGATGCCCTTCCATTCACTCTCATGTGATTATTTTATCTTGTATTTATATATAAACCTGAAGGACTCTCTTGTTGGTAGCAGTGAGAGACCTTCAAAGGTGGACTCTCCAACTGTCTCACCAACTGTTGCTGATTGGCTGAATCGCTTACATCTAGCCTAGTCGTCCATTTTAATGGTAACATTTACCTTTAAAGAAGGACCGGTTAAAACGGAACTCTAACATTACTCTAGTTATTGCTAAAAGTTGTTTTCCGCAATAGATGATAGTTAAGAATTACTATTTTGTTCAATGTGTTGAAACATTCTGCTTTCTGCTTTACACAATACCCGCATTTTAAGATTAGAAACGTATTATGCAGTAAAGCAATTTTAGTACTGGAATTTAGTACTAAATGCATTAGTTTTATTTTCAATACATTGAAAACTAACATACAATTGAACCAAAAGTAACTTTTTAGACCAAATGTCAAGGGGTTCACTTATTGAACTCCCAATGTAGGCACGTGCTATAGTCTAAACCTTAGGAGAGAGTTGAGTGCAGTTGGAGTGGACCTTGATCCATATAGCAGCTTTCATTTTCTCAGAGTTCACAGCACGTTTTCGACATGCTTATTAGCAGGGTCCCAAACTGCTGAAGAACCCCAAAAGGACGTAACTTACAAAGTTCTCCTGATTTGCGCCCATTGATTTTTTATTAATGAATAGATGACATTTTAACCTGGAAATGTCTCACCTTTTTTGTCCACTTGACTGCTTTCTGTATTTAATGACCTAGTTTTTTTTTACCATTTAAACAAGCCATTTAGCTGTTTTGTATTTAGTTAATTCTGATTTCTGTTGCCGCTGTATAGAAAACCAGTAACTGTACAGATTTATAAAGAGTCAATGAATAAGAGGCCAATGAAAACAATTTATGGAATTCCATTTCCAAACTGATGAATTAGCAGTGGATAATAGCATCCGAGTTTCTTGCGTTGGCTTTACAGCTTGTCATTCTTTGTGATTTATTTCGCTCCATAGGTTGGGTTTAACATCATTCCTCATGAAGGCATCTCTCTTCAGGAAGTTTTACAACTTGGCCTTGAAAAATACCTTGATGATTTAAGCCATATCAGTTCTCAAGCCAGCAAGGAATATGCTCTGGAAAAAGCCCTTAATAAAATGAAGGCGGATTGGGAGAATGTCTGCTTTATATTTATACCCTACAAGGACAGCAATACCTACGTCCTGGCAGCTGTGGATGAGATTCAGGTACTGCATTTACATATTGATTTTTCTCAGTGACAGCAAAATGCGTCTATTTATGAAATAGATCTGAAGCCTTAAAGAATCAATGTCTTTCAATGCATGGCTTGATAGAATGTTAATTGCCTATTGTGCTGGTTTTAAGGGGCTAAAATGACTGTTCCTAAACCTCCAAATCTATGTTTGCATAGGTTTACTAATACACTAATGTATTTTTCTTTTGTTTTATTACTATTCTTTATTTTTTCATCTTTTTAATGTGTTTTATTTAATACGCTATGTTTTCACTTGTATTCTTTTAAGAAACGCAAGTCAAATGATTTGTTACACTTGCTTATCAGTTCCATGATTTAATTGCTTTGTTGATGACAGAGTGTAAGCATATTTTAGACGAACCTGATTTTATTGGAATTCTGGCTTCTGGATGTGCTTCAGCAATGTAATAACCCGGAAAACATTTCATATTTGTGCAATTAAATCGAAATTATCTCTTAGCACCTTCCAATGCAAATTCTATTGGGCTGAGGCCTGGAAACTGGGCAGGACGGCTCATTGCGTTGAGTTTTCCATCATTAATCTTTAATGTGTGAGCTTTACACACTGCTTTAGTGCTCCATTTGGGATGTTTTATAAATAGTTTATACATTGTAAACCAGGGGTGCCTAATAGGCAGATATCCAGATGTTGTAGAACTTCAACTCCTATAATGCATTGCATGCCTTTAGAATAACACAGCATCATGGTTTAAAAACATCTGGGGATCTACCTTCTGGGCACCCCTGTTGTAAACCGTTGTCCACAAAACCAAGTTCCCAAATGTATTTAGACATAGACTGGTTCTGGGGAAAAAAAGTCCTATATACATATATAATTTTGTTGTTTTTCCCATTCCTGGCACCATAACCATAACTACACACTATGGTGGTTATGGTGCTTGGAGCAATCCTTTAACTCAGCCTTGGCTCAACAGCTATAATTTCAAGAACTATTGCTTTATATGAAATGTATATTTATAGTGTGTGCAGTTTTGTGAGTGTGTGCAATAGGCTCCCTGCTCCCTGCTCCCTGCTGTTCTTTCCTTCCCACCCACTTACGTTTTGCAGTAATCAGTAATGTGAGTGTTCCTGATCAATAATTTCCTAGTCATTACGGACATATTACAAGACAATAAAACCAATGTGTTAATCAATTTCTGCTTGGTGGCTAAAGCACCCATTGGAAACATTACATCCTCAGGCTCTCTCTCTGCTCACAGCATTAACACAGTCATAATTCAAAGTGCCAAATCTGTAGCTGTCAGCAAAGAAAGATAAAGGACACCTTTAAAATAGTTGACTTCCCGTGACATTATCCTCTTTATTGCTGGCATACTAAAATAAAAGCACATGCAACTTTTAAATACACGCTTTAAATACTGCTACTCAATTACATAAAACCAGATCTATTTTTTTTTTTTTTTTAATATACTGCACTGGTAAATGCAAACCATTACAACAATATGGGCAATATGGGAATAATGACCTATACACTGCTTGTGGCAATGGTCAGACTGTACAATTGCTTCAGTGTCGGAATGCTGAAAGACACAGCAGTATTTTAAAGGAAGACTCCATGTATGTGTCAGTGGTTATGGCGCCAAGAGTGCCCTAGCACCTACTATTGTAAGCAGTCAAACTGTTTGCTAACAGTTTGCTTCTCTCAACCGGTCGCCTCTCTGGAGAGTCAGAAGCTTCTTCTGTTGGCTCTCCTGACCTAAGCTCTGCAGTGCAGGACCGGCTGATAAGAGCTTCCGTTGATCTCTCTCAGCCAATAGGCTAAGCCATGGATTTCCAGGCTTGGCACAGAGCTGAGAACTTCTGGCTGCAGAGACACAGGAAGTAGCACACAGAAGACCCCAGTTATGAAGTCAAACAGGGCGATTCATGAAAATGAGGATTCAAAGTGAATTCTAAGTGAATTTTAAATTTATACATGAAAGCCAAACTGGAAAAAATCTCTAAGTCAGTTATGCTTCCTGTTTGAAATTCACTTTGAATTCATTTTAACGTTATATAAGGTGAGGGGGTGCCAGGGCACTCCTGGCACCTTAACCACTATAAAGCACTATATTTTTTAAGGTGCTTTGAACATTTCTTTAACACAGCATTGGCTGAACAGCGATGATTTCAAGAACTATAGCTTTATATGAAATGTCCCTGTATAGCTAGATTTGATTACTGTTCTCTGAATCCACAATGGCAGAAAACAAATACAAATGGTTAATTAACTTACATAGTGGCAGATATGATGATGCCACAGAACCAAATTTTGTGAGCTTCTGTATGTTCTTATAAAAATATTTACAATCAAATACTATTTGCACCCCAAAAAGTAGACAGTAACACATATCCCTCTATTTATGGAATAATGCATGTTAATGGTTTTTAGTTTTTTTGCCATCCCAGTTTTCAACCCATCTATCCCTGAACCTTGAAGTCAATTTAAAATGATTAGACCTGGCATCTCACAAGCATACCCTACTAAGGCACACCAAAGTAATACTGCACACAACATTTTTCCCTGACCTTTTTCAAATTACATTTAAGTGTCAAGGGAATTTCTCAGTGACTAGAAGATAATAAGGTTCAATCCGTTTTGCTGTTTGGCTTCAAATTTGTCTTCTGAGAAACTCTAAGTTATCAATTCTTTTCATCTCAGCCTTGAATTTCATTCATCTCTATAATCCAGGTATCTAAGCATTTCTCTTCTTCCTTATTTCTCCCTTTTCCAACCTCTTCAAGGTTTTGCTAGAAGATCACATTGTGAAGACTACAACCATGAAAAGCTCTCCGTTTATTGCACCATTCGAAAAAGAAATATTAGCATGGGAGGCTAAGCTGGTATGTTGCCTTTTGAGAAGCTCTTGTTGAATTTAATTAGCTTTTAGATTCCATCTCCATCCCATATCTCAGATTACACCGCCCAATAAGATTCATGCTTCACTTGTTCCCATTGTGCTAAACTTTTCAAAGTTGGCTTTGCAATCAGCATTCTGTAGAATATTAAGAAGGGAAGAAGTATTACATTCTTTATGTTAAATTGATTTCACTTTAGTTTTGATTATGTGAGCCTAAATGGAATAGGCACAGTCACTGGGTAACAGAGTGAATCATCCAAGTGAAACATACATAGAGGCAGCTGTGCTGGCTCATTCGTCTCTGTGCTTTACTGGGTTGAATCTGTGATTTAAAAGGAATATGTGAAAAGTTTAAATGTTGCTACTATACTCTTAAGTGGAATTGTATCATGTTTTTCTTGGTGGCCGTAATTAATATGTACCAGCTGTACATATTGCTTGAGATTATATATTTTTTCTATTATTATTTACATAGGGGCTTTTGCAAAACATTTTGGAATCTTGGCTGAGGGTTCAGATGGCCTGGCTGTATCTAGAGCCTATTTTTGGGTCAGAGGATATACGTAACCAAATACCGATAGAAGGAAAGAAATTTGAAATTGTTGATGCCAACTGGTAAGTTTACTGACGCGTCTTTTATAGAATCATTTTTTTATTTTTTTTGTGGATGACCTACTGTATGGCGGAATGTAAATCAGTTCAAATCTAAACAAAGAAACATATATTTTGATGTCAAATGAGATAAAATAGTCACTTTACACATTTACGTTCATGAATCTTGAGTTTATTTTCTCCTTAAGTCTGTTAGTAGTTCTTTCATATTAACATGAACATTTAACAATAAAATTCCTGGCTCGCCAATCCCATAAACTCTCCTGGAGCAAGATGGCTGCCTTCTGCCATATTTTTTTTAATATACACTGGGAATGAGTATATAAAAGCCAGTTGTGAATATAAGGTTACACTTTACTTTTCTTAACATGCATAATTAAAATTGTAATAGGTGTTCTTTTATTTTGTTATGAGATTGAATACTCTTTGGTAACTTCCACAGTCAGCTTCCAAAACAATCACGATTCTTAAATAAAATAAGAGGGTTCTGTTATACCTAGTGTATGCACAGATGAGAGGGAGTCTAACTGACACTGAGTCGCTCACACTAGAAACAAATAGGGATTCACAAAAACCTATAGACAATAACAAGAAAACAACACTCTAAGAAATCACAATATTCTAATCTCTGTAGATTCCGTGTGATTTTTTTTACTCTCGTACCAAGCCATTATCACGAGTCAGCTCCTGGTTTTCGCGCACTATTTCTTAGAATGTTATTTTCTTGTTACGATTCTTAAATCGTTTTTTTTTTTCTGCTACCATATGCTTGTTATAATGGTCAGGGTAGAAAAGTTACACCAACAATGAACCAAAACCAGTGTTTATTACATATCTCCAGTTGTTTGAGATCTCACTCAATCACCCCCTTATTCTCTTTATATTTTACCAGTAGCTGCAATGTTCCTTTATTTTTTCCTAGCCATCACTTCCAAATTCCCCCTGCTACCTCTTGTCTCAAATCTGCATTATAACCCTTAGATTGTAAGCTCATAAACTAGCTTCAATGGCTAGATCTCAGGTCAAGGTCAGGGCCCTTTTTACCTTTTGTATTGGTCTGTGTATATTGTACTGTACTTGTAGCACTGTGGAATATATTGGCTCTTTTAAAAAAAAAAATTAATAAGTGCTGGTAATATTAATAATAATATTTAAATGGTGAAAATTGTGATAGTGTGACAAGGCTGCTGGCTATGTATGTCTAGTCTGGCCGCAATCATCAACAAGATCCGAATTAACTTTTAGCTGAAAGGTTTGCATTTAAAATTCACAATAATAAATGTGTGTAATGTTCAATATTTCGCTAAATCCAATGCATTTGCATTGGAATAAAGCAAAATGAGAGCAGCTGCACAATATTTTGATAATTGTACTGGACCCAACAGACAGCTGCAATATACACTGAGTAACAATTCTAACCTTTTTTATGACAATCTTCATAAATTAAAGAACTACATACACTTCAGCTTTGATTTCCCACCCGATTTTCTTTGGAGCCTTTATTTTTTTGCTTTGCTCTTTTATACCTCTCTTTTTTGTTCTAAATCCTCCTTCATTTCATAATTATTCTGTTTCTACTGATGCTCGCAAAAGACATCAGACACCAAAGTCATTAATTTTCTGTTAGAAGACTTTCTTTTGGTAGAGAACCTTTGAAGTTTCGAATTTTAAGCAGCTAAAGTTATTGTAGTCTGTATTTGTCTCGGCTAGCATTTAATAAAAAATTTCAAGAAATAATTTGCATGTGACATATTTCACCTTACGATTTCCAAGTTGTAGGAAATAAATCTGCAGAGTTGAATACATCGATGGGAAATAATAATTGGTTTTGCTGAACACCGCTTCTCTTTTATGGAGAGAACATGTATCCTGGAGTTTAGAATGGCGATCTGATTTATTATTTGCATAGCAACCAGTAATACAGTTATTAACATATCTAAAAAAATAAAAAAATTGCAATATGGAACATAAAGAGTTATAATGCCAGTGAAGGATTTCAGTATTTCAGTGGTATTTAACTTGCATACTCATTGCTATTCCTGGTGCTGTCAGATAAAAAAATAATTGAACATTATTTATATGCAGAAAATGACATACAGTATGTTGTGTTGTACTTTGACAGATTCTACAACAAGATTCTATATTGAATTAAGCTTAAAAGATCTTGACAGGAACCTGTGCTTTAGTAGAGTGTTATGAATGGTGAGCTTAGAAGATCGCTGGACTCTTTTCTTTACCAAAATACAAAATGTTAGACATTTTTTCTCAAACTGAGCAAGTCGTTTTCCCTCGTCCAAGCCCCGTGCGCAAGCTTGATGTGGGAGAATTTTTGTTGGTCTTATGTTACTGATAACGTACAATATGAAAACTAGCAGATAGTTACTCAGGACAGACATGCTAGTTGTTGTAAAGTGTTAGTAGGAAAATTAAACAGAACTCTGCTCACGTCGCTAGACTCAAACGATTATGCTCTCTTGGTAATGTGACTGTCTGTTGACAGGTACATTATTTTACTACTTTACTTTTTTTGACTCAAAGCTTGCGGTACCTGTGTTCATGTTAAACTAAATAAAAAGTGCCATTCGACATGTTGGCAAGGCATCATGGTAGTTATTTTAGAACATCTGGGGATCTACATGTTAGGAGCCCTGTTTTGGAGGATCTTGCATAAACATGAATTAAGTGTATATATAATTTTAAAAAAATATTGTGAAATATTGTGAAATGAGAAAAAAAAATCCTGTTATTTAATGTAATAATTAAAATAATTGCAGGTTTTCATTTCCTGCTCTTTTGGTGCCTTTCAGGCTACCCATAAGAAGGAATTGCCCAAATCACTTTTAGGTGACTTTAATTACTTGCGTACCACAGGTATATGTTGGGTTATGAAAGGCTGTATGGTGTACTACATCAATAGCAGCATCTCCATGGCAGGTTAATTGAAATATGATGAAAAGGCAAGACTGAATGTAACAGTGGGGATAGAATAGAGCACAGGATAACAATAAATCATTTTAAAATATAATATTTTTTCAGAAAGGAACAATATAAACAGATTTGACCAAAATAAGCTATTGTACCATAAATCTAAATATGTACAATGAAAGTTGCCCTTTAAAGTGTTTTCAAAAGGATTTATTTTTACAGATTCTTTAGTTAACATATGACTTTGAAGACTCAAAGGAAATAAGATAATATAAAATAAAAAAAATTAAACGCGAGTTTAGTATAATTCTAAGCATTCCTAATTCTCTTTGTCAGATCTGTGACTGGCACACTGTCAGCCTTTTGCTAATGCTTAGTGCATCAATACACATTGCACTATTTATTATCTTACTTAAAGCAGATCTCTCATTTTTTTTTAACATTGGCATGTCCCAAACCACGCCGTAGTTGACCTGTTTATTTTGGTTTTTTTTAACAATGCTTATTTTCAAAGTTACACAAATGAAACGTTTCCCAATGTATAACCTGAAGGTTGACAAACATTTATTAATGGTCAACTTTAGTCAAACTCAATGGCTCTTGTCCACTTTGACATTGGCTGTCTAATTCTGAACTAATCTCCCTCCTGTGCCAAGTCACTACCTCAGACAGCACACCACTGATTCTCAATGTTGAACCTTGATCGATCTTGAGAGTCAGTTGAGGTCAGTGGAAATTGCCGCATGCCCTAATGGGCATATACATTATTTGACGCACATGCCCAGGTATAAGAAGATGACACTATTTACAAGCGCTGCCATCTTAGCAACTTTAAGATGGCAGTGCCTAGAAAGAAGACTGGGACGGACTCAACAACTGTTTAAAATGGTGAGTAAATCTAACTCCAAGGTCAGACGTGCTTATGCTAGGCTTAAGGACGATTGGAGGAATATAACCCCTTAGATTAGAACTAAGGGAACCATATTGTGACAGATCCACTTTAACTTCTCTGTTATATGACTATGCAGACTCAATGTCTGAAAAACTGCAAGGCCTGTACTTATATATTATTGGAAAGTTATATACTTGAAATTATTAGTCTTTAAAGTCTGTAGCTGGTGGTTATGGTGTAAAAAGTCACCTGGCATCATCTCACACTAAGAAGTTCAAAGAGTTTGACAATTACCTGAGATCCCTCAGACATTTATAATCTGTCCTATATTCTGTGATATCACTAAAGCAAAAGTTTCCATTTTGTAGTAGCAGTAAAAATGTTGTCCTTATTTGGGTATCATTCATTGGCTGTTAGTGGCAGCTAATGCTTTCACCCAATATATTAAATCTAATTGTCTTTGAGGCAAAACATAAATTAGACAAATCAAACAACCCCCAGATAAACATCAAACAAAGTGAAGTAACAACTTGACACAGTTATTTTCAACAATTATTCTGGTATGTGACTGGACACAGAACTATCATTTAGACTTCATATTTAAAAACTTTGGCTTTAATTAAAAATGAACATTATGTAACTGCCAAGTATGTAACTATTATAATAGTATACATTCAAATATGGATGATGCTCAGAAACCGCAAGATTCTACATAGAAGATGTATTGCGAAGAGAAAGACTATGCCTTAATTGCACAGCCATGCTGGTTGCTTTTATTGGAGAAAAGTTGAGGGCAGAGCTTCTCTTTTGTCAACTTTTGTTAACCTCAGGCTTTTCCATAAAACAAAGTAGTCCCTGTCTTGTCTTGTGACATTTTTGGATTGTGTTGGAACAAATTCCAGTGCAGTCAGAATCAGTGTTTTATAATTATTCAATGAAATACTGAAAAGTGACAGTGCTATTTTAAGAAAAACAGGGTTTCATTCCAATGTCCATTGTTCTTGGTCCAACTCCCAGAAAATATGGTTAACACTGACAAAAATATAGATGAAGATAACTAGTCTTGAATTGATAAAAGTTCATATGGAACTTTGGGGATCCCTGCATTGCTATTAAGTGAATGGTACCTGCTTATGCCTACACACGTTCTGCACATTTACTTCTTTGGGAGATTGCTGAGCATATGTTTTATGACTGTATCACAGTCTTTTTGTTAATTATCTCAGTGCATCCTGCTTGGTTCAGCTTTTCATGCATAATAATTTTAATCATTTATCGCTGGTGCCAATGAGTGCTTTGTTCTTATGAAAGGATAATGATGTTTTAATTTGTCTAGACCATAGCTACACACATAAACCCAGTTATTTGCCCCTAGACCAATTCTGCCATTTTAAACTATGTGATAAAAATATGAAAACTGTTCTCTAATTACAATAGCGTAACTATATAATTATTATATACCTTATGTTGACCTTTAACTCCCATGAACCTTTGCAAGCCACTTACCTTTTTGTTTGGCAAAGGTTGATGAGAGTTGTAGTCCAGTGAAAATTACAGCTCAGATAGTTACATTCAGTGACTATTACAACTCAGGAAACCTTGTTTAGTGTGTAGCTTTTATCCACCCTTGCTTTAAATCTTGCTTTCTTTTTCTTATCTATTTTTTTTGTCACAAAGGATTGGATATGGATGTAACACTGAGGAGTCTATTAGATTTAAGCAGGCAGAAAAGTCAGATTCTTAGGTACCATTTTGTTTGCCTATAATTAAGAAGTTGTTACCTAAGACTCTTCTGGATTTTTTTGACACCATTGCATTAATACTTTAATGCAGTTACTTTTTTTTTGTATCAAATCATCTACCTATCATATTTTCCCCATCTGCTTAACTTGAGCATAATGGCTATAATTGCAGTACCTCGGTTGATATTAGACAGATCATAGATAAGATAATACAAGTGATTACAGTACAGTGTTTGAATTGCACAGATTACTGGAAGGAGAATTCTTCTGAAAGAAAAAAGTAATTAGCAAATGCTGATTAGTTAAACAATGTTTTAACTGGAATTGTTGACTGAGGGTGTGGATGCTGTTGCAGCTCATATTTAAATTGTATTTCTCATATTCTCTGTGTCTGTTGCAATGCATTTTCTTAATCTCTTCCTAACTCAAAAGGGTAATCCAGACATGGACCTTGTGCTCACTGTGCCAAGAGGGGTATCAGCTACACATTGGTGATGAAGGTCAAAACGTTCATCAGAGGTTGTTGTATCTCATGTGCAGAGAGAACTTGCTGGGATTTGTGGACTGCCCTTGTGGGCGGGATCAGTTTGACATGCAAATTGTGTTGGTTTTCTCAGTAATGATATAAGCAAGGAAAAATCTTTTTTGAGATCTGAGTGGTGATTATCCAAAGGTCAAGCTTGTTGAGCTTCCTGAGTTTTTACCCATTTTCAGAGATCCCATGTTTTCATTTTTTGCTTCAAAAAAGTGACTAGAATGATGATTAGTTAAATATTTTTTGAAGTGGAATTGTTTAATACTGGCATATATTCTGTTCCAAGTCCATTTCTAGATTGTAGCCATTTTGTGTGATTTTATTTTTTCAGTGGCAAGGTGCCATCTTGTTCTTTGAAATTGTAAAATGATTGTGTGTCTACAGAAGCCAAACTTAATAGATTGTCAAACATGTTATATAAATATATATACATAAATATATAAATAGAGCTTGGAGCGACAGTGGAACTATATGTGTAGATTAGTTGATAAACTAGAACACACACAAGAATGTGTTGGCTTTTCCATGCCATGTGCAACTGTTTTATAATCTACTTTATTTCTTATTACAAGTGCAGTGCAATATCAGGTTCAGATAATGCACAAGAAAGAGTTACCTCAGCAGAGATAGTTGCTGAGCAACATTGAGGCCGCTGGAAATGAACATTTAATATCTTTGTTATTGAATAATAATAAATTGAACTTTAATTTGACACATTGGAAGATAGCTATTGAGGCAAAACTAGTTCAAATTAAATCTATGAGTATGAGTACCTTCAAAGCAATATCCTATTCCAAGTATCAAAGAGATATATATATTACCCTATTTCTGGTGTACTGCATTATGTGGTGAGTAGGGAGGCTCCTGGAAGTTGAAGCACAGTATTTTCTTTCTGCGTCCACCCAATTCCTCTTAGTCCAATTTTAAATGACTTTCTTTTAACACGAGTTATGAATCGTGCAGCTTTTTATACTATTTTGGTGATTCAAGTTAGACTTTTTTTTTAAGCTAATTCAAGCTTGACTGAGCTTCAGAAAGGTATGCTGAATTTATACTTTGTGACAAAACTAAAGCAATTATGGTGCAAAACCAAATATTTTAAGAAAATGGGACAGAAACCAGTGAAATGCGCCTGCTTATTGCTCAAACTTACCACTTTACGCCATAATTGCTTTAGGTTTTGCTTGATAGATATGCTAGCAAGGGCAAAACTTGGAAACTCACTTCAGGCTTATTCACTAAAGGGAGAATTGCCCTGAAATCAAATTGAATTATAAAATTTAAACAAAATAACTGAACTGGAAAAAATAATTCTTTAAGTCAAGCTGTTTTCAGCTTGCCTATTTTGGCCTTAAATTTTAAATTGACTCTGACTTCCAAGTCGCTCTCACTATTGTGAATGACCCTGTCAACTATTTCACACTTACCTTTGTAAGTTAATTTTATTAATAAAAAATAGAAATCCTTATTTAAACATTATTTTCCCTTACTTATATAACAGCAAGATTATCATATCATCCATATGGCAATGAGAGCACACTGATGTGACAACTTTACTATTATATCTATCTTGGGACAGATGTAAACATGCTCTGACATATTTACTAAATGGCCTTTATTGAATGCGCATACATGTTCCGCCATGCTGTGACAACAGCCATAATCTTCCTAGGTATCTGTTGTTGTTTGTGCATTTGTCTCATTTTGTTGGCTCTGCCATTATTAAGGACTGCAGAGCCTTTCTAATGAGTTCTCTCTATTCCCAGTAAAAATAAAATAAAACACGTTGATTTATTGAACTGGTTACAGCAAATAATGGAAGCGGATCAATCAAGCGTCGTGGGTTAATAGCACTGAACAAAGCTTAGTCATAATTAGATGGATGGAGGACTTTCCTTGTCCATTGCAGTTAAAATTGAAAAGTCTGCCCTGCGACAGAGTGTTTTAGAGAATAATGCAGACAGCCTAGAGTAGATTCACTGGCTAGCACTTTCTATTTATCTGAAGCTTAAAAAGCAGCTGCGTTTTTGTAAAATGCAATGAATGTGGCAGCTCTAGTTAAAGGTAGAGGAAAAAAAAAGATCACCCCCTTGTTTTGTAATAAGGGGATTTTCAATTTGAAAGCGAGAGAGCCTGTTGTGTGAAACATGATTATTACATTCAGCACATTCTATCTCACCCACCAGGAGGCTAATAATGAAGGAGTCTGTAGAGGAGGCCAGTGCCATGAGGGTTATCTCACGGCCCCAGATGCTGGATAACTTGAAGGAAGCAGAATTGCTTTTGGATGACATTCAGAAAGGTCTGAATGATTATTTAGAGAAGAAAAGACTATTCTTCCCAAGGTAAATAGTCCATTTTCTCTGTCAGCTGTGCTTGTTTGTCTAAAATATGTTTGCTCTGCATCACCCACATTCATTTATTTTACTTATATTTTGTGTGGGTTTTTTTTTCTGCCGTAGATTTTTCTTCTTGTCCAACGACGAGCTACTGGAAATCCTGTCAGAGACAAAGGATCCCCTGAGAGTCCAACCACACCTTAAAAAATGTTTTGAAGGAATCGCAAAGCTGACATTTAACACAAATAATGAAATTACGCACATGGAGTCACCGGAACGTGAAAAGGTTGAACTTGTGCAGAAAATAATTCCAGCCAATGCCAAGGGGCTAGTTGAGAAATGGCTTCACGAGGTGAATATCCTTAGTCTTTATTTAAGATTGTCTTTAATGCAGCATAAAGTTACATTTACATGTTTTTTTTTTAATGTTTGAGCACACGTGTATCTACCATAAACATCTCTAATGAAAAAACATACATGTTTGTCAACAAGCTTTATACAATATTTCAAAGTGGGTCCAAAAAAATCTTTACATATTTTATCACATAAATTTTGAAAGGGTATTATAAGAATGAATTAACATGGATTCACTTTAAGAGAGGTTTCCTTATTTTGACAATCTTTAAATATTTATTTTTATTGAAGACGTACTGTATATAACTAACATTAGACATAAAATATATTATGAAGATTAAAGATACATAAAGCAGGAAGTGCAATTTAGTAATTAACAGCCATGGAAAACTTATAGTAAACTATCCAGTAAATCTGGATAGTTACATATGATTTTCTTTTCTCCTTCTATTTAAGTTATAAAAGTCAAATCTCAAACTCCTCTGTGTCAACATGGCTCTCTTTACTTCCTTCCCCTTCAAGAACTACCAAGTTTGGGTATTATATGAAAGGAGTGAAGCAAGGCATCGAGCTGTGAGGGCCTCATCTGTGTTATCTGATGTAGGAGCTGAGATGGGCTTTGCAGTGGTCATAAACATTGCAAGTGTACAGCAGCACTTGAAGGACTCACTACTTCCAATAAGAAGTATGGCCTTTGGTGCCCATTTGGGCCAGAATCTGTAGTCTATAGAGTATGCCCACTTGACCTAGTAGTAAAAACATGACCAACGAGTAAGAGTGGGTATCTAGTTATAAAAGACCCCTTCCTGCAATGTCAGCACAGGCTGACGTAAAGAGAAGTCTAGATGAAGTTGCAAGCCCTAACTGGACTGCAATGCCTGTTTATAAGTGACATTCTTAGCCACACTCTAAATCAGTTTCTGCAGACATCATAAGTAGACTACTTACAGCTAAATGCTTTATCAAACATGATAACTTTTAATGGAGATAATACAATGGGAACCAGATAGATGATAGTTATTTGTTCAGTATACATACATACACATATACAGGCATATGCTTGCAACACACATACAAAAAAACATGCATTCAGACTATTTTAGAAAACAATTTTCATAATATAAAACGGAAAAAATGCATTTATTATATTTTACATTTACTCATCTACTCATTAATTATACTTGTTGCTGTTTTAGATGTGACAACATTGTGCATGTATTTTTTACATTTCAGCTATTTATTACACATTAGATTTTTTTTTTTTTTCTAGCAGAATGTTAAAGGGACACTGTAGGCACTGTATCTGCTTCATTTCATTAAACTGATAATAGTGTCCAGAGTTCCCAAGTTCCATAATTTCATTCAGCATTAAATAGTTCTTCATATTTTTATGTTTCAATGCTAAATTAGAGTCCCCAGTAGCCCCTCCCCTCTGTGCTGCTTCAGCGAATGAGGAAGTACTTGCATGAGCAGCAATGAGCAGCTATGATTGGCTGAGAGTGTCAGCTGTCTGTTTTTAGCCTATCAGAGCTCCAACTAAAGGTATGAAGGGTATGACTTCAAGGAACTGTGTAATCTCCTCCTTGCCCACGCCTCCAGAAGAGGCCGGACTGTGGGGGCCTTGATCCCTTATTTAGTGTTTAACTGCTCTAAAATGGTTTAACATTGTCTGAAGAGAAAGTGCCAGGAGATTACAGGCATCATAACCAAGAGATGAAATTATTATAGTGAGTACAGTGTCCCTTTAAGTAAGCAATTTGTCAAATAATACACGATAAAGCCATTTTATGTTTCATATGTCATCAATTTACTCAAGAATGCTTAAAATAAGTTAATCCATGCTGCTCTTTAGGTTCAGTCGACTTGTATATTTTGTATTATTATTGTTTACACTTACATGCAAGTATTTTTAATGTACTGATATAAATGGTTTCGTTATTTATGGTGATAAATAGGGTTCAAAAAACATAATTTTGAAAAGCAATGGAATAGCAAATTTTAAGCCATAGTAACCAAATCTTAACATATTATGGCTCCAAATTTTGCAATTTTCTTGTAAATTCTTCACAGCATCCAGATTAGTGAATACATCACCAAATTACACACACACATCCTGAATGTAAACAGTAGTACATCCACACATGCTGAAACTGAAAAAGTCACATTATATTCTCATTGACCATCTTATTTAAATATCAAACATTTGTAATTCCTGCTGTTCTGTTTTACAGCAGGACTTGCTAATTTTTTTATGGTGATATAAATGTGTGTCTATGTTAGATGCACACATTATTTTGTCTGTCTGTGTCAGGCTGTCAGCTCATCTTAATCACATGGGTCAGTTTGCGCCACCCTGAAAGACTGGGTGCTTATTTGTCTTAATCGTGATGCTTATTTGTTTGCATCCATTGCAAAAAAACAAAACAAAGATGTGCTGTACACATACATAAAAGATAGTAGCTGTTGCCCTTCACACTGGAGCACTGTGGGAAGGATCTGCCGTTCTTCTGGAAGTAATCAAAAGTCAAAATCCAGGGGCTTCACAGTGTGGTGCCAAAATAGGTACAGTTCATTTGGATCAATGAACAAAACAAAATATATGTTTCAGCCTCAAGCCTTCATCGCATGATTATGGTTTGAGGCCGAAACATTGTACATTTTGTTATGTTGATTGATTCAAATAAACTTAATCTATTTTGGCATCATGCTGTGAAGCCCATGCATTTTGACTTTTGTCTGTATCTCGAGTCTTGTCATAAGACCGCCACAATTTTTGACTATGCACATAAGATTGTATCACTTCACCTGTGTCAGCCTGTTCATCTAATATATACCAAAAATAAGAAAGAGTCCAAAGCGTTTGAGGTTCTGTGACTAGTAACCTTGACAAAGACCATCAAAAGTGTTGCAGACTTTACTTTGTTTGGTTTACAATACTGAAATTGGACCATGGGTGGAACTTGAAATTTGCTCCCTTACTCATGCTTCTTCAGTTATATGCAACAGTTGTATGAATGTCAGCTCCGAGACACTGTTCTATGGTGTTAGACTTTTTCCATCTTTATTTTACCAGTGTCAAAATGTTCGTCAGTTTCTATAGTATTTTTATAGATTTCAACTTTTTGAGAGCCAAGCAAAATAACATTAATGGCCCTAGCTGTTTCACATTGGTCATGACATAGTTATATATTTGTGTCCTCAATGAACCACTACTTTGGGCACTAAGAACATCACGGTTTTGTCTTGGTTTGGGTGTTTTTGCACACATATTTAAATATTTAAAGGACTGTGTGTTTTAAAATATGAACTCTCCAATCATTACCATAAAACTATAAAGTGTCGACAACTGGTGTGAAACATTTGAATGGTGAATCAATATCCGAATTTACTGCATTTTATTTAACTCTTTCCTGTTCTTCTTTATGCCACACAAATTGTTCCCAGTGTGAGTAATAAAAGAAAATAGCAGGTAAGTAAGAACAGGAGACCAGGTAAATATTGGTGGGATGGAGGGACATTCCGGTTTGTGCGTGCACTGCTTTACCTGGTGCATTCTGACCTATCAGTCGTTAACAACATACCACCCGTTCCATGTGTCACTTCTTAAATTATCGTTACTTGTGCATGTCAGTTATTGTTACCACTCTATCCATTCTTTTTCCATCTTCCCATTCAATGATTTCAGTGGTATGGTTTTTTTTTTTGTTTGTTTGTTTGTTTTGTGTAGGACATAAGGCAACATAAAGCATGTTTTATTAGTTTGTTGTCACGATTACATTGCGGGTGCTGCGTAGCTCGTTTCACGTGTACTCTGTCATCAAAATGTCAGCTTGATTTTAATGAACAGAGAATGCATGCCCTTAACGAGGATAGGGAGGTAGTTTGTCCATAAAAAGAATTTTGTGGAAATGGTCTATGTTTGATTAGTTTTATTTAGGTGTATTGTGCAGTTCTGTGTGCTATTTTTTTGGTTAGCATTGCTATTCTTTTCTTGTGACTAAACAGCTTTGGTTTTTATTAAAAACCATGCTAGCAGGTAATTGTTGGCTGCTCTTGTTACTGTAGCCCCCCGTTAAGATTCACAGCGTTTGCCAGTTGCATGTTAGTGTTGTTGTCTTGTCGGTTAGCTTGTTTTTGGTGTCCTGTCACTTTTAGTGGATGGAGTTGTTTTAATCGTGTTGTTTGTTTGTGTCTTTTAAAAACTAAACAAAAAAATAATAAAAAACAAAAAAAAGTTGTCTTTGGCAGCTGCAACGCTGTTAATTTGTGATGTAAGCGTTTCAGTGTGCAGCTTGTCATTGAAATATAGTTCAAAATGTTTCGTAATGTAGCATGAAATTATTGGTTAGTTTTAAAATGGATGTGAAATCATGTGAAGAAAATAAGTATTGCATCCGATCGAGATAAATTCACTGTGGTGTTTTATGGCTTTTTATTCCTATGTGATAGTAATAGTGTCTCATGTAGGGATGGAAGCCATGAAATACATTGTGAAAAGTCATCAACTAAAATGGGGGCCATAAGCATAGAAAATGCAATGGCCACGGCGCTAATAGACAGTATTGAAAAACAATTCAGCGAACCACTTTGGGTCAACATCCTGTGCTCAAGTTTCATTTATTTTTGCTATGAAAATTTGAGCACTGTAAGCTGTTTTTTTTTTTTTGCAAAGGGGCTAAGAGGTTTTAGTTTAAAACTGTGAATGTCAAGAAGCCATACTTTGCTTATCACGTTGTCAACCGCAGAGAGCGTCAGTCTTATAGTTGGGTTAGTGGATCTAGGATGTTGGTCCATACTGATGTGTTATTTACTGCACTTTTAAGGCAGATAAATGCATTTAGCAGCAGTTAACCAGAGGTACTATCATTCCCATTTGCACTACTATAACTATATTAGCATCCATTACATGGATATCTCGATAGATACAGTGCATGCCTCTAATGTGTTGTGTTGAAGGAAACATGTTGAGGAGACTTTATGGCATAGGCACATGAAGGGAAACCGGACATTTTATTGTACAGAAAAGTCCTCAGTATTTTCCGTAGACTTTTTATTTATTTATTTTTAAACACTTATTTGTTTACTAATGATTTATTTTTTATAAAGTGTTTATTTTTTTAAAACGTCTTCTGTATGAATTTCATATAAAAATAAAACAAATCTATTATTCTGACTCTGTTTTTTTTATTTGCATTTCTGAGATATTTCACATCAAAATATACCATGGGTTTGAGAGAAACTGGTACACATACAGTAGAGTAATTTCAGTGGCACTAAATGCGGTCTGAAAATTGAATGTTGATGTAGACTAGGGAACAGTATTTCAATGTGGTCTGTGCAAGTTAGACCAGTGGAAGTTAAACAAGGCACAGCAAATAAAAATAAAATATCAGTGGGAAGATCTTGACTCATAATACATTTTGGATCATAACTTCTATGCTAGAAACTGTCCAGATTAATGATCTTCGTTAAAGGTTTTATTTCTCTTACTTTTAAAACCGCAAAATCTTGATCACTAGTCTAAAATGTTATTATGCATTACTCAAAGTGACAGTGTATAAATTGCTACATGTATTAGGTGGCATTCCTAATATAAGGTACTAGGCTACAGCTTATATAGAATAAAAATTCTGCCATGCTACTTTGCCATGGCATAATTTTTATTCAAAAGGCTAGGATCAACCTGAGGACCTCTCTTAACTCCTGAAGTTAATATTTGATACTGACAGGTACCAGGTGCCATGAAACCGGTTAGAAATGTTCTGTCAGATACGAAAAAAAGGGATCTTGCTTTATCCGAGTTATTGCTTTTCACATATTTTACTTGAATGTCGTATAAAGTATGTGCTGCAAAGGCTTGCTCCAATGAAGTATCATTTCAAATGTCGGAGTATTCTAACTTAGTATTCTAGCTCATAAATGTACAAGTAACTCGTAGAATGGGTACATTTTATATTTTGTAGGGAGTACATAAATGATTTCCACTTTATCACTTTCTCATACACAAAAACATTCTAGACAGAATAATGTTACTGAAATCAGTAGCTCTTACAACAATATAACATTGTTAGGACGACTGTTACCCACGGTCTTACAAAGGTGCTTTTCTGTTCTGATATTACAACCTTGGCTCAGAGAGGGCATTACGCAACACATTCCCATTATACAAATGCAGAAAAAAAGAAAAGATGAAAAATAATGCAGAAAATGAAGGCAATCTGAGAAGGCCTAGTGTAATAGAAAATAAATAAATACTTCAATTGCTTTGTGTCCCATTTGCTGTAATATTCTGTAAGTGCTCCGGAATCATAGAGGGTGTACGTTAAGTTAGTAACTGGCATACAGTTCTGTTAACATAATTTCAGTATGTCCTTTTGTTTTTTTTCAAATGCCACAGGGCATTGAATGCATCAAAAATAAGCAAGCAATTCTCACGACCAACATGAGTTCTTGTTTATGGGACTTCTAATATTACTCCTACATTGTGCTAGGATACATTTATCATCAAGATGACTACTAATACCACCACTGCATCCTTTTGTAAAGGATGCAGTGGTGGTATTAGTAGTCATCTTGATGATAAATGTATCCTAGCACAATTTTGTGTTAACGATAAAAACATTATATCCAATCCCAGTTTTCTAGTAAAAAAAACCTGACATTTGTGGTTCTTTACGACTTGATTTTATCCTTTCACATCCAATACTTCATTAACGACCTAGGCAGCTTATTACTGTTTTAGAGGCATTCTGAATTATTAATTGTAGAAAGGCTGTAGATCCATGATAAAGCTTTATAATTCTGATTTTTTTTTTCCCTTTATACAAACAAATCAACGCATTAAACTGCACAAAATGTACTTTACACCTGGGCTAGTACTAAGTCCCAAAGGCAGTTATTTATTGAGTTGGGAAATATTTTTTTTTAGGTGGTGGTAAAATGCCTTCTTAAAACAAACACATCTCTAGATTTAGATGATAAATAAATCACATATCCAACATGTATTATATGAACATTATTTATAGTCTAGGCATGTTTGGATTTTATAATTTATCATCATATGAACTGAATGAGCTGGTAACCTGTCCTGTTTTACATATAAATAACAGTGCTGTTTGTATCAGCTTGTTAATGGCTGTTCTGTTGTGTCAAGGTTATACAACATATGAGTCATATTCAGATAATCTCTTCAATAAAATTGTCAAGAAGGAAAAGAATCCTTTTAGTATATGACCTCTTACTCTTTTGGTAATAGGTGGCATTTTGGCTTTTAATTTGTGGGGCACTATGATAAACATATAATTGAACCCTTCATTTGCATAATTATTTAATTTTAATATATACAAATCAAGGAGTTTTAAAGAGTTGCTCAAATACAATTTATGCTTTAAAACTAGAATTTGTATGATTAATATTTCCTATGGTAACTTCCGATTTCGATGCTTTGACCTAAACATACACTTGTCTGGTGGTAGGGATCACTGAGCCTACAAAAAAAATTCTCCAGAAGTGAGCTCTCCAAAGCAGAACACTGTACATCTTGCTGTTTGGAATAAAATTTCATCATTACGACCAGCATAAAAATATAGGACTGGACCTTCTACAGAATAAATGGGCATCTACATCCAATAGTGTTAGAGAATGACTGTTCCTCTACATTTTCCATTTGTCGTTTGTAACAAGATTTTTTATAATTAAAAAAATTAAATTCTACGTGCTTCTGTCATCTACAGATGTGCTATTTATTGGCAGCTGATGATCCACAGAATTTCAGATTTGTTTTTGAAGTTTTTGTGCAATTTGTTGTGTATTGTTAAATGCAAAGTATGCTTTTAGATTCAAAAAACCCTGAAGCTCCATTAGCAAGCTTCTTGGGTATTTCCACGTCTTGATAATGCTGATATATAAACACATTTTGGTGCATCTCCTGGCTTACCCTTGCTCTATGGAGAGCCATCTTTAAATGGATGTTATAGGCACCAAAACAACTTTAGCTTAATGAAGCAGTTTTGGTGTATAGATCATGCCACTGCAGTTTTACTGCTCAATTCACTGCCATTTAGTAGTTAAATCACTTTGTTTATGCAGCCCTAGTCAGAACTCCCTGCATGTGACTTCCACAGTCTTCCTAAACACTTTGTTAAAAATAACCTAGACATTTTAGTTTCTTATTTTGTCCAGCTCTGTTAATAGCTTTCTAGCACCTGCAGAAGCCTCCTGTGTGTGATTAAAGTTACATTTACAGAGCAGGAGATAAGAACTTCTAAAGCAAGTTAATATATCAGATTGAAAATGCAGGCTGTGTCAGTCACATTCATGGGAGGTTTGGCTAGGGCTGCATAAACAGAAACAATAGTGATGTAACTAATAAATGGCAGATAATTTAGCAAATAGACTGCAGGAGCATTATGTATACACCAAAACTGCTTCATTAAGCTAAAGTTGTTTTGATACCTACAGTATTCTTTTAAGTTTTCTTTGGTCAGAGAAAAAGTTCATCTGACCAAATACTGCTCAGGTAAATAGGTGCTAGTACATGTTTATAAATCCTTAATTCATACACAAGTACAAGTGCACTCAAGAACAGTTTCAGACCTTGAGATTGTACATGATTTTAGCAGATAAGTGGGGAAAAGGGCTAAATATGACTGATCACACATAGCAAGGGTAAGTGCACTGAAAAGTGTTAAATAATATGTATAATAAAATGAAAGGTACAATAAAATAACCTAGCAAGCTCTGTTAAAGGTAATCTTTTATTTACTGTAACAATATATGTTGACAGTTTTTCTTTTTAAAGAACAGTTTCATCGAGGTATCAATAACTATTCCCAAATTAACAAACATACATTGTGTATTTAATGAGCACATGTGACTTAGATGACTTTACACACAATTTAATTAGGCTGTGAAACCGCAGCTGAATTAAATTTCTGAGATCAACAAAAGAGGTATTTGTCCTGTGTACATTTATCTATCTTGTTGCTTTCTCAAGCTGTGTGTATCCTCTGTGAAGGACACTTAATGTACATATAAAATTAGATACAGTTAACTGTGCACCTTTACATCTTGAAACATATTTTAGCTGGGTTATCTAAGTGCAGACAGAACATAACGCTAAACAAACTTTATTAATAAAAAACTATAAAGGTATTTTTTTGTTTCAAAAGGTGTTTCAAAGATTTATATTTCCCTTCCATTTAGCATGGGATGTTTAAGTTAATGAAAATATACATACAATTGTTAGCTGTGTTGGCTCATTGGCTTTAAACATCAGAAACAACTTGAGACTAGAGCAATTTAAGGGGAAATTCAAATCCAATTTAACGCTATATATTGTAAATGTGAAATATAAATAGTTTGGTTGCCATGAAATGTAAGTATTTTAAGTAACCAGTCTTGAAGCACAGAATTGCTTCTCTCTATTCGTATAAATTTAGTGATTTTTTAAATCAGGTCCATAGACTCCAGCTAAGAAAAAGTTTAATATTAAAAGAATAATTATTAACCCACTCACTCAACTTATCCCAATAAAGCCTTATATGCTTTAATGTCTTCACCCGTTTGTTGATACGACCATTTGTCTCATTAACTGTATTGACTTAAATGCAGTAGAGTGCTATCGATTGCTTAGTATCTAACATCTAACAAAGGCTATAAATTTGCTCAGAGAATTCACAGGTACGTTTGAACACATTGCTATAGAATAAAACACGCTTCAATAACGTGTATTTTTATTAAATCAGATTACTAAGCTACGTCTTCATGAATGCACATCCTTTATAATAAAATATTCATATGAAGAAAACATCTTATAACGGAACGTGGAACTTATTATAGGTAGATACTGAAATAAATTGAAATATCACATAAATCATCTCAACCACATAAGCTAAAACGTTAAAGGGACAGTACACTGCGTAATAATAATAATAAAAAAAATCATTGTTTAGTAGATATACTCCCAATGGAAATATGCATGAATTTAATTATGTATTTTTTTATGGGGTGTATGTTTAAAAATAAATTTTCAAATGCTGCAGATTTCTTGTCTGCAGTGTTTGCAAACCCTTGTCTTCTAACCTTTCCCAGACTTTCTGTGGTTGTCCAACCACATACTTCCCAATGCAGCTCAATGGCAAGTCTTTGCAAGGCATGTTCTCTTGGCAATTT